GTATTAGAAATAGCAATATGATAGGCATTAATCAACATGACAGTAAACTAACAGTGTTATTACCCTAGACCGGAACATTATAGAGGTAGACATACATTACAAATAGGATGTCATAGGAAATTAGCAGTATTATTACCTTAGACTGGAACATTACAGGGGAAGACATACATTAGAAATAAGATGTCATAGGAAACTAGCAGTGTTATTACCCTAGACTAGAACACTACAGAGGTAGACATGCATTAGAAATAGGATGTCATAGGAAACTAGCAGTATTATGTTAACTCGCAATTGTACGGGCCAATTAGTAGTATAGCAAGACTAGTACGAGGTCGTACCTATGAGGACTGAGAAGTTTAGACTTAGTTGTGTACTTAGATTACCGAAATCAAGAAAGTAGGAAGTTAAGTCTAAAACAGAATTTAAAGCAAGAGTGATTGTGATTGTTGAGCAAATGAAGCAAAATGAAATTTGCAAATGAAAGTAAGTAAACAAGTGCAACGAATAGTGGTTTTAGGGGCTGAAAACAGATTTGGAGACTAGGGCATTTGATTCACCATAACAATTCAATTTTGGTTTACAAGGATTCAAGTGACAAGTCCAATTCAGATTCAAAGATTGATTCTAGATAAAGTATGATTAAGCTATGGTGTCTGGTGATTCTAGCTAAAGTATGATTAAGCTATGGTGTATGGTCCTAACCTTGTATTCTTAATTCCATAATTTGATCATCTGTTGTCTAACCTAAAATTAAGCATTAGGAATTCATTAAGCATAGAAGAATGTTTTAAATAACTAAGTATGTATCTAATCCCTGTTTTCGAATGTCCATACATACTCTTCCTATTCATAGTTCAATTCGAATTAAAGCATGGTGTCTACTCTTAATTCAAACCAAGATACACAAATATGAATGGTCGCTAGGCATTCCGATTAGCATATAAGCAGGTAGGCACAATGAATAAGAACATGAATCTTGAATCAAACTTGAAACTTGAAATTTATGAACCTAGAATATTCATGTTAGGTTACATTGAAGCCCTAGTTATGGATTTAGCCTTCATACTAGGAATGAAACTTAAACAGAAATGAGAAAACATAATGAATGCAATAAGAAGAAAAACTTTTTTTCTGAATTGTGGTGTCCAAGGTTTCTCCAAGTGCTTCTCCACTTCTAATGCTTCTCCAAGAGCTTCCTCACGTCTAGAATGATGTATGATAGTTAAGGAGCAATTTGGGATGAGTTTGGGTGAGTGGTGATGGCAGAGAAAGAGGAAATTCGTAAGGAAATTGAAGGAAGTCTTATTGGAGCTAATTTAGTGATTTGGAGCTGTTTAGAGTGTTGGGTTGATTGTTGGAGTGTTTGGGGTTGTGGTAGTGTTTAAGGATGATTTCTGAAGATGTTTAGGAAATGATGGAAGTGTGGAGAATGAATGCATTTAATTGTGAGATTGTGAATTTGTATTAATAGGGAAAGGGAAGTGAGAAATCAGAATTGAATATGGTTAATGCCTACAACACTTCCAATTGAAAATCAGGGAGAGCTGAGAATTTTTCTAATATGGGATCATAATGGTTTTCCTTGGAGATGGAAAATCCGCCCCCCGGGTTTTATTCCAATTGAAAATCAAATTCTTTTCTTGTGTGGCTGCTACACTTCACCAACTAATCCCGCCAGAAACCATAGCTCATGCATAACTCATCATGACCAAGCAACAATTAGGTCATCCTCCTGTCAGCATGATGTGTATTTTGATGGGCTCACGGATTGGGTTTGCCTTGACCAATTGATACGTTTGAGTAGTCCATCTTGAAGTTCAGACTTTCTTCTTTCCAACAACATGTTATTTGGGCCAATCCAAGTTTGGAGGAAGAAGTTAAGGCCGAAACGAATTGCTAACTTAGTATGCACGGTTTTGCACCATTTTGCATCTTTTCCTATCCAAAGCCACCATTGCTACCTAAGGCCCAATGAACTGAATGATAAACACAAAAAAGATTAAATGCACAAGTTTAACTCAATAACATAATTAAATCATAAGCTAGAAGGGTACACAAATGATATACAATTATGAACTAATCAGGAACATTACAACCATTAATCAACAACATGTTAATGAAGCTACGATTTTTGAGACATTTTGTTTGTAATGAATTGTTTGGGTTTTTTTAAAAAAATTGGGCTGAGCTTGATTTGGTGCTTTTTAAGATTTTGTTGGGCTTTTTTTAAGTTGATCAGTGGCAGTCATATAATTTCTAGGAACTTCAAACACCAATTTCTTATGTAGTAAATAAGTTTTGGGTGTGTTTCTAAAGTGCATTCCATGCGCGTGGGTCAGGGGGTGTTTAATAATAATTTCAGCCCCTATTTTGGGTATATTAGTGAAGCTCCCTAATAACTAATCATTTAAAACATTCGACATTGAATAGAAAAGGAAAATACAACAAACAGGGAAGCTATTTATATCATTTGGCATTGATATAATTGGTTGCTTGTTTCTTTTTTAATTTCTTTTTAAAATTTGAACTTTAAAACTACAATCAACTTGATGGGAGAAACCTTTTTCATTTGTTATGTATCATCCTTGCTGGACGAAGGTGAGTATTGGGTGGAGATATATACGTTTTGATTATTCTACAGATTTTAACTATCATAACAAACAAAGATGGAAAATGGAACAAAATTGTACAAACTTATTTTAACTATGATGTGGACAGGTTAATGTTGCCAGTGAAATGATGATCTACAAATTAACTTGTCCAGAATACTTACCGATTAACCTGTCCAGAATACTTACCAACTCTCTAAAAGTAAAAATTGAATTCATGTTCACATATATGTTGATTCTTTGTATAGTTTAGTTTTTGTTGACAATTTTTTGCGAATGAGGACTTCTAGTAATAGGGTTGTATGACTCTAAGATATTCGGCATCAAAAAGCAAGAAATCATGAGAGATTAGTTTGAAATGAGCATGATTGTAGAAGAAATTTGTGGGATGTGTCTGCTGTGTTTTTCATTGTTATTCAATGGAACTAGAAGTAAATATTTTAAAAACTATGGACATAAAAATTGATTATGTGGTCATTGTCTAGATCAATGAACTGCAATTGAGAGAACACAATTGATGTCCTGCATCCATTATATCTTAATGAAATTGAACCTGTATCTAAGAAGCCCAAATTAGAATTAGGTGAGGGGTTGTATAGTGAGGTGTATGTTAAATGTACTCCATTTGTGATCGACATCACCTACAATGAGGAGGTGTAAATGATTGTAAATTTGCATCACAACCGTGAGATGCAAATTTAGATGCACATGTGGATCTTTTTTTACATCCATTGCAGATGGGGCCTACATTTGAAAATGTGAGAAAAGGTGGAAAAAGTGAGCAAAAAAGTTGTTGAATGTAAACCCACTTGCCCAAGACTAGCGGCTAGAGTAGTTGCTAGACAAAACTTCATATGTAGGACCCATGCCTATAGGATGTCATCTCCCCAATGACTATATCGCAAAATTAAATGATGCAATTCTTTTTTTCTTTTTCTTTTTCAAAAACAGCTTTAGCCAACAAGTTAATTTTTTCAAAATGAAATCTGGCCCAACGGCTAGTTGATCCAATGGTCCAATTTGAACTCTAACTTTAGCCAAATCCAATAGATACAATAATCCGAGGGGCCAAGAAAAATTCAGATTTTTCTATATATATACCCACCTCTTTGTTCATAAAACCACAATTCTTCTTCATTCACAATTCTTCTTTACTCTCAAGCATTTGGCTTTATTTTGTTTATTGTGCTTTCCTATCTTTTATGATCATCAAAATGAGTAGAATTGGAGATAGTTCAAAAAGAGCTAAATTGCCAAACTTTTCCATTGAGGAAGATGTAGCTCTATGCCACATATACCTAGCAATTAGTGAAGATCCAATTATTGGAAACTCCCAACAAGTTAATGCATTTTGGACCAGGATTCAAAAACAATTCTTTGTGGGGAAGGAGAAAGAACGTCAAATAATATGGATGATTTTGATGAAGTGATGGTAGTGATAGGTTTGATATTTATAGGAAATCAATGATATCTGATATGAGAATAAAAGGGTTAAGATGAAGATAAGAGAATCTGATCCAAGGGTTGAGATGAAGATAAGAGAATCTGATCCAACGGCTGAAGATGAAATCAAATTCTATCATATCGTATCTTGAATTGTGTGCAAATAAGAAACAATAATGGATGTTGAATTGTCTACAAAAACGTGATAAGATACCAACAGTTCAGATTAAATGTACTTTACAATCCAACGATTCTTTTTGGATGAAATCATATCTTCTCCGATTTTAAATATTTTTAGGTCTATTTGTTTGAAAAAATAAAATAAACCTAACACACACAAAATTAATTCTATAAAGTTAACACAAAAATGAATTAAGACAAAAAAATCAATTTTACATCTTCCCCATTGGGGCCAAAACCACATTTACAACCCCCCGAAGATATAAAAGGGATATAAAAGTGGCTTTACACTCCCCAAAAATACACCCATCCACACTATAAAAAGGATATAAAAGTGCTCTTATGATGGTTTGAAGTAAACTACAAAGGAAGCTGTTATTAAAACTCGGGTTATTTACTGTAGACGTCCCTGAACTTGGCCCCCAGTTGCAATTGGGTTTGTGGACCTTTTTTTTTGCCAATTACTTACTTTAACTAGACAAATAGTTGCAATTGGGTCCTACCATCCAACTCTGTCAATTTGTCCGTCAAAATGAGGGGTAAAAGCATCCTTTGAAGAAAAAAACTGAAAAAAGTGAACAAAATAAATAAAATTAGAAAGTAAAAGCAAAACCCAGAAAACCTCCACTCCTTCCTCGCAAAAAATTGCCGCCATTTCCTCCCAATCGGGTCTCGGCTGATTCGTTCCAGTACCAGCCTGGCTTCCTCGGACCCTTACCCGACCGTACTTCCACCGACGGAAACGACAAAGGGAACATTGTCGACGCCATGGAGTACTTGACGAACATACTGTCGTCGAAGGTGTATGACGTGGCCATCGAATTGCCGTTAGAATTGGCCACGAAGCTGTCGGAGCCATTAGGAGTGAGAGTTTGGATGAAAAGAGAGGACTTGCAGCCTGTAAGTGTTGTTCCAAGTGTTCAATTGAATAATTTGGATTGGAAAAATTGGGGATTTTTGACAGAAACTTTTTTGTTGAATTTGCAGGTCTTCTCGTTCAAGCTTCGGGGAGCTTACAACATAATGGCAAAGCTTCCAAGGGAGCAACTGGAGAGAGGGGTTATTTGCTTCTAAGTTGGAAACCATGCCCAAGGAGTTGCCTTGGCTGCTAAGAAGTTGAATTGCAGTGCTGTGATTGCAATGCCTGTAACCACACCAGAAATTAAGGTACACTTTTTTTTTCTTTTTTTTTTCTTTTTCATTTTGGAGCTTAATTTCACAATTCTAAGTTGTGGGTTTGGCTTATTGAATGTTGTGGAATTTTGTATTGCTTGTTTGCAGTGGAAATCTGTTAAGAGATTGGGCGCCACGGTTGTTCTTATAGGGGATTCATATGATGAGGCTCAAACTTATGCTAAGTAGCGGGCTCAAGAGGAGGGAAGGAACTTCATACCTCCTTTTGATCTTTTGCGCGTTATTATTCATATTTGCCCAAGAGTTCTTTCATCATGTCCCAAGAAAACCCTTTCTCCCAAGCTTGTTTTTCCGCTCTGTTGAAGTTTCAAGGGAGGACCTTGCTAGATCTGTGACTGCTAATCCATGTCTCTTGATAGTAAGCTTGAGGGAACGGATTGTGCCCACTTTATTTTTTATTTTTAATTTAAGTTTATTTATTTTTTATTTCACTTATTTCAGTTTTTTTCTTCAGACTCGAAAGGACGCTTTTACCCCTCATTTTGACGGACAAATTGACAGAGTTGGACGGTAGGACTCAATTGCAACTATTTGTCCAGTTAAATGATGTAATTGGCAAAAAAAAAAGTTCACGGACCCAATTGCAACTGGAGGCCAAATTCAGAGATGTCTATAGTAAATAACCCTTAAAACTCAAAAAACTAATCAAGCACTCCATGAAGCGTTGTGGTGAAAATGGTTTTGCGTGCACAACAAGATAATCGACCAGTTTGGATCTTCTTGTGTTATAATCATATGTTGGACTTCCTAAAGTAAAATAAGAAAATAAGAAAACTAGAAGCCTGTGTGTTATCGGTGGGCAACAAGTCCACATCACACCCTTCCCCACTATTGGACAAAACATTCGACAAGAACTTCAAAATTCAAAAAGAGTTCACTATCATCTTTTAAATCCCAACACATGTTTTGACTAAAAGTATGTGAAGTGGTATAGTCCGATTCCAAATTCCATGCGCCTGCCTGATATTTTGGACTTTGATGTTTTTCTAATGTTCATTATTGTGCAGGAGAAAAGTAAACAGACAAACAAACCACAGAGGAAAAGATTTAGTTAATTATGACTCTCTGACCACAAGATCGTATATCTTGGTTGCCAAGCCATGCCAACCTGATACGATATCTTTGAAGTTGGAATGTCATGTAATGGCAGACACCAACTTTCAACATATGGTATATATTCTAAATTCGTAATAATGCCAATTATCCTTTTTCTTTGTCATGACGCATATAAGTAGTCACTTTCTTCGACATTTCTTTGAGAAAGAAGAGGAAATCATGTGGACCAAAAAGACCAAAAAGACCAAAAAGGAGGAGCTAGCAACTCACTAACACCTATACTTAAATAATAGGGTGATTAGTTTCAACTATCTTATGTAGACACTAGACTTAAAAACTTTGGGAAGAAATACCTCAAATAGTAGTTTGAAATTGCTTGTGCTCTTACCCAAATGATAATTCATTTTTAGGAGAGAAATTCTCAGGCAATAGGGATAGAATTTTTTGCTATCTCCGGCCAATAATGCAATGATACGCAGGATTATATTTTTTTCACGTGTAATTGTATTATTAATTTGGATAGTAAAATAGTATTATTATTATATTACTAGATAAGATAAAGGTTTTTTTTTTTTTTTTTTTTTTTTTTTTTTTTTTTTTTTTTTTTTGCATTCATGCAAGCAAAAACTTCTTTGGATATTATGCAATACCGGGGTCCACTTGCAACCACGGACTCAGAAAATTTGAGCAGTGTGGGCCACAAATAAGGGTGAAATCAAATTTTTTTGGCATGTGCCATTCCAGCCAAAATGGTCAAAGAAACCACACAAAGTCGGAACTTGACAAAATTAAGTGAAAGATGTCAGAATAAAATGTGAAACCTAATCTTCGAATAATAACAACTGTTATTAGAACTCATATTGAAAATGAAAATAGAGGTATATAATTTATAAAACATTGCTACAATTTAATTAACCATTTAGAATTTTTTATTTTTTAAAAAAAATAATCTCACTTTGTAATGTTAAACTGAATTATAAGAAAAAGAGAAGGCAATAAAATTTTTAATTAATTATAATTTTATATTAACCCGTTGTTCTGTTAGATCAATGAAATATGTAAGTTGACCAAAATTGATAACATATATAAACTACAAAAGGTTGGATTGACAAGAGAACTTTTGGCCAAAACTTACCGCACAATAGCATTGAAACAAGAGAACTCTGAATTTGCCGATCACGGCAGACGAACAAATATCAAACCCAAGAAATATTAGGCTTTCCCATTGTAGGGTTGGAATATTGCGTCTGACAATTGTATCGCGCCGTCTGACAAAAAACAAGGGACCCTCGGGACAAATGGAATCGGATATTCCTTGAATATTGAGTCCAACTTTGTGGACCTTGGATGCAAATCAATCATAAAGAAATCTTTGATAAAAAAAAAAAGAATCATAAAGAAATAAAAAAATAGAAAAATAAAAACAAAACGGATTAGAAGGGTTGACACCATGTTGACCTTACCTCAAGCAAATTCCGCCAATATAAAGGATAACCTTTGGTCGTGTTTGAGCCTGATTTTTGCACGCTAGTCCATCTGGCTTTTGGGTTCTCTATAAACAAAACAATTTGGGCTCTATTTGCCAAAAACGGAGAACAGCCCAGGTCAAATTAGGGGAGGGTTAAAATAAATCAATTACCCAAAGTAATTTTCACAGATTGAATTTTAATTACCATTAATAGTGATTTAATCTAAATACCCAGATCTAATTGGATCATTTTCACCCGGACTCCAGATTGTATATTTTTTAAAATTTGAGGATTGATCATCATCACTGGTTATCAATTCCAAACCAAACCAACAAATGCTAAGAGCTGGAAAGGTGAAATAGCACTCGGCACTCTTCTCAACCACAGCCAGTGACTTCTCATTCGATTTTATTTTATTTTATATAACCATATATCGTGCTTTGATTTTTTGTTTTTAAAAAAAATACAAGTATTGCGTTTTTGTTGACTCACGCGTATTTTGAGTTAAGAACCTAAAATCAAGTTTCATGTATTGCTAAAATTAAACTTGTCACAAAATGAACATTCACATCCGGAGTAATAACAAAACCATTATAAAAAAAAATAGTCCCATAACTTATCCAACAATACTTTATTAATAAATAAATAAAAAAGAACATTTCTTCATATAGATAGAAAAGGACATGCTACTTGCCTTGGTTAACTATATAGACATGGCGACTTGAGTTGATCTTTGAGTTTCTTTGGCATAAATTCCCACTGGGTTAGGTCCTCATCAGGTCTCAGACCCTAACGGGAGGAGATTTCAGGAGAAAATCGAAGGCGGGTATGGGGATCCCCAAATTTTAAAAATTTCCGGTTGAGCACGGGTCGAGGATGTTATTGTTATCCCAATCCCCATACCTTCGATCACTGGCGGATCTATAGAGGCTCAAGGAGGTGCAGCTGCACCTCCCCTCGCCAGAAAATCACTTGAAGAAGTTGGAAATGCCCCTCTGCTATTGCCCACCAGCTATTCGATTATTTGCTCCAGAGAAGCTCGAGGCAGCAGCTCCTTTGCGCAGGCTGCAGCGCGAAGGCTGCTTGGCTTCTGTTTTTTTAAGTGATATGTCCAAAATGCATAGTTTTGGTCCAAATGAAAACAAAAAAATATAATAATAAAATAAAAAGAAAGGGCCAACCTCAGATGAGTTTCAATCGAAATTGGATATCCTAAATAAACCATATCATCCCCAACTCTTAACCTTACCCCTCCACACCTGAACCCCCATTACCCACACCAGCCAACTCCCCAACCACATTCCTTTTTTCTCAATCCTCCTTTGCCTCTATCATCCATTAGCTTTTCTCTTTGTGCTTTTTTCATTATGATTGACTATCTCTCACTCTCTCAAATTGGTACAAGTAAATTCTATTACATTCATTCAGCAACGAAACCATGAAAGGATCTCTCTCCCTCTCTGTATTCTTTGATTCATTTGGTAGAAACTCATTGGTTTTTAGAGGCAAAAGAAGGGTTGTGAAGTGGGCATAAGCCATGGCAGCTCCTAAACTAGAAGAGATAAGCCATCCACCAATGGACCAACCCTCCACAATTTATTTGGAAAATTAATTTCTCTCTCAAATTTCAAAGTAATTTCTCTTTATGCTTTAATTAATTAAGATGGATTGTTAGGTTTTGGTTAATTGATTTAGTTTTTGTTTTGGTTTTTGTATAGATTTTTTTGAATTTACTTATTTGTATATATTTTTAGTTTTTAATTAATTAATATACAAATTTATAAATAAACCCAATCCTAGACATGTATTTATAAAAAAACCCAAGCACTATTTAAACATAGAAACACATCCAAAATCAACAATTGTATATTTTTTGGGTGTGTTTATAAATGGGTTTTGAGTGTGTGTAATGATGGGTTTTTGGTGTGTTTATAAAGTATTTTGGGTGTTGGGTTTTTTTTATAATTTCAGCCCTCATTTTGGGTGTTTTAGTGAAACTCCCTAATTAATAAAGATTGTTGTGGTTAATATGGTGAATTGGTTAATATGATTAACATAGTGTTTTTAGCCTTTTAAATATCGTTTAAATTATCAGGTTGTTTGGTTGTTTTCGTTTTGTTAAGCTCTTAGCCTTTGAAATATTGCCCCTTCCTTGAAAAATGTCTAGGTCCACCGCTGCCTTCAATGAGCAATATATATTAGAAATTTTCCTATGCGGACATCCAAATGTTATTATCCTGCAGACGCCATGTATTTTGTACTACCCCTACCTGTTTTCCTACTTATTTACAAGATCATCCGCACGATAATAATGTGTATATATATATATATAATATAATATACCCATGTAAGAGTAAGATTATGATTTAATATAAAATTTATTTTGTTTTGCCAAATTGAATTAAGATTATTTGAGTTGTTGAGTTGAATTTTATAATTCAATTGAATGTAATTGAGTTGAATGATAATGAAAGATGAGATTTAAGTGTTATGATGTAGGATAAATATTTTATAAAATAAAAAATAAAAATTGGGGATCCAGGGCGGGTTTAGGAGATTGCCCCCAACGGAGATGAAGATTCCTCAAACAAATTTTACCAAGCATAAAGTCGAGAACGAAGATGGTATTGTCATACTCGGCCCCGAACCGACCCATTGCCAACCCTCTTTGAGTCACTGGAAGGGCAGCTTGCCTACAGCAAAAGAAACAGAAACTGCACGAATTTGTCATATCTACAGAGAAGGAATGGGACGTGGGGTGCCTGATGTGAACAAAATCTGGGCTTATCTTTTCTATCCCCAGCTGTGCCCTTGGACATCAGATGGGTTATTTTTTGCTTTTGGGCCTCTCGGTTCACACTAAAAAATGTTTGCTAATTTCGTTCTGGTTTCAAGAATCTATCCAGGTTGTAAACAAGAGGAGAAAGAGACCTCAACTTAAGCGATTAACACATTTTATTTAATATGACAAGTATAAAATAGAATATACATACATATAGGCGTACATGGACAAATGACACGCTACAAGAGTGATACATTGTAGAAAAATAGAAAATACATATAGTCCACAAAATATTACAAATAGAGACATTGCAGAGAGATTATGATCATTTATATTGGTGATAGAAAGGAATAGCGAGTAGATGCTTGGCCCTTGATATTGTAAGACCACACACCTCAGTCATGTTCAACTCTTTTGGCAACATGATATCCGGAAGCTCCCAATCAAAACAATGCACAAGTTGTGCCAACACTATCTGGACCACAGTAAGGCCTAGATGCATTCCAGGGCAACGTCTTCGGCCAGAGCCGAATGGGATAAGCTCAAAGTGATTTCCTCTAACATCAATGTTGCTACCCTCAAATCTTTCTGGTATGAACTACTCTGCATTTGTCCAAGCACTCGGGTCCCTCCTGATTGCCCACGCGTTTATGATAATATGCGATTTTTTGGGTATGTGGTAGGCATTGACAGTGTAATCTTTAATGGCTGCATGAGGAAGCAACAATGGTGCCACTGGATGTAGCCTCAAGGTTTCCTTCAATACCATGTTCAAGTACTCCAATTTCTCCAAGTTTGATTCCTCCACCATTCTGTCCAATCCAACAACATTTTCTAGCTCCTTTTGGATTTTCTTCATTGCTTTTGGATGCCTCATGAGTTTGGAAAATGCCCACTCGGCTGCTGTTTACATGAAGTAGTGTAAAATTTGGACTCAAATTCTGTTTTAAAGTTTAAACTTTGGATTCAAATAGAATACCAAACAAGCTTTAAATTTTTATGTGTACTCACCAATATTATGGCTTTGATATTGGGGGGGTAGGGGGGGGCGCGGCAGTTCTATACGGTATTGAGATTCTTCAGATCCCATGAAGCCCACCATGACATCAACAAAGTCCTTAGTTATTTCTTCATCGTTAGATTGAAGATGGTCCTCAATGATCTTCTCAAAGAAGGTATCGAAAGCCTTGTTAACAGACTTCATGCGCTTTGTAAACCCTTGGAGGTCAAGGGGAGCAATAAAAGGAATGTGATCGTCCAACTTAGGTGCAGACAATAGTTGTGTGCCCTCTTTGACCACAGACTTGAACCCCCTCGCATCAAACTCCTCATCCATGTACTTCATCCCAAACACCATCTGGCAGCTCATGTCCACGCTGAGAGATGAGACCTTGTCACTCAGATCAACAGCAATACTTGTTAGAGTTTGTATAGGGAAATACACTTGCATTTAATCCCACATTGGAAGGGAGTTGTTTTCTTCCATGGTTTATAACCACCAACACTTTAGAAATACTAAATAGAGTATGGGCCTAGTGGAGGCAAAGTTAGGCCTCATCATGGTTTGGGTTTGGATTATATATTTATTTGTGTAATAAATATATATATAATTAATTGTCAAAAGATGGGCCTTGGGCCTTGGACGCTATGTTGATTTAATTAATAATTTATTTTTATTAATTAAAAATTCACTTTTTCAGATAATACCAAAATTTGAAATTCGAATTAGTTGAACAGTTAACATAACTGTTGGATGAAGAGGTGTCAGACCTCTATATATTTGACAATACGTTCAAACCAGACATATACGTATTGAACAACATTATCATTCTCACATTTTAACACTTCTTGAGAGAATTCATACCATTGTTCGCCAGAAATCAAAACCACTGTGCTTAGGCTTTGATTTAAGTGTGCTTAATCCTGGTGGACAGACTCCTATCGAACTACAAGCACAAGGGTAGATAAGAAATACTGTCTAAAGGACACTGCAACTCTGCAGGACTCTATCTACAATCCAAGTCAATATTCTACAATTTACATTACTGTTGTATTGATTCAATTATATTTGTATAAAATATATTTCGTTTGTTTTTATTATTCTGTTATTTTGGTTTTATTCGGATTGTTCTCCAACAATACTTCCACAATTCGCAGCGGCACGAATAGCCTCAACACGTAGCGCAACCTCTTCTATCCGCATGGACTTGAAGGAGTTGATTTTTTGGTTGCTGAGCAACTCAAGGGTGCACATCTTTCGGATGTCGCACCAATATGAACAATATTCAGCAAATCTCAAGTTCCTCTGCCCAAAAGAGATGTGCTTTGCACCTTCATGGGGTGGCCTGCTAGCAAACGCAAGGTCGTGTGTTTTGAGGAACAGCTCGGCAGCTTTTGGAGATGAGACAACAATTGTAGGCATAAGGCCTAAGCGCATGTACATGATGTCGCCGTATTTTTGGGCTAGTCAATAAGGGTCCTTGTTAGGGAACTCCCCTAGCAAGTGAAGGCTTCCAAAAATGGGAAACCCTCTTGGACCAGGAGGTAATGTCGTCTTCTTGTTCTTGCACCATGCTTGCAAGATAGCAAGGGCAAGCAACCCAATTGTTATCCAAATCCAAACCATTGTTCTTTGAGGTTGTGTTTTTTTGTTTTTTTTTGGGGTCGAATGCTCTTTGGGATGATCTCAAATGGTTGAGCTATTCATAGCCGAGTGTGTTGAGCTATACGTCACTTTTGAATAGGTCTTACTTTGTTTCCTTGTGTAAAAAGAATGGGCATGCTTGATTACAAAAGTGTATCGAGCTGAGAGTGACTTAAATATTATTGTACGTGGGATTTTCAAAAGGGATTGCCAGTTTTTCTTCTTTTTTTTTGGTAATTTTTTTTAGGAAAAGCATTGAAATTCTAGTGCCTCTTATCAATCCAACCTTGTAAGTGCTTACGTCACAGGTCGAGAAGTGAGTGTGACTGCCATCCATTATCTTTATAAAAAAAATACTGGAAGACGTATGGAAATTACAACGTTGTTAGACCATCTCCAAGTTCCAACCATGTTGTTGGGGCAAAACTCAAATTTCCACCCTCTAAAATACAACTATTTATGTATTTTCAGGACTCAAAATTTTTTTTCCTCCAACCTTGCAGACTCATAATTTGAGTCCGCAACTTTATTAAATTGTTTAAGAATGATTAACCCTTAATTTTTTTTTCTTGTTAATTTTTCTTGACATTATTTTTGTTTCAATACTCATGATTTAATTTTCTAAACATTTTATCCTAAAAAAATTAAAATTCCAAAACATAATAGAATTTCACTTAAAAATAAAAACAAGTACAACACCATACGTATGCCCAGAATGTAGAATGAAAAATTATAACAAAGGAAGAAAGGAAAAAAATGATTTTTAGTGGATTATTTACCAAATGAATGGCTATTTATAGAGTTTGGAATAAATTTTGGGGTTAGATCTAACTTAGATTAATTATAAATATTAATTTGACCGTTGGATTTAAATATGAGCTGTTGGATGTGAAATTTTACTGTTTAGATTGCCTAAAATGAATCTGAATCGTTGATTATTCAATATGTTGGAATATTTCAAAAGAAAAAAAAAGAAAAAGAAAAAAGCATAACAAAACATACCAAAAATAGCCGTTGCTTTTCAATAAACTAGAGGGAATCTTCATTCCCACTTGCCAGCAACACAGCCCACGTGATGGGCTTCTCACATCATACGATAAAAAGATATTTATTAAAGCAGAATTGGGCCCCACAGATTTATCAGTCCAGGCAGAATTCTTGGTGGAATTCCAGTCCAATTTTGAGTCATCTCAAATTTTCACCTCCCAAAATACATGGGTTGGAGATGGTTTTTGAAGACTAAACTCAAAATTTGAGTTTCCACCCCAAGGGTTGGAGATGGTCTTATGTCTATACATAAACCAGATTGAAATTGCTTTGAAGTTATGTCTATGCGTAACAAAGCTAATTTGAGAAGAACAGCTGTATGATTGGAGTTGTTCATAAACCAGATTGAAATTGCTTTGAAGTCAGCCATAAAGAAGCCCAAACCCAGCACAATGAAGCTCCCATTTGGACTATGTGGGTCAAGAAGAGAAAACTAAGGGGAGAGAGGTGGGCGATATGCGATATTGGGGAGGACATTGGTCAGCAAAATTAGAGGAACAAGTTGACCATGGATCCTTTAGAGAGAGAGAGAGAGAGATGGGTGGTGGCTGGGAATGTGGAGGAAATGTGGAGGATAGGTTGAGCTGGGTAGGGATCTTTTCAGTTTTAAATTCTTTTTAATTGTCCAAATATTTAGTTCTTAATAATTTATGTTTTTAAAATAAAAATAATAAGTCATGTGCTATGTGACTTTTTGGATGGAAAATGGATGAAATTTGAAAATTTTGTTGATAAAGGTTAAAGTGGTTGTTTTAATGAGTTCGATGCTAAATTGACTGCTTTGTTAGTTTTGGAGGTTAAGTTCGATTAAGGTCATGGTTCGGAGGATAAAAGAGCTAAAAATTCGAACTAATTTTTTGAGAAACAGAATGAGGAAAACTGCAAAACCAAATACAAAATAGTTGATTATGTCCCAGATTGACTAATACATGCTACCATGTTTCCTTCTCATTATCTCTAATATTGTGATTGCATAAACCATGCTTCTGTTGACAAGTTCACGTGAGGAGAGGAAACTCGAGTAAGACAATTTTCTTGGTTTATTCACGTCAGCAACAAGACTTGAGTAAGTGGCTAAATTCAACGGCATTGTCTGAGTTATCAGCTCTTATCTTGTTCAGCAAAACTTCTCTAATTTGGTGGGCTATTGGAGCCAACCAAATTAGATTTGACCATCTTGTCTTGTGTCTGTATCTCCATTTGAAAGTTTTCTGTTTTTAATTTTTTTACAATTGAAAACAAAGAATATGAAAATTGAAAGAACGGACCCTCAAATTTAACAGGTCGTGTTGTGCAGCCGCTCTCACTTTAAGTGATCAACACAATTTTATTCAATTTATTTCTTTATCATCTGTATTTTCCTGAGGTGAAGAAAACAAATGTATGAAGCTACAAGAGTGGTACATGCGCCTTATGCTGATTTGCGAAGGCGATAGGAAGGGATAGCGAGTAGGTGCTTGGCCCTTGGAACCGTAAGGCCAAACTCCTCAGTCATGTCCAACTCATCTGGCAACATGTTATTTGGAAGTTCCCAATCAAAACAATGCACAAGTTGTGCCAGCACTAACTGGACCACAGTAAGGCCTAGCTGAATTCCAGCGCAACGTCTTCGGCCAGAGCCGAATGGGATAAGCTGAAAGTGATTTCCTGTAACATCAACGCTGCTACACTCAAATCTTTCTGGTATGAACTTTTCTGCATCTGTCCAAGCATTCGGGTCTCTCCCGATTGCCCACACGTTTATGAGGACCCGAGATTTTTTGGGTATGTGGTATCCATTGACAGTGCAATCTTCAGTGGATGCATGAGGAACCAGTAATGGTGCTACTGGATGTAGCCTAAAGGTTTCCTTCACTACCATGTTCAAGTAGTCCAATTTCTCCAAGTCTGATTCCTCCACCATTTTATCCAATCCAACAACATTTTCTAGCTCTTTTTGGACTTTCTTCATCGCTTTCGGATGCCTCATGAGTTCGGAGAGTGCCCACTCAATCGTTGTCGATGATGTGTCCATGGAGGCCACCAGCATGTCCTGCAAAGAAATTCGCCATAGTTTACATGAAGTAGTGTAGCACACATGACATAGATGATAAATTACATAAGGGATTTACATGTTAAATATATATTTGAAGGTAATGTTACTCCTAAATAATGATTCAGATTCACAATCTTAGACAATGAGATGTTAAATTGTCTAACATGAAACAATGTCCTTTTACTTTGAGCAATGCAAAAAATAAAATGACAAATAATTTATATAAAAAATGATGCTAGGATTTGGTGTATATGTATACTCACCAACATTATAGCCTTGATATGGGGGCGTTCGATTCGGTATTCGGATTCTTCGGACCCCATGAAGCCCACCATAACATCAACAAAGTCCTTAGTTCTTTCTCCATCGTTAGGTTTAAGATGCTCCTCAATGATCTTCTCAAACAAGTTATCAAATGCCTTGTTAACAGACTTCATGCGTTTTGTGAACCCTTGGAGGTCAAGTGGAGCAATAAAGGGAATGTAATCACCCAAGTTAGGAGCAGATGCCAATTGGATACCCTCTCTGACCACAGACTTGAAACCCCTCTCATCAAACTCCTCATCCCTGTACTTCTTCCCAAGCACCATCCGGCAGCTCATGTCCACGCTGAGAGACGAGACCTTGTCACTCAGATCAACAGCAACACCTCTATTATTTGCGGCCGCTCGAATAGACTCAACACAGAGAGAAACCTCTTCTCTTCTCATGGACTTGAAGGAGTTGATTTTGTGGTTGCTGAGCAACTCAATTGTGCACATCTTCCGGGTGTCGCGCCAATACACGCCATACTCAGAAAAGATCAAGTTTTTTTGTCCGAAAGAGATGTGCTTTGAACCTTCATGTGGTGGCCTGCTAGCAAAAACAAGGTCGTGTGTTTTGAGGAACAGCTCAGCGGCTTCTGGAGATGAGATGACAATGGTAGGCATAAGGCCTAAGCGCATGTACATGATGTCGCCGTATTTTCGGGCTAGCCGATGAAGATCCTTGTTAGGAAACTCCCCTAGCAAGTGAAGGCTTCCAAAAATGGGGAACCCTCTTGGACCAGGAGGTAACCTCTTCTTCTTGTTCTTCCACCATGCTTGCAGGATATGAACAAGGGCAAGCAACCCAATTGTTGCCCAAATCCAAACCATTGCTAGCTCCTTGGGGATGATCTCAAATGGTTGAGCTAGGCGAGAGAGGTCTCTCTGCTATAACTTTTGGAAAAGGTCTTACTTTTGTTTCTTCGTGTTCCTATACTTTTCTTCCTTTAATAATTAGTTTAGTCGGATAGATTAAAGGAAAAAAAACAAAAAAAAACATGGAAGAGTGGTAGATAAGGCTTAATCCTCTGAATGGACACATGTCTCTTGGTGCACAAGTAAGACTATTTTCTTCGTACTTTCATGTCAGCATGAGTAGGTGGCATTTATTGTTCCATGGCAGTGAGTTTAATTATTTTCTTTCTTTTTTGTGTACTTGTCGATCACTCTCGCTTTTAGGTCCAATTGAAAACGTCACCACCTCTAAGTTTTGAAGAGCGTGGGCCATTGGAGAGCCACTATATTAGAATAAATCTAGATCTCCAATTGAATCATATATAGTGATTTTTATTTATATCTTTTGTGTAGGATGAATTTCAACATCAACGCTTGTTATATCTTGATAATTTTCTGAAAGGTCAATAATGTTACCTCTACTGTATGAGCTAACTGTTTGGCTAATAGCTGACAGGGCAAAGTTGCTGATGTGTCAAGATTGTTGCGTTAATCATGTGTGTTAATTTGTATTAGCTGTTGTAATAGTCACATGTATCTTTCAGTTAGTTACGGAGAGCTAGCTTAATTACTAAGCAAAGCCCAAAGTATAAGGGCTCGTTTAGTAACATTTTCAAAGAATTTTTTCTTAGAATATTTTTAGAGAATGAATTTGCATTTTTAGGAAATGAAAATGCGTCTAGTAGATTAATTAGAAAACATCTTCAAAAAATAAAAACAATGAAAACGTGTCTGGTAGTACAATTTGAAATAATAATATGAGAGTTATTTTTATGAAAACATTTCCCATGAGAATGAAAACAACTTTTTTCTGTTTTTTACAAGTACACATGAACTTGTTTTCATTTTAGGAAAACATTCTCAGTGTTTTCTGTTTTTGGGTCACCAAAAGTGCTTTTGCCTCATTTTTGTTCTCTGAAAATGAAAACAACTCCTTAAAACGTTACCAAACGGGCCATAAAGGTTTCTTGGTATTGTAATATTCAACAATTGAAAATAGAAATCTCAAATACTATTCTCATTTTCTCTCTCATATTTCTTGATTCTTCTTCTTCTTCTCAATTCTTCCTCAATTGTTAGCATGATATCAAAGCTCTCCGTGGCTTGTACCCTCTGATCCTGATGTGCTTCCATTGTTTTCAACTCTGATTTCATGTTCTCTTTCTTTCCCCTTCTTCAATTTCACGCTCAATTCCTTTCCTGTTCGTTGGATCTATTTCTTCGATTTCATTATCAATTTCTTTCTCAATTTCACGTCTTCTTCTTCCATTCCAAAATTCTCATCTTTCTTCTGTGTTGTTCGACAATTTCCTCTTCCAAGGTTTCTTTGACATTCTACTTTTCTGCATCAATGGCAGCTTCGTCTCCCAAAATTGAAGGATTGCTAGGAATGGTCACTCTGCATCTGAAAGATGATAATTTATTGAAATGGAAATATCATATTGAATCTATTTTGGAAGGTTATGATCTTTTCGGCCATTTCGATGGATCTATCATTGCTCCCCAAAAATTTGCTATTTTGGATGAAGAAAGGGTCACCTTCGAGGTTATTGGAGCATCTAAGGAGTGGCTTCGGGCTGATAAAGCATTATTGAGCTTTCTAATTGCAACACTTTTGGACAATGCAATTGAATATGATATTGGTAGTAAAACTGCTCGTGATGCTTGGTTGAGCCTCTCCAATCGCTATGCCACCATGTCTCATGCTCGGATCAATCGCCTCCAGACTGAGTTGCAGACGGCTCAAAAAGGTGGTGATTCAATCGATAAATTTATCTTGCATCTCAAACATATCAAGGATCAGTTGTCCATTGCTTGAGTTTCGATTTTGGATGATGGTCTCATCATCGTAACCCTTAATGGATTACCTTCCAAGTACGATATGATCAAGACAGTTCTCATTACTCGAGATACTTCCATTTCGTTCAAAGAGTTTCAAACTCAGCTTTTAATTACTGAACAATCTGCTGAATCACACATTTCAGCTCATCATACTCCTATGGTGGCCATGATTGGTCATACTTCTTCGGGCTCTTAAAATACAAGCGTTGGTTACTTCCAACTAGCTTGACTGTTCTTGTATCTCCTTCTAGCTTTCATGCCAATGCTCGGCGCTCTGGTTCTATGTCAAATTCTTTTGGAAGAGAAAGGTTTTCTGGTAATCGATCTTTTCCTCCTCGTGGAGTTTTCAAGGCTCCAGACCTTATCATGGCCACCCAAGCTAAATAGAATTCATCTATTGAACCTAGTTAGTTTGTGATTACAATGCAATTTGGTTTTTTCTCTATTACAATACTCTATGTCGTGTTGTTGGGATATGGTTAACTCATGTCAAGTTTCTAACATGACATCTTTAGGTTATATGATTCTCTTGGATGTAATTGCAAACATTCTTGTTTCAATTCTCATCCTATAATATTTAGCCAAAGATTCAACGAATCACATCTTTAGATTATTCTCGCTTCTTACTAAGAGTAGATATTCCTTGTCATACATTCACATGCCTCTATGCATGTCATGAGGAACACCTTTAAGTCACATCCTTTTGATACGACTGTATGGTGCTCTCAAATACAAACAACCCATACACAAGACAACCGTGATGTCTCAGATTCAAGGACTAATTTGCTTTATCATAACTTTAGAATTCTTTGTTTGATACTTGTGAGTAAGACTTCCATACAAGAATTCTTAAGTTGATCGCGTTCAGTGAACTGAATTGAGCAGACTAGTCATCCTCCAAATTGAGCAGACATAATGTGTACTAGTCTTTGCAGATTACCATTGTCCAATTGGTGATCCTATGACCATGAGTAGTTTAGGATTCAATATTTCTATGATGGAAAGGTCTAGTGAATCTAATTTCTTTAGACTGCTTTTCATTCATATCTTTATCCATGTACTTATTACTTTATGTACATTACGTATCTTAGAGTAACAATCATGCCCCTTTTGATTATATTAATTATATTATATCCTTAGAATATTCTATTTTTATATTGGCTTCTAGGGCATATATCTAATAGTGGACACATCATCAGTTAACATCTGACCAAACAGTCAACTTAATGAAAGGCTTAAATTGGTTATGATTTGAAAACTATGAGTGCATCTAAAAGGAGAGAAGTTTCTCTATACTCTTCTCTGTATAATTTGTTTCGTAGTGTTTAATGAACGAGGGTGCGTGGAAGATCCAAACACCTAGAATTGTATGTGGGCTTTTCAACGCCCATATTTTTTGTTGGAAAATCACAAGCTTCTTGATCTACAACCATTCATAAAGTATCCTAAGGCACCGTTTCAAATGAAGCATCAGAATTGAATCGTACAGACCTCAGCTGGTCCTATTCATTAATTCAATTCTCTTCTGGAAAGTTGTCGATAAAGACATTTGATTTGTTCATTGTGTAACTACATTGAGCAATACAGTATACATAGCATTTTTGTCTCTCTCTCTCTCTCTTTCCTTTTCTATCTATCTTTCTTCTACCTGTTTGTCTATTTCTTTTTTGCATCTCATAATTTTCTTTTTAGAATATACCACTTCTACAAAACCTCAAAATTGGTCACATATCAATTCGTGGCCCATACTAACAAAAGCCACACTGTTCTTTTGTGGCCAAAGTGAGTGAGCCACTGATAAACCACGGATCATGTCATTGTGTTCCTTACATGGTTTCTTTTACCGGACGGGAAGGGAGGAAACTCGATTTAAAGAAAAGAAAAAAAAATAAAAAAAAAAAAAAAAAAACACATGAAAAAAATTAAGAAAGATAAATCACAACATGCTTTCCTTCATGAATCTTGTTGAACACAATTCCTCGTTTAGTCTTTTGCCACAAATATATTTAGCAAAACGTTTCTAAACAAATAGCAGAGATGTTTTGATAGCATACCTCATGCATTGCTGGCATAGGATAAGGGCTACAGCTCACCCTTCTCTTTTACAACTAGAATTTCCCTCTTAGGGTTTTACTTGTATATATATAAGCTTTATCTTTCTCTGTAAAGTGTATGGGAGGATAGCCGAAAATATCTTGTAACCATTTTTATACAAATAACAATACAATTCGTATTCTTTCAAGGTCTGAATTTGATACCTTCTTCTTTTACAAAAGTTATCCCAACTACTGAGATATCAGAGATTGAGACTATAATTTTATTCCTCCTCTTCTATAGTGGGTTCAAAGTGAACTTTTTGAAATATGTTTTTAGTTCAATTCTATGATTGTTTGGTCTTTCCTTTTTTGTTAATGGAGAATGGGGAATCGAATTTGGAATCACTTTCAACGTTGAGATGAAAAATACTGCTGGACCAATAGCTAGTTGGTAAAAACCATGTTTGTTGTATTTTCAATAGCAAGTATTATTGTATCGTGGCTTTGTTATGGGTGAGTTGGATCTAGGTTTTGCTTTGAATTTCTCTTTCAATCAATATAAACAGATGAGTGTTTAAGTAGTTTTTTATATTGTTTTTTGTTTTCAGGATTCTCCTTGTGATAATAAAGATTGTTCCCATAAGACAATGTCACCTAAAGAAGAACAAGAATAAAAAATCTACAGGTAAAGATTGGGACATGGGGTGCCTGATGTTTACAAAATATAGTCTGCTTATTTGTATCTTGTTTGAAGAAATTTATCCAAGTTGTAAACCAAAGGAGAAAGACCCTCAACTTAAGTACGTAACGCAATTTTATTTAATTTATTTATAATTTTCTTCAAGTGAAGAAAACAAATGTAACGCGTCACAAATGGTATATATTAGAAAAACAGAAACGACACAACAAAATATTAAAACTACAAAATGAGGCATTGTAGACATATTATGATCATTTGTGAAGTCGATAAGAAGGAATAGCGATTAGACGTTTGGCCCTTTCCACCGTAATGCCAAAAGACTCACTCATGTCCAATTCTTCTGGCAACATGTTATTTGGAAGTTCCCAATCAAAACAGTGGACAAGTTGTGCCAACATTAACTGGACCACAGTGAGCCCTAACTGAATTCCTGGGCAACGTCTTCGGCCAGAGCCAAATGGGATAAGCTGAAAGTGATTTCCTCTAACATCAACGTCGCTACCCTCAAATCTTTCTGGTATGAACTCCTCTGCATCAGTCCAAGCACTTGGGTCTCTCCCAATTGCCCAAGCATTTATGATAACGCGCGATTTTTTGGGTATGTGGTAGCCATTGACGATGCAGTCTTCAGTGGCCGCATGAGGAACCAACAATGGCGCAACTGGGTGTAGCCTCAGGGTTTCCTTCACTACCATGCTCAAGTAGTCCAATTTCTCCAAGTCTGATTCCTCTACCATTCTCTCCAATCCAACAACATCTTCTAGCTCCTTTTGGACTTGTTTCATTGCTTTTGGATGCCTCATTAGCTCGGACAGTGCCCAGTCGACCGTTGTTGATGACGTGTCCATGGAGGCCACCAGCATGTCCTGCAAAGAAATTTTGCCATTTTTTTACATTAAGTGGTGTAACAGACATAGAAAAAACCATATACACATGATAAATAACAAAAGGGACATGTATAACTGATCAATTGAAACAAAATTCCACCTAATTAATGGTTCAGATTCACAAATCTTAAACCTCGACATGTTAAATTTTCTCACAAGAAATGATTTCGTTTTACATCGAGCAATGCTAGAATAAAAGGACAAATAATTAAAATGATGCAAGGATTTAGTGTTTAATACCACCATGCCTATATGTTTAAGTTTTTGTGTATACTAACCATTATTATCGCTTTGATATGAGGGCGTTCGATTTGGTATTCAGATTCTTCGGATCCCATGAAGCCCACCATGACATCAACAAAGTCTTTAGTCCTTTCTCCATCGTTAGATTGAAGATGTTCCTCAATGATCTTCTCAAAAAAGGTATCAAACGCCTTGTTAACAGACTTCATCCGCTTTGTAAACCCTTGGAGGTCAAGGGGAGCTATAAAAGGAATGTAATCAGCCAAGTTAGAGGCGCCTGCCAATTGGAGGCCCTCTTTGATCACAGACCTGAAACCCCTCGTATCAAAATCCTCATCCCTGTACTTCTTCCCAAGCACCATCCGGCAGCTCATGTCCACGCTGAGAGATGAGACAATGTCACTCAGATCAACAGCAACATGTCCCTTATAGGCAGCGTCTCGAATAGACTCAACACAGAGAGCAACCTCTTCTCGCCTCATGGACTTAAAAGAGTTGATTTTGTGGTTGCTGAGCAACTCAAGTGTGCACATCTTCCGCATGTCGCGCCAATACGGGCCATATTCAGCGAAGCTCAAGTTCCTCTGCCCAAAAGAGATGTGCTTTGCACCTTCATGAGGTGGCCTGCTAGCAAACACAAGGTCGTGTGTTTTCAGGAACAGCTTGGCAGCTTGTGGAGATGAGACAACAATGGTGGGCATAAGGCCTAAGCGCATGTACATGACGTCACCATATTTTTGGGCTAGTCGATGAAGATCCTTGTTAGGGAACTCCCCTGATAGCAAGTGAAGGCTTCCAAAAATGGGAAACCCTCTTGGACCAGGAGGTAACCTCTTCTTCTTGTTCTTGCACCATGCTTGCAGGATGTGAACAAGTGCAAGCAACCCAATTGTTGCCCAAATCCAAACCATTGCTGTTTTGGGGATATGATCTCAAATGGTTGAGCTAGATCTAGCTGACTGTGTTTAAGACGGTATGTCTCTCTATACTTCTTCTGTTTATGTACTTTGTTTAGATCTTCCAAACACCTAGACTATTTGTATGTGGGCTTTTCAAATGGGATTCTATTCTTTGTAGGCGGCATCTAATAGTCTTTCCTCTTTTCTTTCAGTCTTTTGCTACAAATATATTCAACAAAATTACTACTAAAAAAATAGAGTTGTTGGGAAAACATCATCACCTTAAGATTTCTTGGAGTGGGTTCCAAGTCCCTTCATCTTTTCTTACCATTAGACTAAATCTATATCTCCAATTGAAAATTTTGTCTTGTTTCGTATTGAAAATTTAGACTAGAACTCTTTGGTCAATATTGTCATGAAGAGAGGCGTATAAATGTTTCTTGATGCACAAGTAGGCAGCGTCTAATAGTCTTTCCTTGATGATCACTTCCTCTTTTCTTACCATTAGACTAAATCTATATCTCCAATTGAAAATTTTGTCTTGTTTCGTACTGATACGTACAGAGATCATCAAGACTAGAACTCTTTAGTCAATATTGTCATGTTAATTTTTTTTTTTTGGTCGGAATATTGTCATGTCACTTGTGATCTAGAATTCAAGAAACCTCTATTAATATCAAGACATAAATTATTAGATGAGTAGATTACATATTAACCCCCAGGAGGGTTAATGCATTTTGACTTGAATTATGTTCTTAAAATTTTAACATTCGCTTGATCTTTTAATAAACAAAAATGAGGCATTCAAATTTGAGATTTCTGTCAATATTTGAAAAAAAAACAAATACCAAGAGTTAGTTTCAACTTTTTTAGAAAATGGTATTGAGTTAGTACCATCTTGAACAATGATGTTATGTAACTTTTTGTTATCATGTAATGACATGGGAAAAAATATAATACCTAGAGAGCCAGCATGGATGGTTGGTCACCATGGCCAACACATGGGTGCGGTGATTTATTATTTGAATATAAGTGATATTCTAAACTACAATGGGAGGAGGTCTCTCAAACATATACTATCAAGGTGTCATGAGATTTTGAACGTGAGACTAGGGATCATCTTTTAACCCTAGGTCGAAGTGAGTCACCCGAAGCCCATGGGCCAAATCCCAACCTAACCCGATGAGTAGGCCCACACGGCCCAGTTCGTTCTAAGATTGGGTAGAGTTTGGGCTTCGGATTTGAAACCCCATGCCCACCCATGGCCAGACCCCAGTAGGCCTGCCCATTACCTTATCTTGCCTTATTTCCATCCCAAACATTTAAGTAAATATCATGTCTTTTTACTTTAATTTGCTTTTATATTACTCCATTTTCTTTTTTGTTTTGTTTTTTTTTTTTTAACACTGAGAATGATATTAATAACGAAGGTGAAGGTTTACATCAGAGGTAAGAAAATTAAAAAGCCAATCAGTTCCTAGATGATCCCAAACATGAATACCCCCCTGCTTAGAGGCAAAACCCGCAACAGAATGGGCAGCCTGGTTACAGGACCGAGGAGCAAACACGAAGGAAACCCGAGAGAGAGAAGCCACCAACTGCCTGATATCAAAGACAATCACCTCCAAGTCTGAGTCTACTGTAGCCCGACCATTAAGCATTAAGATACCCTTTTGAGAATCCGACTCCACAATAATGTCTGTGAGATGAAAAATAGCACACTCACTGAGCGCATGGCGAATAGCTAGAAGTTCCATCATAATAGCGGAGGAACCATGAATGTCTCCCTGTCCACCCGCACAAAGCAATAAACCAAAAGAATCCCGTATGACCCAGCCAACACCCCCACCCATCCGCTGAGCAGACCATGCGGCATCACAGTTTACTTTAAGAAAACCGGGCGGAGGTTTACACCAGCTCAGGGGAGCAGGACTGCTGGCAGGTTGGAGAGGCAAATAAGGAAGTACTCCATTTTGAATTCAATTAAAAATACTAAAAAATCAAATTTCCAACAAATCAAAATATGAAAATCCAACCTGATGACGAAACGTACTATGGGACCAATGATCTGCAAGTCAAGTCCTTTTTTTATTGGTCTAAATCCCATTTACTAGGTACAATGATATCTATATGCAATGTTTTAGGCTTTGCTTTAATTTCTCTCTTTTTTTAAATTTTTTTAAAAAGAACTCTATTAATATCAAGACTAGAACTCTATTTACATGAGGAAGTATATGTTGATCAACCCCCTGGATTCATGATTAAGAACAAAGAGGATAGAGTTTACAGACTCAAGAAGGCATTATATGGCCTTAAGGAAGCTCCAAGAGCTTGGTATGAAGAAATCAACTCTTATTTCACAAAGGTTGGTTTTCAAAGAAGTCCTAGTGAAGCAACATTTTATGTGAAATCTGCAGAAAGTGGAATACTGGTTATTTCCCTATATGTGGATGACATTATTTACACTGGAAGCTCAGGAGAATTGATGATGGAGTTCAAAACTGAGATGATGAAAAAATATGAGATGACTGACCTTGGGTTATTACATCATTTCTTGGGTTTAGGTGTGATACAAACAGAGTCCTACATCTTCTTGCATCAGAAGAAATATGCAAGGACATTGCTGGACAAGTTTGGTTTCAAAGATTGCAAATCAGTTGCTACTCCTCTTGCAGTGAATGAAAAATTATCTAAGGTGGATGGGAGTGAACAAGCTAATGAAAGTGTGTGTATAGGCAAATAGTTGGAAGTCTGCTATACTTGACTGCAACAAGACTGGATCTCATGTTTGCAACGAGCCTTTTGGCTAGATTTATGCATGGTCCTACTAGAAAACATATGGGAACTGCTAAGAGGATACTCATATACATTCAAGGCACACTTGATTATGGTATAACATATGAGAAAGGGAAAGAAGCAATGCTTATTGGCTACTGTGATAGTGATTCGTTAGGGAGTGAAGATGACATGAAAAGCACATTTGGATATGCATTTAGTCTTGGATCAGGTGTATTTTCTTGGGCATCTATCAAGCAAAGCAGTGTTGCACTATCCACTGCAGAAGCTGAATATGTTAGTGCAGCAGAAGCCACTGCACAAGCAATCTGGTTGAGATTTGTTCTCTCAGATTTTGGTGAAGAACAGGTTGGTGCTACTCCAATTCTATGTGATAATACTTCAGCTATAGCCATAACCAAGAATCCTGTGCATCATCATAAGACAAGGCATATAAACAGGAGATTTCATTTCATTCGAGATGCGTTTCAAAATGGAGAGATTGATTTGTTATACTGCAAGATTGAAGAGCAAACTGCAGATATTTTACCAAGGCATTGGCCAGGGATCGTTTTGAATACCTAAGAAGAAAGCTTGGAGTACTATCAGCTAAACACATAGAAGAGAGTGTTGAAATATAAGTGTTTTAGCTGATATTATTTTGTATTTAGTTTAAATTTACAGATTTAAATGTGAGCCCTTGGATTACAGTCCAAGTGGACAGTTAAGATGTAATCTTAGAATAGGAGAATGGATGACTAGATTTGGATGATGTAATGTGGGAATATTCTGTTCCCAACAGTTAAGTGTGCACAGTGTGTGTGTGAATGAAAGTGAATACATCTGCTTCTTTCTCAAGCTCTCTCTCTCTCTCTCTCTCTCCAAAATCTAACATTTCCCTCTTAGGGTTTTACTTGTATATATAACCTTTCTCTATAAAGTGTATGGGAGGATAGCCAAAAATATCTTGTAACCATTTTTATCCAAATAAAAATACAATTCGTATTCTTTCAAGGTCTGAATTTGAAACCATCTTCTTTTACAAAAGTTATCCCAACTACCGAGATATCAGAGATTGAGACTCATAATTTTATTCCTCCTTTTTCTATATAAGTGTTGCTAGTTCAGTTACCCCGCTTTAGTTAACCAGAACTTTTTGAAATATGTTTTTAATTCAATTCTATGATTGTTTGCTCTTTCCTTGTTGTTAATGGAGAATGGGGAATCGAATTTGGAAACACTTTCAACATTAAGATGAGAAATACCAATAGACCAGTAGCTAGTTGGTGAATGTTGGTTGTCTTTTCAATAACAAGTATTATTGTATTGTGGTTTTGTTATGGGTGAGTGTAACCAGTTGAATCTAGGTTTTGCTTTGAATTTTTTTTGTTTTTTTGTTTTTTGTTTGTTTGTTTTTTGTTTGTTTTTTTTCAGGATTCTCCTTGTGATAAAGATTGTTCTCATAAGACAATGTCGCCTAAAGAAGAACAAGAATAAAAAAATCTAGGATAAAAACATAATATTCAAGTCAACTGATGGAGAACTGGTCAATGTAATTACTCTCTTTAAAATATCATTTTCTGTTTGCCATTGTTTTTCCTTTAACAATTTAAAGGAAATATATATGTGTGAAAATTAAAAAAATTATCCCTTCTTTTCCTTTCATTTTGGAAAATATCTCCAAAAAAAAAACAATTATAATGTGTATTCGGATATAAGGGGACGTGAAATTTGATAATGAAGAAAGAACTTTAGTGCCAGTTTTATAACTGATTTGAACATGGTAGTGGGACTCAAATGACTCATAAGGAAATAAAAAAAATTGGCGAATAAAAACAAAATGGAATAACAAGGGACTTGTAGTTCAAGCGGCTAAGAACATTTATTCGTGCTCCCAAAATTCTAGGTTTGATTTTCCCAATATCGATTGTATAAAAAATGATAAAATCTGGAAATATGGAGTGTTTGGGAGAAAGAGAATGACAGAATTTTCTGGTTTTTCCAACTTGATTTTTTTGTATAACTTACAACAGGAATTTATACAAGAAGTAGGCTCGCTAACCAAGCTCAATATTAATTACAAGTAGGTAGATTGCAGCTGGTCTTGAGCTCCAAATCCTTGCGCCCCTAATCCTGGAGATTGCAGCAGCCTCCCAAAGTCAAGCCAACCTCATTAATGCAGCCAACCTCCAGCTGGTCTAGCTAACATAAAAAGCAAAAGAAAAAACAAAACAGAGAAAGGCTACTATCAAGTCCTGTATTTCAAAAATTTCATATATACATTAGTTACAAAATGAACGCAAACATAATAGTCCCTCGACCAACACTCATGCGCTTGACAAGTAACTATAAAGCCTTGGTATAGTAGACATGGTGACTTGTGTTGATCTTTCAGTCAGCTTGCCTACAGCAACTGCAGGAATTTGTCATATCAACAGATAAAGATTGGGACATGGGGTGCCTGATGTTTACAAAATATAGTCTGCTTATTTGTATATCTTGCTTCAAGAAATCTATCCAAGTTGTAAACGAAAGGAGAAAGAGACCCTCAACTTAAGTACGTAACGCGATTTTATTTATTTTATTCTTTTTTTAAAATATAATTTTCTTCAAGTGAAGAAAACAAATGTAACGCGTTACAAGAGTGGTATATAGTAGAAAAACAGAAACGACACTACAAAATATTAAAAGTACAAAATGAGGCATTGCAGACATATTATGATCATTTGTGAAGTCGATAAGAAGGAATAGCGATTAGACGTTTGGCCCTTGCCACCGTAATGCCAAACACCTCGCTCATGTCCAATTCTTCTGGCAACATGTTATTTGGAAGTTCCCAATCAAAACAATGGACAAGTTGTGCCAACATTAACTGGACCACAGTGAGCCCTAACTGAATTCCTGGGCAACGTCTTCGGCCAGAGCCAAATGGGATAAGATGAAAGTGATTTCCTCTAACATCAACGTCGCTACCCTCAAATCTTTCTGGTATGAACTCCTCTGCATCGGTCCAAGCACTTGGGTCTCTCCCAATTGCCCAAGCGTTTATGATAACGCGCGATTTTTTGGGTATGTGGTAGCCATTGACGGTGCAGTCTTCAGTGGCTGCATGAGGAACCAACAATGGCGCAACTGGGTGTAGCCTCAGGGTTTCCTTCACTACCATGCTCAAGTAGTCCAATTTCTCCAAGTCTGATTCCTCTACCATTCTCTCCAATCCAACAACATCTTCTAGCTCCTTCTGGACTTTTTTCATTGCTTTTGGATGCTTCATGAGCTCGGACAGTGCGTAGTCGACTGTTGTTGATGACGTGTCCATGGAGGCCACCAGCATGTCCTGCAAAGAAATTTGCCATTTTTTTACATTAAGTGGTGTAACAGACACAGACAAAACTATATACACATGATAAATAACAAAAGGGACATGTATAACTGATCAATTGAAACAAAATTCCACCTAATTAATGGTTCAGATTCACAAATCTTAAACTCGACATGTTAAATTTTCTCACAAGAAACAGTTTCGTTTTACTTCAAGCAATGTTAGAATAAAAGGACAAATAATTAAAATGAAGCAAGGATTTGGGGTTTAATACCACCATGCCTATGTTTAATTTTTTGTGTATACTAACCAGTATTATCGCTTTGATATGAGAGCGTTCGATTCGGTATTCAGATTCTTCGGATCCCATGAAGCCCACCATGACATCAACAAAGTCTTTAGTCCTTTCTCCATCGTTCGATTGAAGATGTTCCTCAATGATCTTCTCAAAGAAGACATCAAACGCCTTGTTAACGGACTTCATCCGCTTCGTAAACCCTTGGAGGTCAAGGGGAGCTATAAAAGGAATGTAATCAGCCAAGTTAGAGGCGCCTGCCAATTGGACGCCCTCTTTTATCACAGACCTGAAACCCCTTGCATCAAAATCCTCATCCCTGTACTTCTTCCCAAGCACCATCCGGCAGCTCATGTCCATGCTGAGAGATGAGACATTGTCAGTCAGATCAACAGCAACACGTCCCTTATCTGCAACCGCTCGAATAGACTCAACACAGAGCGCAACCTCTTCTCTCCTCATGGACTTAAAGGAGTTGATTTTGTGGTTGCTGAGCAACTCAAGGGTGCACATCTTCCGCATGTTGCGCCAATAAGCGCCATATTCAGCGAAGCTCAAGTTCCTTTGCCCAAAAAGGATGTGCTTTGCACCTTCATGAGGTGGCCTGGTAGCAAACACAAGGTCGTGTGTTTGCAGGAACAGCTTGGCAGCTTGTGGAGATGAGACAACAATGGTGGGCATAAGGCCTAAGCGCATGTACATGATATCGCCATATTTTCGGGCTAGTCGGTGAAGATCCTTGTTAGGGAACTCCCCTGATAGCAAGTGAAGGCTTCCAAAAATGGGAAACCCTCTTGGACCAGGAGGTAACCTCTTCTTCTTGTTCTTGCACCATGCTTGCAGGATGTGAACAAGTGCAAGCAACCCAATTGTTGCCCAAATCCAAACCATTGCTGTTTTGGGGATATATATATATATATATATATATATATATATGATCTCAAATGGTTGAGCTATATCTAGCTGAGTGTGTTTAAGACGTACGGTATGTCTCTCTATACTTCTATTTATATATTTTGTTTAGATCTTCCGAACACCTAGACTATTTGTATGTGGGCTTTTCAAACCTTTGAAGTCAAAGGTCGAGAATAAAATAAATGTATCATCAGATGAGAGGAAACTCCATTTTAAGACCTTTCAAGGAAGTCGTTGATTTTTTTATTTTTTTAATAATTAGTTTGATGGATTAAAGAAAAATAAAGAGTATGAACATGAAGAGACGTAGATAAATGTTTTCTTGATGCACAAGTAGGCGGCGTCTAAAAGTCTTTCCTCTTTTCTTACCATTAGACTAAATCTATATCTCCAATTGAAAAATTTGTCTTGTTTCGTACTGATACGTACAGAGATCATCAAGACTAGAACTCTTTAGTCAATATTGTCATGTTATTTTTTATTTTTGGTCGGAATATTGTCATGTCACTTGTAATCTAGAATTCAAGAAACCTCTATTAATATCAAGACATAAATTATTAGATGAGTAGATTACATATTAACCCCTAGGAGGTTTAATGCATTTTGACTTAAATTATGTTCTTACAAATTTAACATTTGCTTGATGTTTTAATCAACAAAGATGAGGGATTTGAATTTAAGATTTCTGTCAATATTTGAAAAAAGACAAATACCAAGAGTTAGTTTCAACTTTTTAAGAAAATGCTATTAAGTTAGGACCATCTTGAACAATGATGTTAAGCAACTTTTTGTTATCATGTAATGACATGGGAAAAAAAAATACCTAGAGAGCCAGCATGGATGGGTGGTCGCCTTGGCCAACATATGGGTGCAATGATTTATTATTTGAATAAAAGCGGTATTCTAAATTACAATGGGAGAGGGTCTTTCAAACATACACTACCAAGGTGTCATGAGAGTTCAAACGTGAGACTAAGGATCATCATTTGGCCTGCGGGGTGAAGGAGATAGCCTGAGGCCCATGGGCCAAACCCATCGGAAGCCAATGATTATGCCCACTCGGCCCAGTTCATTCTAAGATTGGGTAGGGCTTGAACTTTGGATTTGAAACCCCCGGCCCACCTATGGCCCGGCCCGAATAGGTCCGTCCATTGCCTTATCTTGCCTTATTTCCATCCCAAACATTTAAGTAAATGTCTTATCTTTTTACTTTAATTTATTTTTACATTACTTCATTTACTTAAGTTTACAATGTAAATAAGGAAGTACAACCTCGTTTGAATTCAATTAAAAATACTAGAAAATTAAATTCTCAACAAATCAAATATGAAAATTTGGCCCAAACCTTATGGTGAGACCAATAATCTACAAGTTAAGTCCTTTTTTCACCAGGCTAAACTCTGTTAACTAAGTGCAATGATATATATGCAATGTTTCAGGCTTTGCTTTAATTTCTCTTCTTTTTTTAAAATTTTAAAAAGAAAACTCTATCCAACTAATTGATAAAAATAAGAGGTCTGAAAATGGAATCTCTTTTCCTCCGCTGCCATTAAATAAATAAACTATTAAAAGAAAGAAACTCTTTTTTTGTCCAAGAAGAAAAAAAACATAATTTACATATCAAACAGAACCACCGAATGCAATCTCATTGGAGTTATAACGAATATGCTTCCCAATCTCATTTTTTAATCTCGACCTGTGACGTGATCACTTACAAGCTTGGAATGATCTCTAATATTCTAGTTAAGACAGCAACAATAATAGAGATAAATTTCATAAACACTTAGCTCAGCAACAACTTCAGAATTCCCCCCTAAGAGAGCAAATGGTTTGGATTTGGGCAACAATTGGGTTGCTTGTACTTGTTCATATCCTCCAAGCATGGTGGAAGAACAAGAAGAGGTTACCTCCTGGTCCAAGAGGTTTTCCTGTTTTTGGAAGCCTCCACTTGCTACGAGACCTCCCTCACCGGGATCTTCATCGACTAGCCCGAAAATACGGTGACATCATGCATATGCGGTTAGGTCTTGTTCCCACCATTGTGGTCTCTTCCCCGCAGGCTGCCAAGCTGTTCCTGAAAACACACGACCTTGTTTTTGCAACTAGGCCACCTCATGAAGGTGCAAAGCATCTCTCTTTTGGGCAAAGGAACTTAAGCTTTGTTGAGTATGGCTTCTATTGGCGCGACATCCGAAAGATGTGCACCCTTGAGTTACTTAGCAATCACAAAATCAATTCCTTCAAGTCTATGACGAAAGAAGAGGTTGCTCTCTTTATTGAGTCTATCCAAGAGGCTGCCAATAATGGACATGTTGCTATTGATCTAAGTGACAGAGTCTCATCTCTCAGCGTGGATATGAGCTGCCGGATGGTGTTGGGGAAGAAGTACAGAGATGAGTAGCTTGACGAGAGGGGTTTCAAGTCTCTGATCAAAGAGGGTATGCAATTAGCAGCTGCCCCTAACTTGGGTGATTATATCCCTTGTATTGCTCCACTTGACCTCCAAGGGTTCACAAAGCGCATGAAGGCAGTTAACAAGGCGTTTGATAACTTTTTTGAGAAGATCATTGATGAGCATCTTCAATCTAAGGATGAAGACCGAACTAAGGACTTTGTTGATGTCATGGTGGGCATCATGGGGTCTGCAGAATCTCAATACAGTATCGAACGCTCCAATATCAAAGCCATAATATTTGTAATTATACATGGAACCTAGCTACACATATGCATAGTAGTCAAACATTGCATTTTAAATGAAATTATTTATTGTCAGACAATCTAACATGTTATGGTCTAGAAGATTTTTAATCCAAACCTTGATTAGGTATCTTGTATATATAGTTTCATCTAAAAATGGTGAATTGCTTGGCAGGACATGCTCGTGGCTTCGATGGACACATCATCAACAACGATAGAGTGGGTGCTCTCGGAACTCATGAGGCATCCACATGTAATGAAGAAAGTCCGAAAAGAGCTAGAAGATGTAGTGGGCTTGGAGAGAATGGTTGAGGAATCAGATTTGGAGAAATTGGAGTATTTAGACATTGTAGTGAAGGAAACCCTGAGGCTACATCCAGTGGCACCATTGTTGATCCCTCATGCAGCCATTGAAGATTGCACCGTCAATGGATTCCACATACCGAAAGCCTCGCGCGTTATCATAAACGTATGGGCAATTGGGAGAGACCCAAGTGCTTGGACAGATGCTGAAAAGTTCATACCAGAAAGGTTTGTGGGTAGTAATATTGATGTTAGGGGAAATCACTTTGAGCTTATTCCATTTGGCTCTGGCAGAAGAAGGTGTCCTGGAATTCAATTAGGGCTTACCGTGGTCCAATTAATCGTGGCACAACTTGTGCACTGTTTTGATTGGGAGCTTCCAAATAGCATGTGGCTAAATGAGTTGGATATGAGTGAGGAGTTTGGTCTTACGGTTCCAAGGGCCAAGCACATCTACTGGCTATTCCTTCCTATCGACTTCACAAATGATCACATAATTTGTGTTTGTAAGAGTATAATGTATCATTTGCAAATTTTAGTATTTTGGACTATGGTTTATGTTTAGCATTCTACATTTGTTTTCGTCACCTGACAAAAACGAAGAGAAAAGAAAGAAATCAAATGATGAAATTGTGTTAATCAAGAGAAGATTGACAAGAAGTAGAGCATTAAACAACTTTATTATAATTTGGTGCCCGATGCATTTACTTGAGCCTTTAAGTAGAACAAAACTAACTTCCACACGTATCATTTTCAGGCTTTGATCTTTTCCCAGTCATGCATTTTTTTATCTTCTTTCGTTTGGATATGAAACAAGTAAATCCCATCTTCTTTGGCTTTCCATATGCAATGAGCTCCACCACATTCGTATAGAAAATCAATAGTATCTCTAAACACATCAAAAACAGCATGGTTGTCCAAATACCAGAAATTGCAGAAGTAAAGTGTGCTGCCCCAGAGGTTGACCCGAAATCCCCATTCGTACTCCCCATTGGGCGGAAGACTACGAAGGCCAAAATCATCGTCTTTGGATTTACATTGGTACTGGAGTTGTTGGTTGTTGAGGTTGTTGACGATGCGCACATAGTCCTTTGTAAGACCTCTGCGGATCCAATATGAAGTACTTGGAGCAAAGGCTGAGGCAAGGAGAAGCACAACGCAGTAAAACTGCCATATTGCTTTTGATGACCCCTTCATTGTTTTTCACTTTCATTCAACGGAGAGTTTGATGGCAGGAACCATTTGCAGTTATCATGCTTTTATAGCGAAAGAATATTTGCTGCTATGGACAAACATTATTGTTTCCAAACGGACACGGTGAGTAAAATTCATTAGATAAGGTAATTAATATAAATGGTATGTATTTATATGGTACATTATTTTTCCCTTTCTTAAATTTTATACATTCATTTGATTTGCTCAAATGAACTTGAATGGATAAGAGGACTTGAGGAAAAGAAGAGAATGTTGATAAGATCAAACTCCTATTGGTATTATTAATTCTAAGACGAATCTTTAGCAACACAACTTCTGAGAAATTTTTATGCTATTCAACATGACATTCCAATGTGGTGTCACGAATCTAGTAAAAATTTAACACGTCTTAAAGGCATTTTTGGTACTTTGATTTCGCTTGGATTTCAATTTCACGCTCTAATCGAGTGTTAATATGTGCACGCTCCAATTGATTTTCAATCCAAAAATGTTCACTTTGGGCACATTCCAATCAATTCTGAAAGTTACCAACAAAAACAAAAGTCAAAACTCGAATGGATATGATAATTCCAAAATTGGCCCACTCACTTATGTATGAAAATTCAATTTTTTTAGAAATTATAGTAATTTGAGGATATTCTTTCCTTTTCTTTCTTTTTTTTTTTCCAAGAATCTGATATCGTTTACTTGACCTCATTTACTAACAGCAACATTCTTTTGTAAATGGAGGACAGGAGGATTTGTAGAACATCCTCCTTGTAATTATAATTATAATTAATAAAATAATAATGTTAGAGAAGCCCATTGATATCGATCATACATAATAAAGAAATCAATTTAATTATGTTATTTGATAAATAACTTTGATTTTTTATTTTTTATTTTGCCTACAAATATCCTTACTAGGCCCAGCATTGAGCCAGTTATTCTTTTGGGCCAGTCACAGTAAAAACCAAAAAGTAAACAATGATAATTATTAAAGAAAACAAAAAAGAAAACCAAAAAGTAAATACTTAGTGATAAATCGTGTTACTTATAAGTTAGGAACATAAATTGGAAGACTACCTATAAGTTAGATACAAAAGTAGACAAAATAAAATTGTATGTTACCTATAAAAAAATGTACATAAAATAATATTACACATTGTCGAAAATATGAAAAAAAAAAAATGTATATATATACCTATGCAATAGGCAATAGGCAATAGGCAATATGACTTAAATGACTATTACCCGATTCAAGTCATAAGGGACAACATTGGAACACAAAAAAATTAAATAAATAAAATATAAAAAAATAATATAAAAAATAAATATATTTTTTATTAAAATAAAAAAAAAAAAAAAAAAAAAAAAAAAAAAAAAAAAATAATTATGTGGCACAAAAGTCAACGAACTTAGATCAAAGTCACCAAATTCGAGGATTAAACCCAATTCCACAATAGAAATTTGGACCTATATCAACTTTCCTAAAAAAAGGACTTCTTAGATTTATGTCCAAAATTATTTAGGTGGGTATATATTTGAGTTAGGCTTATTGTATATGTTTCAATTGGGTAATGTTGGGGAATTTGTATATGCGGCGGATTATTTTGTCCACCCTTAAAGAGGATGTTTTTGTTGTGCCACCAAGAAGTAAAGACATAGGTGAGTCATAGTCTACATAAGTGCAATGTGAGCCAATGAGTCTTTGATGCTTAAGTCAGTTTTGATAATAGAATCAATGGGAAAAAGTAAGGTTTCTTGGTTGAAGGAACAGTTACCTCCTACTGATGGAAGTGATTTGCTATATATATGACTCGTTGATGGCTAGTTTATCGCTGCGAGAGACTACATGTAGAATGTTGATTGGGAATCCAGAGTTCCGTTGATATGTATGTCAATTCTATTAGTCGTTTGACTATAAGGATGTGTGAGATATTTACCCAAACTGAGTGAGCATAATCTCCTAAATTACTACTGTTGCAGTGAATAAGGAGATTTTGGTGATCAATGTTGATCCATTTAGAGGCATGGGGCCCAAAGATAAGTCTTAGTGGACTTACCCTGTAAAGCCCAAACATGCCTTGACCTAGCTTGTTTGGTACTTAAGCACGGGTTAGGCTTGTGGTCTAAGCTTGGGCCATTACCTTGCAAGGCTTGAAACAACAAAAAGGCCATGTTGAGCTTGTCCAAGGTGCTCGTGTATTCTTGTGGAGCCCATGCTTCTCTTTATGCAGAGGAATCAACCTCTGCCATCCTACATTTATATCATTATGTGATCCTAGAAGTCCAAAGAAAGCATGCCATATCCATAGATATTTTGAAGCCACAACTTCAAGAATCAATGAAGGCTCGTGATGGTCTCCATGAGCATACATCCCTTTCCATGCAACATACAATTTTTCCATTTCCAATGCATACAATCGATGCTACCAAGCGTTCTTGGAAACCCACGAGTCTCACCTTCTGCTAATAACCTAGAAATATCATCATTGTTTGGCCTTCTCAAGTAATTCTCACCAAAAATGTCAATAACCGTTTGAACAAACCTTTTCATTTATTCAATTGAAGTAGTTTCACCGATCTGCACATAATCATCGATAGCATCAGCTGCAACTCCGTAAGCAATCATTCTCATCACAACAGTGACCTTTTGTGAAGGTGATAAACCAAGATGACCAGCTCGATCCCTTTTTTGGGCAAAGTATGAGTCATAATCTTCTATCGCATTTAGGATTTGAAGAAAAAGTGGCCGGCGCATTCAGAACCTTCTTCAAAATTGAGTTGGAGAGTACTTAAGATTCTCAACAAAATAATCATCATAGAGTCTTTGGTGCCCCTGTAGTCGTCCACTGTCGATATATGCATGACATTGGACGGCACCACAATGTTTACTCGTTTCTCCTTCCATATTTTCTTGTTCCTTTTGCAAGGCAACCATTTCCAACATTTCTAGTTCTTCACTAGACTCTGAATCAACAAGATTCCAAAAGTGCTCATCTGTCGAATTAGAAGATGAATCGGGAAAATGATGAGACATGTTGGGGTTCTTCACAATTCACTGTAAAAGAAAAGAAAATTTTTTGGTATAAAAGAAGAATTGTGTTTGAGCACAAGTTCTTTTATTTATTTATAGCTTTTTGAAGAAAATGAGTGTTTAAAAAAAAATTGTTCAACGGTAGGAAATAAGTTGTAAAGAGAAAGAAGTAAAAGTTGTAACGGTCAAACAGTCAAATCATTAAAGGAAAAAAAAAAAAAAAAAAAAAAAAAAAAAAAAAAAAGTAACTAGCTGTCTTTAAAAAATAATAAAATATTCATTTGACATCTTGCTTTTGAGATGTCAAAAGTAACGGTTGAACCTCTAACCTTCATTCCACATCAGTTTTAACAATTCGGTTTGAGTGATGTGAGATGTTATTTCTAGCCGTTACTATGTGACACTTTTGACACTTCAGTTGGAGATGCTCTTAGTAGGTTTTTGTCAAACAATAATATCGGCATACAAAACAACTTGAATTGAAATACCAAAGAAACTAATTTAATTATGTTATTTGATACATAACTTTCATGTTTTTTTTTCTTTTTTCTACTAAAGATCCTTAGGTCCATCATATTTTTTTCTCATTCACTAAGGAGGGGTAGGGGCATAATTATATTGGGTTGTTTCAAGATTATATTCTACATGAATGGAATTGGATGCACTTAATGGGAAAGAATTTGACCCACTTTTTCACTGTAGTGCTATCCCATATGCCTTTGGTCCAGCACTGAGCCAGTTAAAAGTAAAAACCAAGAAGTAAATAATAATTATTGAAAAAAGAGTTAAAAACGAAAAGAAAACCGCATCTCTCCCTCTTCCTTCTCATCCGCTTTCTCACAGACCTCCTCTCCCTGCTAATTTGAGTTCTCATTCATTCTCTCTGAAACCTTCAAGTCAAAAACCAAGCTGCCCAGGTTGCTCCACCATGTTCTTCCCTTAAAACCTCCTACTCTCCCTCTAAATTCAGACCCACCCAGAACTCATAATGCCCTTAAGTCTCTCACCGAACTCTCTCCATCCCTCCACACATCCCTCCACATTGGCATTTGCTCAAATTTTTTCACAAAACTCCAACCTTACACAGCCATGGCTTCCACACGTGCTTCTCCGGAAGCGACCCGTGACCCGAATTTCCTGCGTTTCGACCCGACCCAAAAGAAAACCGGGAACGAAGACCGAGGACCCGGATGTCCGTGAGGTGGTTCGTATGCTCATGAGGAGCTTCAGTGACAAAGAGCCCTTGTTGAAGACGCTCAACAAGTACGTTAGGATTGTTAGAACTGAGCATTGCTTTCTGCTTTTTGAAGAGCTTGGGAAGAGTGACGAGTGGCTTCAGTGCTTAGAGGTCAGCTCTTTTTTCAATCTCTGCATTTTTAGCTTTTGGGTCTTTGAAATTGTTGAAATTTTTGTTGTGGTGTTTGTGGTCGTTGATATACTTTATGATTGAGCTTATTTGGTTTGGTTTGTGGAGCCCAATAATCGTTGAAAGCTTGATTGACGATGTGATTTTCGTATATAGTTGTTGTGCATGTTACAATATATAGGGAATAGAACGGCATGTGTTTATATTGTAGAAATTAGGCATTTCTAAGTCTAGTTTTCCACATGTTAAATCTGGGCAATGACATAAATTTTATGGGTTTTAAGAAATAGCTCATGGGTGCATGACTATGATTTTACGAGTTTGGAGGAGAAAAATATATGTATATCTGGACAATTTAGTTAAGTTTCAGTGAACTTGATGATATACAACTAATTTGAACCAAGACGTTTCAGTTACAATTTGAGCATTTTCTAGGTGTTCAGATGGATGCAAAAGCAGCGCTGGTATGTTGCTGATAATGGCGTCTATTCGAAACTGATTTCGGTTATGGGAAAGAAAGGCCAAACTCGGATGGCCATGTGGCTCTTCTCTGAGATGCGTAATAGTGGGTGTCGGCCTGATACTTCTGTTTACAATGCACTCATCTCAGCCCACCTCAACAGCAAGGACAAAGCAAAGGCTTTGGACAAAGCTCTCAGATACTTTGACAAGATGAAGGGGATGGAACGGTGCCAACCCAACATTGTGACATATAATATTCTTTTGAGAGCTTTTGCACAATCTCGAAATGTAGAGAAAGTTAACTCTTTGTTTAAGGATCTTGATGAGAGCATTGCTTCCCCTGACATCTACACGTATAATGGTGTAATGGATGCATATGGGAAAAATGGGAATATCAGAGAAATGGAATCTGTTCTTTCTCGCATGAAAAGTAATCAGTGCAAGCCTGACATCATCACCTTCAATTTGCTGATTGATTCATATGGGAAGAAACAACAATTTGATAAGATGGAACAGGTATTTAAGAGCTTACTTCATTCCAAGGAGAAACCAACACTTCCTACATTTAATTCAATGATCATAAATTACGGGAAGGCAAGGCTTAAGGAGAAAGCAGAAGATGTGTTCAAGAAGATGATTGACATGAAATACACACCAAGCTTCATAACCTATGAGAGTCTTATCATGATGTATGGGTTCTGTGATTGTGTTTCAAAAGCTAGGGAGGTATTTGACAGGTTGGCTGACTCTGGAAAGGAGCTAAAAGTGTCAACGCTTAATGCGATGCTTGATGTCTACTGCATGAATGGTTTGCCTGTGGAAGCTGATAAGCTTTTTGTGAACGGAAATAGTGTTGGGGTGCGCCCAAATGTATCAACATATAAACTTCTTTATAAGGCGTACACTAAAGCCAACATGAAGGAGCTTCTAGAGAAACTGCTGAAGTGCATGGACAAAGATGGTATTGTCCCTAATAAGAGGTTCTTTCTAGAGGCTCTGGGAGCATTTTTCTCTTCACCAGGGAGTCCAGGGTCCCTGACTGCAACCACTGGTTTGAGCAGGCCACAGGATGGAACAAAAACTTAGGTAGATATGGTTAATAACTTGGTTTGCATATTCTTCTGATTTTTCTTCTGTTAGACTCAGGTTCCAAGCAAAGTTAGCATATAAACAGAGTTTCTGTTTCCAGCATCAGATAACTGTGGCACGCGGAATTACATATTTATATAGTAAGTGGTATTTATGTGATTTAGTCTTTGTTAACACCATTCGTTTTTGCTTGTGGTAAAACTTTTAATTTGTATCTACAATATGTTTGTTTGTGGGGTTTTATTTATTTATTGCTTTATGTCTTCAGTTATATTAAGTTTCTTATTTGCAGAGTTTCCCTGTTGTCATCTTAATTGACCCTTGTAATTCTTTCGTTCAGGTTTAAAGTAGATATCTTACTGAAATCCCAGACTATTTCACTAATCAATACTGCATGTGATCAGAACCCTAAAAGTACATAAATGATTTTTTCTTTAGGTTGAAAAAACCTGGTTATTGGTGGAAAAAAACGAGATTTAGAAAAACCTAGAGTGTTAAGGACAATGTTATTGATGAAGTTCATCTTTCAGAATCAGAGCTGAAAATAGAACAGTTGTGCAGGAAAGAAATTCAAAATCAAAAGAAAGGAAAGGAAATTAAAATGTCATGATGGATACAATTCAGAATTACTTAGTAGAAGGTCAAGGTCTAGAAATTACCAAGTATACAGGTTAGAGAATGGCTGTGCTTATAGTGAAAAGCCCTAGCCACTATAGTGGGAATGCTTAGTCGCATATGAGTCATATGATATCTTTCTGTCAGTTATTTCTAGGCGTAGAGTCCAAATTTGGTTTATCCACAAAAGTGAATTCAACTTACAGCTGGAGTAATTGTTTTGATTTTTTTATTTAAAACTTTTTATTTACTTGACTTCTAATATGCTCAAAAGTAAAAAGTAAATAGTAGATGATTACTGTACCTTTGTGTAAGTGAAATTTGTTCTTGCCGATGTAAGTTGCACCTTCTTGTCTACAATGCAAATAAATATCTCCTCATTTAATTTCTAATCTAGAAATCTTTATTTGATCTAGGATCTCATTCCATTGACAGTAAACGATATACTGTAATAGTTAGAGACTCTCTCTCTCTCTACCTTGCGGCAAGCACAAGGACCTTCATCTTCTTCTCAAAAAATAGGGGCCTTCTTCATTTTTTTCCCCACTATTCAGTTTAGACATATGCTTTTTTCTATAGTTTGTAGTGTTTGCTTGACAGTTCATGAATGCTGTGTCATGACATATAGAATGTCTGTTGGAGAATGCAGAGCTGCCTGTGCCAGAGTATATTCTGTGCAATATTATTTCTGAATTCTATAAAACTGTTTGCACTCAAGCTGTTGCTCAACACACGCATCTAATTTTATTGAATTATTGTATACGAAAAACTGACAGAATTTTTTTTTCTCATCCTCTCATCTCTTCCCATCCCCTTCCACCCTTCTCCTCCTCCACCATTTTCCCCATCTCCCAGCCATGGCTGTCCATAGCCCAGGAGGGCCCCTCTAAACCCAGAGGCAACTCTGGTGGCTGCATGGCCCGGCCATGGTTATTATTATTGTTTTGGTCAACATGGTTGTTATTATTATTATTATTATTAAACACAATCTACATTAACTATTTAAAAATTGAAACAATTGACACCATAGTAGGGATGAAAGATCGCATCATTTTGATTTCATGTTCTTTCCTGCTTGTCAGTTTTACATAAATGTTTAATTTTTTCCTACTGGATGCTATTTTTCCACAATTGATAAATGTCCGTAACACATAACATGACTGCAGGAGAATGCGGAGCCACATGTAAACGACTTATAAGAACTGAAGCTAAGTCTTGTAGAAATTTATTAGAGGGAAGTTTTGGTTTGTATTATGTAGTTCATTCTTTTCTGTTCTTAACAATGTAACTGGTGATGACACTCGTCTATGGCCAGGGTGCTTATCCGTGTAAACCCTGATTTTAACATTGAGTATACTGTGTATTCTTTGGTAACTTCTCAAATAAATTACTACGCATTTGACATAATGCAGTGCTTTGCAGTTTAAGAGCATGTCACCAGGCTTTGGGCCGTAGCATTTTGGTGTAATCTCAATTGACCGCCTCCCTTGCTTGCTGATTTATCTACCATTCCTGTTATGTACTATTTCAATTAAATTGGACAAGTGTATTGCTTAATGTCTTGGTTGTTTGGTAAACTTATAAATGCCAGGCCATGGTGTGTTACGGCCACATTTGATGGGTGGGACTAGACTATGACTATTTCAATTAAAATGAGCAACAATTACAAGTCCCATATAGAAGAGTGAGACTCATAAGGACTAACTTAGACTTCACTCCAACTCAGTTCAAGCCAAGCCACTTAACGAGGAGTTAGCCCCTTTTTATGTGAGAATGCAAAATCATCACTAAAAATAAAAGTAACAAACATTAAAATCATCCCCAAGGAAATTGAATACAAAGAAAATAGCAGAGATAAATGACAATTCCATGTTTTGGAGCCATAGATACAGATGAAGTGAGTTAATCTTCTTAACATCCTCCTTCATATCCTACGTACTTAAACATTGTCCTCAGTCAACATTATTATTCAGGGAAACAAGGCTCTCCAAGTAAATCCCAACTTCTTTAACTTCAGGTCAGGTAATCCGGAGATTGAAAAATTCCGAAATCTTGGACCATTAGAATTGCACAAAAGCAATCGGTCCCTGAACACCAAGAGATCATGACTTTTCTTCCAGAAACCAGAGTGTCGTACTACAGAATATGGGATGGGGCTCCTTATTTTAGTCCAAGACTCCCTCATGCCATATTCTTTCATGATCCAAAACTCATTGTGCATTCCTCCATCAACACCACTATGTATTAAACATAAGCAATCTCTGAAGGCCCCGACAATATAATTTCTCGTATCAATAGAAGCAAGAGGTAGTGGAATTTCTCGGACATTCTCCTCTGCTAAATTGAAAGATATAATCACCGACGACCGATGTTCAACGCCAACTCTATCCATCAACAACCAATGAAGGGCTCCATTCAGAAGTACCCCTTTCTACATGCAGTCAAATTTGTAGGGATATCGCCTTTGAATCATTCGCCAATAGCCAGTTTTCAAAGTGTAGACACTGAACATAATTCCACCTTCCAAATATGACAACGTAACGACCTTGTAATCACCTGAGGAGTGATCAAAACCAAAACCAACGCAGCTGGAATAATACCCTTTTCCGACATCTGGTATCTCTGCAAGTTTCTTGGATTCTCTTGTTGCAGTGTTAACCAGATAGAAACAGCCGTTATGTAACATGCACAACAATAAGCCATTGGAGTGAAACAACACGAAAACCCAATAACTTGGCAGTTTAAAAATATGGTGGAGATCAGTGGGCACTAGTACATCATCATCAGCATGAATTTTATCAATATGGTTATCGTTATCTTTACCAAGATAATTATCAACTACTGCATCATTATTATTATTGAGAAATTCATTATTATTATTGAGAAATTCATCGAGGTTTAAAGAGTAAAGTAACCTGGTTGAGAGGTTAGTAAATATAAGCCTTCGTCTTTGGTTGAAAATATCCTCATTCTCAATAGCTTTGTTAAGGTGCATCTTGACGAAATCGGGGTCGGCGATTAAAGAACGCCACGACTTTGATACACTCCTGAAGCGGCATAATAACTTCACTGGTAGCCTGGAAAGAATCTCAAACATGATGTCGGATGGAAAGTCAGGGTTACCCATTAGCAGGTGGTGGAACACGGAAGCAGTTGGGGGTTGAGGGTTAGGGAGGTTGGCGTTAGGGTCTGGGTAGTGAGGTTGAGAGAACAAGAAATTTTGTGGTTTTTGAGGGGGATTGTTGGGCTAGGCTTGGGCCAGGTCGATTAAAAAAAAATTCAGTGTGGCTGGGCCGAAACTGCATCATTTTGCCCAAGCATTAAAAAAATAAACAAAGCGTCTCGAGGAAAAGTGAATCCGCTTCCAAGGGGTCGTTTCAGGGACCTCCCAGCCATTTTCTGGCTTACATTAGGTCAATTGACCCCACTGATCCCACAGTGGATCTGCTTCAAGTTTCTTTGCCCTACGCATCTTTGGCAAAAAGAAAACTGTGCTTAAATCTTTATACCCCAAAGTCCAAACCCTAAGACCATCTCCAACCTTTGGGGTGGAAACTCAAATTTTGAGTTTAGCCTCCCAAAACCATCAACAACCCATGTATTTTGGGAGGTGAAAATTTGAGATGCCTCAAACTTGGACTGGAATTCTACCCAAAATTCTGCCTGGACTGGTAATTATGTGGGGCCCAATCTGCTTTAACATATAATTTTTTATTGTAGGAAAGCAGCAGCCCATGTGCCCAACTTTGTTCGCTGGCCCACTTTGACAAGTGGGAATCTTCATTCCTTTTCCGTTTTTGACAAGCAACAGCTAGTTTTTCAAATTTTTGTTATGCTGTTTTTTTTTAATAAATATTCCAACAGCTATAAAATCAACGATTCTAATTCATTTTAGGCAATCTCAACAGTAAAATTTCACATCTAACGGCTCAAATTTAAATCCGACGGTCAAATTAATATTTATAATTAATCTAAGTCAAATCCAACCCCAAAACTTATTCCAAACTCTATAAATAGTCATTCATTTGGTAAATAATCCACCAAAAATCATTTTTTTCCTTTCTCCCTTTGTTTTCCTTTCTCCCTTTGTTATAATTTTTCATTCTACATTCATTCTTGTTGAGAATGGCCCCAAAACCCCAAAGAGGTGTGAATTGGAAACCACAAGAAGATGAGGCATTATGTAGAGGGTGGGTTTCTGTATCTGAAGATGGGGCTATTGGCACGAATCAATCAAATGATTCATTTTGGTTGCGTGTGTACCAACATTTTTTGGAAAATAATCCGGGCATGAGCGGAGCCGAGGTACGATCACCGCAAGCTATTGCTTCTCGGTTCAAGATTATCAACCAACAATGTTCTCTTTGGAAGGCATGTCTAACAAAGGCCAATGCAAGGCATGTGAGTGGCTCCAATCTTGAAGATGTGGTGAGTACCCATTTTTTTCAATGCTTAAATTTATAATTTTAATTGTTTTCAATTATTAACTTGATTTTTATTTTATTTCATGGGTAGGATATAAATGAAAAAACAATTTTCATGAATGATAATAAACCTCCAAATAGGCCTTTCAAGTTGTATCATGCTTGGCAAATCTTAAAAGATTGCCCAAAATGGAACGACCTATGTGAATCTCCCACACAATCATTCAAAGATTCTTCTCATAGTGGCAATACAATCAATTTGGAGGAAGATGAAGATGATGCGGTCATGCCCACTCCAAGGCCATTGGGAAGAGATAAACAGAAGGATGAAAAAAGAGAAAGGGAAAGGTGTTGAAAGTTATCTCAACCAAAGTGGTAAGTTCCTGTCTGAATTGGTTCAACAAGGAAATGAGGCAAAAGAGGATAGGCGGCGAAAGTTAGAGCTCCTACAAGAGCAACATGCATATCAAATCCAACAAGATAAGGAGGCCAATGAACAGAGGATAATGTCCATGGACCTATCCAAACTTACTCCAAGAAATAAGAAATATTGGGGGAATAAGCAAGACGAAATTATTGAGGCCCAGATCAATACAAGTTCCCCCTACAATCCGGAAGACAACTCTGGAGACTATTATCCAAGCCCTCCACATAGTGGTTATTAATTTACGTTTATTTGTAATTGTTGTTTATCTTTATTTATAATTATCGTTTATCTTTATTTGTAATTGTTGTTTATCTTTATTTATAATTATCGTTTATCTTTTTTTTTATGATTGTCGTTTTTTTTTCTATGATTAGTTTATTTTTTAAATTCAATGATAAACCATATAATTCATTAAAATCACACAACCACTTTTATAATTTAAACACATTTTCATAATTTAAACACACAACATAATTTAAACACGCTTAGATAATTTAAACACACTTACATAAATTAAACACACAACATAATTTGAACACACAACATAATTTAAACACACTTACATAATTTAAACACACAACATAGCTCATTGCCCCTCTCCTTCGGATCTCCAAATGTGGTTGATCAAATCATTTCTTAGATTGTAATGCACTTGTGAAGCACGAACTCTATTATGACGGACCATGTAGTCTGAGATAGCTTGTCTGTCTCGGTTTATATCGTAGGTGATAGTTGGCTCAAGCTCATAAGCAAGTCTTGCTCTTGCTCTTCTAGATGTTCGTGGACAATTGTCTTCATCATCAGATTCTACATCTAGATCCTCATGCTCATCCTCAACAATCATGTTGTGCAATATTATGCACGTCATCATGATTGAATGAAGTTGTTCTTTGTGCCACATACGTGCAGGTCCCCTAACGATTGCCCATCGAGCCTGAAGTATTCCGAAGGCTCTTTCGACATCCTTCCTATAAGCCTCTTGTTTTTGGGCAAATAGTCTTTTTTTTGGAGTATCCGGTTGGGAAATCGTCTTCACCAATGTAGCCCAACGAGGGTAGATACCATCAGCCAAGTAATAACCCAGATTATATTAATTTCCATTGACAACATATTGGATATGGGGAGACACTCCATTCTCTACATCATTGAACAACGGGGAACGAGCTAGAACGTTGATATCATTGTTCGATCCAGCAACGCCAAAAAAGGCATGCCATATCCAAGTGTCGTACGAGGCCACTGCTTCTAGAACGACAGTTGGCTTACGCTTGTAGCCGGTAAACTGGCCTGCCCAAGCAATGGGGCAGTTCTTCCATTCCCAATGCATGCAGTCAAGACTGCCTAACATGCCTGGGAATCCTCTGCGACTAGCCTTGTGCAAGAGCCTGTAAAGATCGGCCGGGTTGGGGGAACGAAGGTACCACTGACCATACATGGCTTCAATAACAGAACAAAACTTTCGCAAACATTCAAGGGCTGTAGATTCACCCAATCTACAATACTCGTCGGTGGAGTCTACCGAGCATCCATATGCGAGCATTCGAAAAACGGCTGTTAGCTTCTGCTATAGGGATAGACTTTGTCATCTGCAAGCGTCTATCTTCTGGGTAAAGTATGGCTCATGTGCAACAACATCATTCAAGATGCGATAGAAAAGCTCTCTTCTCATGCGGAACCGCCTGCGAAAGTCCACTGGGGGGTAAAGTGGTCTTTCACAGAAGTAGTCCTCCATGAGACTCTTATGATGTTTTTCTCTCTTCCGATTCTTGTATTCACGTCCTACAACAGAACCACCATGTTTGGATTGTTGAGCATATTGCTCCAGCAAAAACGTATGGTGTTGAACAACCATTGCAACCCTCTGTTGATGAAGGTCATCATCATCAGAATCATCATTGAAGAAATTTTGTATAGCCTTCCCACGTGAATTCATTGTAAGAAGGAGAATTGAAGGAGATTGTGTGGTCGATTCAGTAGAATAACACTCCTTAAATAGACAAGAGAATGAGATAAGGGAAAGTGAGATGAATAGAGATGAACAATGGCAAAGTGAGATGAATAGAGATGAACAATGGCAATGAACAATGGCAAAGTCAGATGAATAGAGATGAACAATGGCAAAGTCAGATGAGTAGAGATGACCAATGGCAAATTGAGATGAATAGAGATGAACAATGGCAAAGTCAGATGAATAGAGATGAACAATGGCAAAGTCAGATGAATAGTCACAAAGAATGGTTCAGAACGTGATTGAAACAACACAAGATGTGAAATGGTTTAGAACATTATTTAATGAGGATAAAGGAATCCAATGAAGTAAAAGTAAAAGTAAAAATGGAAGAAAATTATGGCAATGGCTTCAATGAAGGGTTCGAATTATTCCGGGCATATGTATGGTGTTGTAATTGTTTTTATTTTTAAGTGAAATTCTATTATGTTTTGAAATTTTAATTTTTTTAGGTTAAAATGTTTAGAAAATTAAATCATGAGTATTGAAACAAAAATAATATCAAGAAAAATTAACAAGAAAAAAAAATTAGGGGTTAATCATTCTTAAACAATTTAATAAAGTTGCAAACTCAAATTATGAGTCTGCAAGGTTGTATTTTGGAAGGTGAAAATTTGAGTTTAACCCCAACATGGTTGGAGATGGTCTAATAATCCTTTTTAAGGACTAAACATAAAAGAAAATTGTATTTTCGGATTTTCCTTTGTCCCACATTGACTGGACTTGCATAGAGGTCATGTTAAATATTGGGCCATGTTATTGATGAAGTTCATCTTCAGAACTGAAAATAGAACAGTTGTGCTTATAAATTACCAAGCATACAGGTTAGAGCATGGATGTGTTTATAATAAAAATCTCTAGCCAATATAGTGGGAATGCCTAGTCCCATATGAGTCATATAATTTCTTTCTGTCAATTCTTTCTATGCCAGGAGGCCAAATTTGGTTTATCCACAAAAGATTATTCAATTTACTCTTTATATGCTCAAAAGTAAAGAGTAGACGATTACTGTAACTTCGTATAAGTGAAATTTGTTCTTGCCAAGTTAAGTTGCACCTTTGTCTGCACTCCTAACAACAAATAAATATCTCCTCATTTAATTCTAATCTAGAAATCTTTATTTGGTCTAGGATTTCTTTTCATTAATAGTGACCCTCTCTCTCTCTGTCTCTGGGACAGTGGCGGTTCCAAGATTCGAAAGTCGGGACAAAGAGAGAGACAAACAATATGATGATGCATAGCCAAAAGAGAAAAAGAGAAGATATGGAACCACCTGAATGGGCAACATGCTCGTAGGGCTTGCTTTTAATTTTTTTAAATTTTGGGCTGAGCTTATAACATATGTATGTTTTGTTTTTGAAAAAATTTGGGTTGCGCTTGGAGAAGTGCACAGGACATGCAATGTTATAAGCCCAGTCCAAAATTAAAAAAATTAATGAAAAGGACCACTAAATCGCAAGGCAGTTAACATTATATAGTCCTTTCCATTAAGAACTTGTCCCCAGGCTTTTGGCCATATAGAACGGTTTGATTCAGTTATTTTTGACAAAAAAATACCCAAAAAAACCAAACCAATTTAAACCAAATTTGGACGGTTTGGTTCAACAACTAATATTGTTACAATTCAAAGATCAATAACTTAAAATTTTCATCAAACTTCAAATTTAACATCCTTATCTAGTTATTAGACTTGTAAAATAAAATAAATATATAAGCACACACTCTAGTTTAATATATATAATAACCTCTCTACACGCATTTATGCTCCTTTTAGAGGCTTTTTTTAAAAAATTTAAAATTTATTTTAGAATTAAAAAAATAATGGGTAGTTGTGTTCCATAAAAATAGGATCCATTATCTTATTTTTCTTTTAATTTAATTTAATTTTTTAATATGAAAAAGTGTGAATTTACCATATTATCCTCATTTAATTAATAATTTCAATTATTAATGTTTACATTAGCTAATGGTATTTTATGGAATTTTGAATGTTTCTCCATTCTCTCCTTTTTGCTTTATATATACTAGCCCCTTGGCACGTGCTCACGCATGTGCCAATTGGTTTTCATTTTTCTTTTATTTTTAGAATTAAGAAAAAATAATATGGGTAGTTATGTTTCATAAAAGTAGGATCTATTATCTGATTTTGTATTTAATTTTAATTTTTTTAATATGAAAAAAATGTGAATTTACATATTAATTGATGGACCCGGATCTTCTGCTATGATTTTCTCTACCATGATCTGCTTTACTTTTGTTCTTCGTATGCCACCTCATTAAAATTTAATCTAAGGGATATAAATTGAACACATCGACTGTAAAATAAAAATTCAATTTACTCCTAATTAAAAATGATTTTTAAAATAAATAAAATATAAAATAAAAATAAAAACCAAACCAAGGTGGTTGGTGTGAGTGGTTCGGCACTCTCATTCCTTAAGAGAAGGTCAGGGGTTCGACTTCTGCTCGAGTCACCATTTTAGCCAGCACTTTACCCCTTCCGGGCCGACCCGGTGTGAGCAGGGATTAGTCTGGGTTGTTGGTTAAAGGCTTAAAGGTGCCACCCATGGTTGGGGCCCATCTAGGACCACCTCGTTGGTCAACAAAAAAAAAAAAAAAAAAAAAAAAAAAAAAAAAAAAAAAAAAAAAAAAAAACCTAACTGACTAACACCTAAACTTAACGTCTCTGGAAGTTTTTTTTTCCCTTCTTCCTCCTCTGCACGTCTGCCCCCAGCCCCAAGTAACAAACATGAAAATTCATCCCCAAAGAAATTAAATATGAAGAAAAATGGCAGACAATCCCATGTTTTAGAGTAATGGGTACAGATTCATCTTCTTAACGTCCTTCTCTGTATCCTATCTACCTAATTATTAGGCGAAACAAGGCTCTCCAAGTAAATCCCAACTTCATTAACTTTGGGTAATATGGAGATTGAAAGATTCTGAAATCTTTCACCATTAGAATTGCACAAAACCAATCGATCCTTGAACACCAAGAGATCATGACTTTTCTTCCAGAAACCAGAGTGTCGTAATACAGAATATGGCATGGAGATCCTTACTTTAGTCCAAGACTCCCTCATGCCATATTCTTTCATGATCCAATACTCATTGTGCATTACTCCATCAGCATAATGTGTTACACATAAGCAATCTCTAAAGCCCCCAACAATATAATCTTTAGCATTAATAGAAGCAAGAGGTAGTGGAAGTTCTCGGACATTCTCCTATGCTAAATTGAAAGATATAATCATTGACGATCGATGTTCAACTCCAACTCTATCCAACAACCAATGAAGGCCTCCATTTAGAAGGATCCCATGCCGCATGAGGTCACATTTGTAGGGATATTGCGTTTGAATCATTCGCCAAGAGCCAGTTTTCAATGTGTAGACACTGAACATAATTCCACCTTCCAAATATGACAACATAACAACCTTGTAATCACCAGAGGAGTGATCAAATCCAAAACCAAAGAGGTCGAAATAATACGCTTCTCCGACATCTGGTATCTGTGGTAGCTTCTTGGATTCTCTTGTTGCAGGGTTAACCAGATATAAATCCCAGTAATATAACTGGCACAGCAACAAGCCATTGGAGTGAAACACCAAGAAAGCCCAATTATTTGGCAGTTCACTAAAAACATAGTCGAGCTCAGTGGCTACAACATCATCGTTATCATGAATGTTAATGATAAGGTTATCATAATCTTTATCAAGATAATTATCAATTGCATCATTATGATTGAGAAATTCATCGAGGTCCAAAGAGAAAAGTTACCTGTGTGACTCATCAGTAAATATAAGCCTTCGTCTTTGGTTGAAAATATCCTTGCTCTTAATAGCTTTGTTAAGGTGTCTCTTGACAAAATCAGGGTCGGCGATTAAGGAAAGCCATGACTTTGATATACACCTGAAGCGGCATAGTGACTTCACTGGTAGCCTTGAAAGAATCTCAGGTATGATGTCGGATGGAAAGTTAGGGTTACCCATTAGCTTGCCTCAAGGGGTCGTGCTGTAAAAGTTCCGAAAAGTGGCGGTACAACAAAGGCGGCGGCGGCGGCAGCACCTGAACGCGGAAGCAGGTGGGGATTAGGGAGGTTGGGGTTAGGGTTTGAGGAGGTTAGCTTGAGAGAATAAAGCAATTTTGGGGGGTTTTGTGGGGAGAATGTTGGGCTAGGCTTGGTGGGGAAAGGTTGAACAAATTATTTGTATGTATTTTTCCATCGGGGCCAAGTCAATTTTAAAAACCTTCAATATACTTGGGCTAAAACAAACGACATCGTTTTGCCTGTGTACTGAAAAAATAAAATAAAGCAGAGCGAGAAGGGGTCGCTGCACAGCTTCCTTGGGACATTTCGTCAACACTTGGTGGGTATATGAAGGCCAGCTAACAAGCTTCCAAGGGGTTGTCGGAGGGACCTTCCATCCATATATCCATCTTCCACAAGGTCGAGCGACCCCATTGACCCCACAGTGGATCCGTTTCAATTTTCTTTGCCCTACATATCTTGACAAGAAGAAAACTGTGTTTAAATCTTTATAACCCCAATGTCCACACCCAAAAAACCCTTTCTACGGACTAAACATAAAAGAGAAATGTATTTTTAGATTTTGTTTGCCCCACATTGACTGGACTTGCATAGAGGCCCTGTTAGGGTTACCAATTCAACAATGATTTAAGTGTCAAAGTTTTAATTACATCTCACTTGCAAGTTGCAAGCAACTGTTTTCTTTCCTTCTGGTAACTCCACTAGCTCCCAAATAGACTTCCTTATGAGAGCTCTCAATTCCTCAGGCTCTTTCCTCATGGAATAGGAATTTCTAAGTCATCATCAATGCAACAATCAATTGGTTCATCAGGAAGGAACAACAGGAGAATCATATTCAACAACACTCTACCTCAGGATTACTTGTCATTGGGGCAACAGACTAATCATGTTGCTTGAGAGGTGCCTTATCACTTTTTTGATATACCAACTCATACGATGACCTACAGGAGGGAGAGTCAAAGAATTGCTGCTTTCGTTTTGTTTCCATTTGTTCTATTTTTATTCTCCAAATCGGATCAATGTAAAACTTATCTTCACTACTCAAGTTTTCCTCCGGACGAGAAGTCTCAGAAAGATGATTAGAAAAATAATGATGATCTTCACGGGACATAACATCCAGTGAGACAAAAAGAATACTACTGTGTTGCTGATGATATGTCATTCTTCACTCCTAGAAGAGATTTAGATAGTTCACAGCTTGATACAAAGGAAGGAGATTAAGGCTAAAAGTCAAACTCCTATGTAGGAGAACTAACCAAATAGCTATTCAGCTAATTACAATTAATTATATCCAAATGTCAACAAATACTAGGTCCAAAGATGTTTACTGGACATGCAAGTTGAACTACTATGAGTTTGCAAAAAGAGTCTGGAGCAAGTAAATTGAGTTTGCCATATTGCCATAAACTTTTTAAGGCCAAGCATGAGCAATGTCTCCTAGTTAGAAAATCCTACGTGCATATATTTATATTCATCATAATGCTTGTTAAGAAATCATTTAAATTGAAGTGAACATATTGAAAATAAATTAAACGACCGCATAAAGATAAACAGAGGTGTAATTTACCTTTCCTAAAAAAATATGGTACATCAGTTTGAAGGTTCTCCCTGGAGTCCTTCACATCCATTACTAGTAACGGAAAATGAAAAGAGACTCCTCAATCTGTGACAGCTTTCCACTTTTATGATTCTTAAATTTCCAGAAAGACTCAGCTGTGAGTTGGCTATAACAAACACTCTCTAGACTAACAAGGTTGTTAAGAAATAGGGACTCCAAGATGGGGAAGGCATTATGAGTGTAACTCCAATGGATTGAGTTAATGATATATGTAATGTCAGCATTGTTTGGGACATGGAGATCCAAGTACAAAGCTTCAGATCTCTTCAGCAACAATTTTAAACCTTGGTCCAATTGATTGCGGGTGCTTTGCTTGAGTTTTAGAGTGTTGAAGGTTTCATCCACACCATGCCATTTCCACGCATTGCCAATCAATATGTGGTATCTTTCTAGCTTATCAGAGAATAGGTTTTCTGGAAGAATGTTGCCATATGTAATATGTAAGTCTAATGAGGTTAGCTTAGACAAGTGCTTCAGCTTTGAAAGGCTAGCATTACTTCTTTGGACATTGACTCCTTCATCCTCCCATTGGTTAAAGCTGTTTCCCATTCCCAAGTCATCTAGTCTTTTCAAGCTTGAGATAACATTAGGTGAAATCACTTCAATTCCAGAGCAACCGCTCAAATCTAGCAATCGCTTCTTTCTGATTTGGGTCATCCTAATTCTGTACGTGGACTTGAAATTTCTGATTTGTCTGGATAGAAAAGCGTCCTAATGAACTCTACTATGGATAAATCTCTTCTTGATTCAGATGAAACTTTGAATGACCAGAATGTGACAAGCCGATGTCCAAACAAAAAAAATATGTGACAAGCCCTAAACCACATGAGCGAGAAAATGACAAAAACCATGTAGTTGTCAATGGAGATTGTGGGAACCGAATTTTAGCAAAATCCTAGGTCAAATATTTCCTTTCGTTTGGGGATTATTTGATTTGGGGATTCTTGCCTTGAATTAGGGATTTGATTCTCATTAAATCCCTAATTGATTTAAATCTCCTAAAATTAGGAAAAATATTTATTTTCCCAACAAGGATTATTTTTCTCCAAACCCTAACCCTACGAGGCTCTATACATACGAGGCTATGCAAGGCATGAGGTAAGCCATTCTAAGCTCTCAAATTACTGCAGAAATTCCCCTCCTTGTTGCCACCTCCCTCTCTTTCTTACACAAGGGTTTGGCCACTACATACGGCTTTCGCCATCCGGTTCTCTCCCCTGAGAGCTCCATACCCTTTTTAACTATTGTTTCTCTATGAATTAATCGAACTAACTTAGGCATCAGAGGGCCTTTGGTCAACACCCCCCGGGTGTGGTCCTCTTATTCCGATTGGTTTTGGTTTTGCAGGGAGAAAAGTTCGAGCAATGAGAAAGAGAAAATTTTTCATCAAATATTCTAAGGGATGAAAATCACTCCCACAGAGATGCTAGATCCTTGAAACATTCAAATGGATTTGAAGACACTGAATTTGTTGTAATTTCGGAGGATGGCTGAACTTATGATGAATTTGGCCTCATTAAACTCTCTAGCTCTAGTACAGTCTGCAATGAGCTTAATGTTTTGTCCTTGGTGGATGCTGGTATTGGACATAATGATGGTAAGTGTGATGCTGATGTGCAAATTATAGGTGTCAACTTCTCGAGCAAAGCAAGTCTCACTAGAGAGTCTAGGTTCTATGCTTGTATCGTTGTTGCCCTACATGTTTAGATATCCTCTACAATTTGACACAAAATTCTTATTCACAAATGGTGATCCAATAGGAGCCTATTGACTGCAGAGGATGCCCATGATATTGTTGCATCAGTGTCTATGGATGTTCTTGCAGTAGTTCATCATGGCTCTCTAAGAGGTTTGATGAGGAGTTAAGAGATAATACCAAGATGAAGGTGATAGATTTCATAAAGACTGTGAGGAAACATTATGCCATAGATGTAACTGTGGCTCAAGTTTATAAAGCCAAGAGTTTTGCAAAAATCAGAATTCAAGTTAGTATTGAAGAGAAATATGGAAAGGTGTGAGATTATTGTGAGGAGTTAGAGAGTAATAACCATAGAAGTATTATCATTGTGAAGACTGATTTGCAGGGTAAGAATCCTATGTTTAAGAGGATTTATATATGTTTTGGAGCACTTAAAAAAGGATTTGTAGAAGGATGTAGACTAATGTGGGTTTTGATGGGTGCCATGTTAAGGGTTCTCACCCAGGGCAGATTCTAAGTGCAGTTGGGGTTGATGGAAATAATAGGATGGAATTTTTCGCAGCTATGGTCCCTCAACTATACCCGTAATTGCATTTGGGTCACTGAACTCAATTATTAGTTGTAGAGGTCACTCAACTATGTGTTTCGTTGCACCAGTAGTCCTTCTGTCAAGTCCGTTAGTTTTTTCCATTTAAAATGATGATGTGGCAAGATCTATCCAATTATTGATGGGCAAATGTGACTTTTCAATTAGGATTATTTGTAAAAATGATCTCTCAACTATACTCGGAGTTACATTTTGGTCACTTAACTCCGAAAAATAGTTATAGAGGTTACTCAATTAGGTGTTGTGTTGCACCTTTAGTCCCTTCCGTTAGAGAGACTTGACGGTAAGGACTAACGGTGCAACGAAACACACAGTTGAGTGACCTCTGCAACTAATAATTGAGTTTAGTGACCCAAATGCAATTACGAGTATAGTTGAGGGACCATAGCTGCGAAAAACCCTAATAGGATGCATCCAATTGCTTTTGCTGTTGTTGAAGTTGAAAACACAGAGACTTGGAGTTGTTTCTTTGACATATTCTTTCAAGATGTTGGTATTCAAAAAGGTTTAGGGAATTCCATTCATGCTTTGATACCCAATGCTGAGCACATGCATTGTGTGTGGCATTTGCACAATAATTTCAAGCTTGCAGGCCATACTGATCTAACTTTGAAGCAAAGATTGTGGGCAGCAACTAGGCCAACAACATTACCTGTATTTGAGGCTGAAATAGAGCAGATATTGGGCCAATCTGAGGCAGCATATAAGTAGCTTGAGGAGAGACTAGTTGCTCATTGAAGTCGATCACACTTTAGTACAGTCCCAAAGTGTGATATACTTCTAAACAACTTGTGTGAGTGTTTTAATGCTGCAATATTAGAAGCAAGGTATAAGCCCATTGTTACTCTTTTGGAGAGAATTAGAACATACTTGATGCTCAGAATGACTAGACTTAGAGAGATAGTGTGACCCCATGAAATTGGTCCAAGAATATTTGTTATTATGGAGAAGAATACAATTGAAAATGGCCAATGCATAGCTTTATATGTTGGTAGGGAGAAGTATCAAGTTAATAGTACGTTGGGAGCTATGTTTGTTGTGGATTTAGAAAGGCATATATGCACCTGCAGAAAATGGGACTTAAGTGGAACCCCATGTGCACATGCCTTGGTTGCGATAACAAAGAGTGAGCACAAACCTTTGGATTTTGTGCATGCAATTTAAAAAAGGCCGGCATATGATAGGGCTTATGAGGGCTATATATCTCTAATGTCTAGTCAAGCATATTAGAGAAAAACAGGGCATGTACCTATCAAGCCACTTGTTTATTACATCCAACCAGGAAGCCCAAACTGAGCAAAAATAAAGAACCTGATGAAATGTCAAGAAGGGCAACAAAACTAAGGAGGTATGGCATTGTATTGACATGCCGCAACTGTGGACAAGTAGGTCACAATTTGCAAGTTTTTCCCAAAATGGATAGGTTATATATATATAATTTATTCATTTGTTTTTTTACACATTTCATTTGTTGAAAATGGCTATGTTAACATATGATGTGTTGTTTTTGCTATGTTAACATGTGATTTGTTGTTATTAACAATGAAGGGGCAACCTAGAGGTACTAGAGCAAGAGGCGGTATGAGGGGAAGATGAGCTGTGAGGGAAGAGGTACAAGGGGAAGAGGAGCTGCAATTGTTAATGGAGGTGTTGATACTTCTAGTGCCAATGCAAGTGGAACAACAACTGCAAGTGGAATAGTTGGTGTCAAGGGCAGAGGTGTTGTGAAAGGTAGATGTGTTGTGAGTGAACAACAAACTCAGGCCACACCAAAGTTTAATGTAAGCACTTGGATTAAACCTTGATGTTTTGGATCAATAATTGCATTATTGTGGTATCTTTAAAAGGCTTAAGGGAGCTATGGTTGTAACAAGTGAGAAGAGGAGCTCATGTCTCCCAAGTCATAGGAAAACAATCTATTTTGTTGATTCACAACCTACTCAAGGTTCAAGTTCCTAACCTGTGAAAGCTTCAAGTTCACAAGCTCTTTCACAACTCACCCAAAGTTCACAAGCTCCTCAAGGTTCAAGTTCACAAGCTCCAATTTCATAAGCTCCTCAAGGTTCAAGTTCACAACCTCAAACAATGGCAACTTCTCCAAAAAGGCCTAGGTTCAAATCTCCATAAAAACGAATAAGGCCATGGAGAGTTTAGTAAGATATTTGAAGTGAATGGTTGAAGAGTTGTGATGTTTATTTTGGTTTGTGGATCATTTTGGATTGCAACTCTTTAAGGAGTACATTTTGAACTGATTTTGTACAAATAATATGCAAAGTTTTAGTGATGAAGACGTATTTTATCTGAATTTGGACAAGCTTTCATGGCAAAGCTATATGTTGTGGATGTGTATGTCCAAGGGATTTTGGACAAGACTGTTTAAGGGATGTGTCTGCGTATTTTGAAGTGCTATTAATGTAATGTATTGTGAATTCAAATGTTGTATTTTGGCATACTTTGAAGTGTAGTTCATATATTTGATGTGACAGTTACTATTTCAATTGTCGAGATGAGAGCTTGCATTTTCATTCACCAAATAACTCTTACATTGATTACATTGGTCACAACACTTAAAATGAAGCCAATTATACACCCTTTCTTACCCTCACAAAAAGCCAATCACCCATCCCTTACTAACCATTACAAATTATCAATTACCCATCCCTTTATAACCATTACAAATTGCCAATCACCCATCCTTTTCTAACCATTACAAAACCCAAACACCCATCCCTTTCTAATTAACCATTACAAAACGCCAATTACCCATCCCTTTCTAACCCTTACAAAATGGCAAGCACCCATCCCTTTATAACCCTTACAAAATGCCAACTACCCATCCCTTTCTACAGTTGCCCAGTGGTGCCTCTATCTTCATTCAAAATCAACCACATAATAACCCCAAACATGCACAATGACACCTAAAACCATGGGTTTTTTTAGCTTCGAATTCCCTATCTTTTTTCTGCTTCCAACTTGTTAATTCTCCTCATTAGTCCAGGAATTATTTGCTTAGATCTATGGCACATAACAGGGTCACCCCTCTCCCACATTTGACAACGATTCTGCAATGACAGAGTTTTAAAACTTGGAAATGCAAAACTACAAATTTGAAACTCAAACTTCAAAATTCAACTCTCTTGCACACAAACATAAAATCTTCGTCCCAAATGTGAAGAAGTCCAAGAATCTGAATTTTTGCAACCTTCCCACAATAAGCAAACTCGTGACGGTAACGTCCATGAACTGCCGTATTCGAACTTCGAACTCCCTCTGTGTGACCCATCAAAATTGCTAGGTAAGTTAGTCCTTATCTCTCTCTCTCTCTCTCTCTCTCTCTCTCTCTCTCTCTCCCCAAATAGATGGAAATCACCAGAAGCAAATGGAGAACCAACCTTGGTGGGCAAAATGAGAAATGAGGTTCACACGGGTAATTCAATCCATGAGCAATGACCAAAATAAACCTAAAAAAAGAGTCAACGTGAGTCAAATGGACGGATTAATGGATGAAATGTGGGGCTTTTGACAGTTGGGGGAACATTGATAATAAAATTTAATTTGAGCCCTTAATTCACTAAAAAAAAAGGTCAGAGGGTAAATTGATAGTTATGTACAAGTTCAGGGGGCCATTCGGGACTTTACCCAACTGATAATACGATTAGTAACTAGAGGTGTCAAAGGGGATGGCCCGGCCCAACACGGCACGAGCCCAACTCGTTTAAATGAGGCACGGCAAGGCACGAGCACAAATATTAATGAGCCGTGCTCGGCACAACACAAACTTGGGTCGGGCCGGGATTAAAAAATGAGGTCCAATGGACCGGGACGGCCCATGGCCCGAACTGGGCCAGGCTTGGCCTGAGCCCACTTCAAGCACGGCCCAAGCCCGACCCACTTAACAATTTTTCTTTCTCAAAAGTCAAAATGCAATAATTTGACATCTCAATGTTATATGGTTTTTTTTTTTTTTTTTTTTTTTTTTTTTTTTATTTATCATAAACATATATTTGATGTCTTTCATTCTAGGAAAATTACTTGGGTCCTTAATTAATTAAACAACATTGGACTTGATATCTAATTAGTAAATATGATATATATGCTTCTCTTATAATCAAAGCATGACATTTCTTCACACTTTTTTCCCTCCACCCTTTCATATTATTTGGATGTTTGATTGATTAATGTTTTCAAATAGTTCATCATTTCTTGCCTCTAATTATATTTTTAATGTTTATAATTTGAATTATCTAGTGAAAAAAATTCAAATTAAATGGGTTGGTATTTGGGCCCGAGTATAGCACGAGCACGAGCACGGGCACGGCACGAGCCCGACCCAGCCCGACTCGATTCAATGTGGACATGGGCTTTGGGTAGGGCCAAAATCATTGATTTTACTAAATGGGCTGGCACGGCACGACCTGACACGAAAACGTTAAAAGCACAAGTTGAAATGGGTCAGACTGGCCCGACACGGCCCCTTTGACACCTCGAGTACTAACATAAATATACTAGTAATACATAATTGAAATTCACCCAATTTACTTATATTACAGCACACAGCAACAATATGAGATTGAAAAGACCAAAACCATGAGATTTCTTGGTTAAGAAGCTAAAGCTAATTTACAGCCTTACAAAGCTCTTTTAGACTCTGGATAAACCTATCAATATAATCGCTCATAAACCTTGGCTCTGATAGTATCCCTCTCCATTTCACAAGGTTCTTCTTTAGAGAAACACCCAACTCATTTTCCTTATCCATCACAGAGAACGCATGCACAGCAGCAGCTGTAGTGATGTAGCAAATAGATTTGATTCCAACCCTAAGTTTCCTTGTGAATTCTGGTACCCAATGAACAAAGTAGTAGAAAATCATGTCTATCTTTTGGTCATGGAAGCTGGCTCTTAGGATTGCTTGGATTTGCTTACGGTTTTGATCCACATCAACACAGAACAAATGGATCAAAGTTGTTGGGACCTCAGAGTCAAACTCAATGCCCTCATGGAGGCCTTCAACATGAGGGACAGTGATGGGACAAAATGTCATTAGGTCTGGGTGGAGATTGAAATGTTGTAGCTGAATTTGAATTTTTTTAGGCGTCAAGAAAGAGATTCCAGTGAAAAAAAAATCAAGTGAAAAAAATTCAAATTAAATGGGTTGGTTCTTGAGCCCGAGTATGGCACGATCCCGACCTGTTTTAATGTGGACATGGGCTTTGTGTAGGCTTGAATCAATGATTTTACTAAGTGGGTCTGCACGACACAACCAGATAAATTAAATGGGTCGGGCCGGCCTTGCATGAAATCATTAAAGGTATGAGTTTAAATGGGACGGGTCAGCCCGACACGGCCCCTTTGACACCTCTAGTACTAGCATCAATATACTAGTAATACAAAATTGAAATTCACCTTATTTACTTATATTACAACACACAACAACAATATGAGATTGAAAAGACCAAAACCATGAGATTTCTTGGTTAAAAGGCTAAAGCTAATTTACAACCTTATAAAGCTCTTTTAGATTTTGGATAAACCTATCAATATAATCGCTCATAAACCCTGGCTTTGATAGTATCCCTCTCCATTTCACAAGGTTCTTCTTCAGAGAAAAACCCAACTCATTTTCCTTATCCATCATAGTTGTAATGGTTTTGCTCAAGCTATCCTTTGAAAACCATCCATTTTCTTCTCTCTCTACCTCCATAGCAACTTTGAGCTCTTTCACCAGTATCATGGTGTTCATGATCTGGTCACACAAGTTCGGAACCAACACAATCTACTTGTCACTCAATAAAGACTCCAACATGGATCCAAACCCACAATGGCTCACAAGGCACCCAACTAATGGGTAGCTCAAAATGGTTGTCTGCTGCACCCAACCCCTAAAAACCACCCCTCTCCCTTTCACCCTCTCTTCAAACCCATCTGGCACTGCCTCTTCAATTGTTGCATAGGCCGCAAGTGGTTCGAGAACCACAAAAAAGGGCAATCCAGTTAGCTCAAACCCCAACACAAGCTCTTGGAATTGGTCCTTCTCAAAGATCAACTGACTCTCAAATGCACAAAACATCACCGACCCTGCTTCCTCAAACCCACCAAGCCAGTTAGCCCACATGTCTTCTAAAGGTGGGCTATTCTTGTTCGAATCTTCCAACCCATAAACTAGGCCAATTAAAATCATAGGCTTTTTGTGTTGTGCGCTCAGATAATCGTAGAAATGACCTTCGATTTCTCTACATGTTCTGATGCAAAATGCGTCACTTTCAGTGATGGCATTTGTGAACCTTTGGTAAAGTATGAGCCCACCTAATCCAAACGGCTTCCATAAAACTAACATGGAGCGAATTTCAAAACCAGGAAGCAACAGCACATTTTGTGATTAGTATCCAGGAGGTAAGTCGAGTTGTTGTTGCTCGATAATAATACCAGTAAGGCTAGGGTTGTAATTTATCGTCGGCACAATAGAGAACGCATGCACAGCTGCAGTTGTAGTGATGTAGTAAATAGATTTGATCCCAACCCTAAGTTTCCTTGTGAATTCTGGTACCCAATGAACAAAGTAGTAGAAAATCATGTTGATCTTATGGTCGTGGAAGCTGGCTTTTAGGATAGCTTGGATTTTCTTACGGTTTTGATCCAAAGCAACACAGAACAAATGGATCAAAGCTGTCGGGACCTTAGAGGCAAACTCAATGCCCTCATGAAGGCCTTCAACGTGAGGGACAGTGATGGGACAAAACGTGATTAGGTATGGGTGGAGATTGAGATGTTGTAGCTGAATTTGGGTTTTTTTGGGCGTCAAGAAAGAGATTCCAATGAAAAAAAAATCAAGTGAAAAAAATTCAAATTAAATGGGTTGGTTCTTAGACCCGAGTATGGCACGATCCCGGTCCGTTTCAATGTGGACATGGGCTTTGTGTAGGCTTGAATCAATGATTTTACTAAATGGGTCAGCACGACACGACCAAATAAATTAAATGGGCTGGGCCGGCCTTGCACGAAATCATTAAAAGCATGAGTTTAAATGGGACGGGTCAGCCCGACACAGCCCCTTTGACACCTCTAGTACTTGCATCAATATACTAGTAATACAAAATTGAAATTCACCCTATTTACTTATATTACAACATATAAGAACAATATGAGATTGAAAATACCAAAACCATGAGATTTCTTGGTTAAAAGGCTAAACTAATTTACAACCTTACAAAGCTCTTTTAGATTCTGGATAAACCTATCAATATAATCGCTCACAAACCCTGGCTCTGATAGTATCCCTCTACATTTTTCAAGGTTCTTCTTCAGAGAAACACCCAACTCATTTTCCTTATCCATCACAATTGTAATGGTTTTGCTCAAGTTATCCTTTGAAAACCATCCATTTTCTTCTCTCTTTACCTCAATAGCTCTTTCACTAGTATCATGGTGTTCATGATCTGGTTACACAAGTTCGGAACCACACAATCTTCTTGTCACTCAACAAAGACTCCTACGTGGATCCAAACCCACAATGGCTCACAAGGCACCTAACTTAATGGGTAGCTCAAAATGGTTGATTTCTCTACATGTTCTTAACGCGTCACTTTCTATGATGGCATTTGTGAACCTCTAGTAAAGTGTGAGCCCACCTAATCCAAATGGCTTCCATAACACTAACATGGAGCGAATTTCACAACCAGGAAGCAGCACCACATTATGTGATTGGTATCCAGGAGGTAGGTCGCGTAGTTGTTCCTCGATAATAATACCAGTACGGCTAAGGCTGTAATTTTGTGCGGGCACAATAGAGAACACATGCACAGCTGCAGCTGTAGTGATGTAGTAAATAGATTTGATCCCAACCCCAAGTTTCCTTGTGAATTCTGGTACCCAATGAACTAAGCAGTAGAAAATCATGTCGATCTTATGGTCGAGGACGCTGGCTTTTAGGATTACTTGGATTTGGTCACAGTTTTGATCCACAGCAACACAAAACAAATGGATCAAAGCTGTCGAGACCTCAGAGGCAAACTCAATGCCCTCATGAAGGCCTTCAACATGAGGGACAGTGATGGGACAAAATGTGATTAAGTCTGGGTGGAGATTGAGATGTTGTAGCTGACATTGAAGCGGGGTGGCTGGCTGTAGATGATTCTGCTGCGTTGGCAGAAGGAAAAGAAGCATGCGCATTGGCAGCATGGAATGAAGCACACTGATTTCCTCCTTGAGACCCATGATGCTGCTGTGGATATTTGGCGCCGTTCAATTTTGTTGGAACGAGCATATGACCTGGGTGGTCCGAAGAATGAACATAGTATGGATTTGATGTATCCGTACCAGAATTGCTGCTTGCTCGAATTTTTGGAATTGGATTTCTTGTTTTCCAGTAGTATTTGTTCTTCGTCTGACATGGTGGTTGCAGGTTTGCTGTAAGGTTTTGAAAAGGTTGGGGAATCAGGCACCAAGACGGCGCTCTGATACCATCATAAAAATAGACAATAGCTTATTGGTGTTGGATGAATTTCAGTAATTGCAATCGTCAACAGTACAAGGCATATATATGTCCTACAATCAATCAAACTCTATGTCTAAGGCCTAGAATTCCTTATCCACCTTTGGTGGGATTTGATCTACACTAACTTAGGAAAGTAAATATATTACAATAATAATATTTCTTAATATCTTCCTTATTACTTTTAAGTTGAAGAATGAGTATGAGACTTGAATTGTGGAAAGGTTGTATAAAATGGACAGAGAAACGGGGATATGATTTGACATTCAATTTTAAAATAGAATTTCAAAGTTTTGCAACTTATGCTCTTTCACCAAAACCATTGCCCAAACATGCAGCATTGAAGTGGTGTGAAATCTTGTATTTAAATAATAACAAAAAATAATATATAATCTATGTGTAAGTAGTATTTCTAGTTTGACATTATTACAATAGTTATATGTTTTTGTTAAAGGGGTCTTTTATTATAAGGGTCGTGTAGGGGTCATCATTCGGCCCGTGAGTTCATGGGCTAATGAGGCCTGCCCGAATCATTGAGAAAAAGCCTAGGCCGACCTATTGTGGGCCATGGACTAGGCTTGGGTTTGGTTGTCTAAAGTCCAGCCCAGCCCACAGGCCCGGCCCCTTTGAGCCCATAATGGCCCGGCCTGGCCCGACCATAAAAATGCGGCAACCCTACTAGGGTCTATTCTTCTCATGCTTCTAGAGACACAAGAAGGCCTTGCCCGTCTGAGTAAAGCGCATAGCATTTAGTGTGGTGATGTGAAGAAAGGGAATTATGTAGTCATTTAGTGCTCGACTAGTAATGGGGTGAAATATTTTTTTCCTTAAGGATCATTTCAATGGTTGTCGAGGTAAGTGTTTTTTTCCTTTTAGATACAATTGACATATATATATAGGGGCGGATCCATGGTTCTATGTTTTTTACACAAATTTTGACACAAATTTTCAACCATTACATTAGAAAGGGTTAAATGGTTGAGATTATGTTTCATTAATTACTTAAATTATATTAAATCTCTAATGCCAAGTAAATTTCATTTTTATGAATTAGTTATGATAATCCCGAAAATCACTCATTATCTTTCCCCCTTTCGTTTTCTTATCATTTTCTCTCTTCTCAATTAATATCCTGTGAAACCTCACCATTTCCTCTGTGTTCTCTCTCTCTCTCTCTCTCTCGCCTCTCTCTCTCTCTCTCTCTCTCTCTCTATTTTTTTTCCTAACATCGTAATGGCTTACAAGATTTAGCTTTTATTCATTATAATTCATAATAACATTAAAAAATATATGGCAAAAGATAGTTTGCTTGCAGTTCATTGTGTGTGTGTGTGTGGGTCGAGAGTTATAATCCATGTATAACTGTAACAACCCAAAAAAAAAACAAAAAAAAAAAAAAAAAAAAAAGAAAAAGAATCAGAAACTTGTAAAGCTCTAGAAGAAAGAGGAGGAGGATGGAAAAGTTATTAACTGAAGAATTCTAGAGGATAGAGAACGACGAAATAGGAAGATTTGATAAAACATTGATTGATGACAGAGAAATAAGAAAGAGAAAGTCAATTAATAATTATTTTCAATATATATTTTTCTTAAAAAATGTACAATTAGTTTAGTTAATCTTAGCCATTCAATCCATTTCAATCTAATGGTTGAAAACTTGTGTCAAAAATATAGTGTCACGGAAGGTTACTTTGATCAAAACAAACAAAAATGAAAAATAGGCTTTTGAATTCTCCCTTTAGAAATAAAGGAAAGTTTTAGTTCGTAACATTTAGTTAAATCAATTGTTTGTTAAAGGATTATTTTGTTTTTTCTCTACTGTATTTACATGCTTTTTTTCCCTACTGGATATGTGTCACAACTTTTATATGTAGAACATGATATCAAATTTTCTGTACAATTAATAATCAACAAAGTTTTCTGTAGATGTGTCCCATAATCTCCTTAAGTTTATACTTTCTCCGTATATTATGTGTTGGGACGTTAAAAGTAAGCAAAATGTCATAGCAAAATGCTAGATATTAAACTCCCCACTCTAGGTTTTAATTAAAAATTAATTTCAATATATATGCATTTAATTTGGATGAATTAAATTCTAATTTTTCGAACATTTTTCTTCTCAACTAAAGCTCGGCTCGGCCCGGCCCGTTTGAGCCCAAGAAAGTCCAGCTTGGCCCGCGGGCTCATATACATATATATATATATATATAATCAAGTTTAATGAAAGATGGAGAAAATCATTATCTATTATCATTGTAAGAATTTAAAAAAAAATGAAGTAGGGGATAAATATGATTTTATTAATATGGCAGTTGAAATGGGGAGGAGAAGGGTAGGAAAAATGAAGCTCCAATAAATATAGAAAATCCCTATATTTTATTGGCAGCTTCCATTAGACAGATGTTGGAGAAATTTTTGTAGGTATCTAGTACACCAGCTAACTGGTGTACCCATCAATAGAAATAAGACACGTGTAATAATTTATTTTTAGTTTTAAAATTGCAGTAACTTTTAACTCCGTCAGCCTTTTAACTATGTCTTTCCATTAGGCTTTCGCTGCATATGGGTCGAAATTGTTCAAATCATTTTCTGCATATGGGTTGAAATTGGTTTTCTGCATATGTCTCTCCAACAGGAGCACAAATCATCTATTGATTTGGTTTTCTACAGAATCTACGGGTACAACATGATTTGGTTTTCTGCAGAAAGCCAATTTAACTTTGTCTCTCCAACAGGTACTATATGTCTCGACCCATTTTTTATTTCACAATTCTCTTTTTGTTCTCCAAATTTATCAAACTCCCCCTTGTTAAAATCCAAAGCACAATCTGAACAAAAGAGAGAATTGAGGAAGATTAGGGTCAAAATGGTGGGTTTTTTTATATGGGTTTTGAAGAAGTTGAGGACGTGGGTGTGGTTAGAAGTTGGGGAGAGAGTGAGGGTTGGGTGAGGAGTTGATGGGGTTTTGGGTATGCTTGGAAATGTTGGGTTCGGGATTGGAGAGAGCACTGGTTTTGGATTCTTAGGGGTTTGCTCCAATAGTGGTATGGTTATTGGCCTTCTCATCTTCTTATATGTGTGTGTATTTAGTCCAGTTGTGTTTTTGTATTTTGTTGATTTTCTGTACTAGTTATGTTGATTTGGTTTCAGAGGAAAGTGAAATAAATTGTTTGGTCTACCCTTTCGGATTCAAAGGAGAATGGGTCTGCTCTTGTTGATTTGAGCAAAGCAGCAGCCATTGAAGCTCTGCATGCCTTTTAGTCAATTTTGCTTCTTATTCTTTTAGTCAATTTTTTCTCTTTGCATTTTCTTATGGTGACGCATTTCTTCATTCGGTTTTCTCAAAAGTAACTCAAACCACAATTTAATAATCCAATGAAACCAATGAAACCAAAAATAAATAAATAAATAAATAAAATCCAGTGAAACCAAAACTCATGCCCTGGTAGTTAACTTTCTGTTATAAGGTAGTTTACTTGTTGTATTTCCTTTTCTCTCTTGGGTGGTATCAATGGCCTCCCTGTGATTTACTTGTATTGCTGTGGGAACCTCCCCTATTTTCTGTTTGTTGTTGCCTTTGCCTTTTCGGGCTTTCCAACAAAGTATTTTCAAACAAAAAAAAAATTTGAAACAGTCCTGAAAACTAAAAAAGTAAAGGCATGTGGGAGTAGGTGCAGGTCATCACCTTTTTCTTTGTCCATGGATTGAGTAGCTGAACACGTACAACAGGCTTGTGTATCTGACGGCAAAAGGGTTATTGTCAGAGTAAAGTTGTATCTTTAGGGTTTTGTTTGAAAAATTGATAAATTAAAAATTAAAAGATTCTCGATTGCAGCAAAAGGCTGACGGAGTTAAAAAGCTAACAGAGTTAAAAGTTACTGCAATTTTAAGGCTAAAAATAAATTATTGCACGTGTCTTATTTCTATTGGTGGGCCAGCTGGTGTATCGGGTACCTACAAAAATTTCTCCAAATGTTGGATACATCGGTCTCGAGAGAAGGGCATTGCATCTATAGAGTTCCTGTCTATCTACGATGCAAAAGCAAAGATGTCTACACCTTCAGTAATATCCATAGGCCCACTCCATCATGGCAATGGAGACTTAAAACCGATGGAAGAACTCAAAAGCAGCTACCTGAAAAAAATTCCTGCATAGGGTTGACGTACTCTTGGAGGTCTACATTAACAAGATAAAAGATCAAGAAGAAAAGTTGTGCGCTTGCTAGGCTGACGTCATTGAGTTCAGTGGCGAGGACTTCATACAAATCATGATGGTGGATGCCGCCTTCGTGATAGAGATTTTGTTGAAGTTATGTGGTCATTGTTTCAACCCATTAGGAGTGGATGACCACGATAACATCTCCAGCAAGTCCTGGATAATAAATTATATTATGCCAGACATGCTCAAGTTGGAAAATCAAGTGCTGTTTTGCATCCTTGAGGATCTTCTTGAACTACAGAAAATCGCAGTCACTGCCATAAGTAACATTTCTTATGTCATTCCTTCGATGTTGAACCTCGCCTTTGAGTTCATCAATATGACATTTAGTTCGACAAGCATGGTACAGAATGTGGGGATGCTAGGTTCTTCAAATTTGAAAGTAGAACACTTTATTGCGTTTTTAAGACTATTTTATCTCCCCAAGGATTCACATATTATTTAGATAGGAGGGGAAGTGAAAGCAGTGCACCGAGCATCTCCGAACTTCTTCTCTCTCTACCTCTATAGCTCTTTCACCAGTATTATGGTGTTCATGATTTGGTTACACAAGTTCGAAACCAACACAATCTTCTTGTCACTCAACAAAGACTCCTACATGGATCCAAAGATTTGGAAAATCATTATCTATTATCATTGTAAGAACTACAAAAAAATGAAGTATGGGATAAAATATGATTTTATTAATATGGTGGATGTATAACTATATATTCATATTTATGGAAAGAGAAAAAAAAAGAACTATGAAGTTATGAACAAATAAAAAAATGGAGACATAAACATATAGACAAATGTATATACAGAACTACGAAAGAAAGGGAAACATAGAAACACACCTATACATAGAAAAATAAATAAATAATTGACAAAAAAATCCATATAAAAAAAAAAAAAAATTGTCCCATTTTGACCCGGCCCGACCCGATAGGCTTTTTCAAGCCAACCCATTGACGAGGCCTAGCTAGGAGGTGGTCTCTTCCTTTTGTAGTGAAAGGTGAGGCAAGTTGCCTTGCCTCCACGCTAGGCTTGGGGAACCATTCTAAAGGGGGAGCACATGCAACTAGCTAGGGGAAGGCATGGGCTTGCCCTCTTGGTACTTGTGGCCTATGGGGGATCAACATGAGTGGTCCACTTGTTTGGGCATGTGAGGCCAGCTGGTGCTAACCAGTTATGGTATTAACAAATTTTCTGTCCAATTAATAATCGACAAAGTTTTGTGTACATGTGTCTCATAATCTCCTTAAGTTTATGCTTTCCCCATATATTCTGTGTAGGGACGTTAAAAGTAAGGGTCACCATTAGGCCTGCAAGCCCATGGGCGTATTAGGGTCCGCCCGACCCATTGAGAAAAAGCTTGGCCCGGTCCGTTATGGACCACGGGCCAGCTCAACCCATTATTGAGTGAGACAGGCTTGGACTTGAGTGTCTAAAGCTCGGCTCGGCTCATTTGAGCCCAAGAAAGCCCGGCCCAGCCCACCCATAAAACCTCGGCTTGCGGGCTTACATACATATAAATAAATATATAAAAAAAAACCAAGTTTAATGAAAGATGGAGAAAATCATTATCTATTATCATTGTAAGAACTGGAAAAAAAAATTTAAGTAAGGGATAAAATATGATTTTATTAATATGGTGGTTGTACAACTATATCTTCATATTTATGAAGAAAAAAAAACTATGAAGTTATGAACAAAGAAAAAAATGGAGACATAAATATATAGACAAATGTAAATATAGAACTACGCAAAAAAGAGAAACATAGAAAACAGCAAAACATAGAAAAATAATAATAAAGAATTGACCCAAAAAAAGTCTGGCCCGATCAGGCCCATTATTTTTTCTCTCATCTTTAAAGCCCAACCCGGCCCGGCTCATTGATGAGGCCTAGTTAAAAGTAAGCAAAATGTCATAGCAAAATGCTAGATATTAAACTCCCCACTTTCCTCTGTTTTAATTAAAAATTAATTTCAGTATAAGTGCATTTAATTTGGATGAATTAAATTCTAATTTTTCGAACATTTTCTTCTCAACTGAAGCTTGGCTCATTATTGAGTGGTTTGGCTTGGACTTGAGTGTCTAAAGCTCAGCCCGGCCCGTTTGAGCCCAAGAAAGTCCAGCTTGGCCTATGGTGTTACATACATATATATATATATATATATTCAAGTTTAATGAAAGATGGAGAAAATCATTATCTATTATCATTGTAAGAATTAAAAAAATAAAGTAGGGGATAAAATATGATTTTATTAATATGACAGTTGTATAACTATATCTTCATATTTATGGGGAAAAAAACTATGAAGTTATGAACAAAGAAAAAAATGGAGACATAAACATATAGACAAATGTAAATATAGAACTATGAAAAAAAAACATAGAAACACAGCAAAACATAGAAAAAAAATATAAAGAGCCCATTATTTTTTCTCTTCTCTTTAAAACCCAACCCGGCCCGGCCCATTGATGAGGCCAAGTTAAAAGTAAGCAAAATGTCATAGACAAAATGCTAGATATTAAACTCCCCACTTTTCTATGTGTTAATTAAAAATTAATTTCAGTATATATGCATTTAATTTGGATGAATTAAATTCTAATTTTTCTTATTTTTTGAACATTTTTCTTCTCAACTGAAGCTCACACGAGTTGAAATGAGGAGGAGAAGGGCAAGAAACAATGAAGCTCAACATTTAATTTGTTTTTTCCCTACTGTATTTACATGCTTTTTTCCCCTACTGGATATGTGTCTCAACGTTTATATGCAGTACACGACATATATGTTGTTCAAATTTTCTATACAATTAATAATCAACAAAGTTTTCTGTAGATGTGTCCCATAATTTCCTTAAGTTTATGCTTTCTCCGTATATTATGTGTTGGGACGTTAAAAGTAAGCAAATTGTGATAGCAAAATGCTGGATATTAAACTCCCTACTCTAGGTTTTAATTAAAAATTAATTTGGGTATATATGCATTTAATTTGGATGAATTAAATTCTAATTTTTCGAACATTTTTCTTATCAACTAAAGCTCGGCCCGGCCCGTTTGAGCCCAAGAAAGTCCAGCTTGGCACTCGGGCTCACATACATACATATATATATATATATATATAATCGAGTTTAATGAAAGATGAAGAAAATCATTATCTATTATTATTGCAAGAATTAAAAAAAAATGTAGTATGGGATAAAATATAATTTTATTAATATGGCGGTTGAAATGAGGAGGAGAAGGGTAGGAAAAATGAAGCTCCAATAAATATAGAAAATCCCTATATTTTATTAGCAGCTTCCATTAGACAGATGTTGGATACATCTGTCTCGAGAGAAGGACATTGCAAATATGGAGTTCCTGTCTATCTACGATGCAAAAGCAAGCAAAGATGTCTACACGCCTTCAGTAATATCCATAGGCCCACTCCATCATGGCAACAGAGACTTAAAACCGATGGAAGAACTCAAAAGGAGCTATTTGAAAAAATTCCTGCATAGGGTCGACGTACCCTTGGAGGTCTACATTTAGAAGATAAAAGATCAAGAAGAAAAGTTGAGCGCTTGCTATGCTGACGTCATTGAGTTCAGTAGCGAGGACTTCATACAAATCATGATGGTGGATGCCCCCTTCGTGATAGAGATTTTGTTGAAGTTATGTGGTCACCGTTTTAACCCATTAGGAGTGGATGACCACAATAACATCTCCAGCAAGTCCTGGATAATAAATTATATTATGCCAGACATGCTCAAGTTGGAAAATCAAGTGTCGTTTTGCATCCTTGAGGATCTTCTTGAACTACAGAGAATCGCAGCAGCTGCTATAAGTAACATTACTTATGTCATTCCTTCGATGATGAACCTCGGCTAGTTCATCAATATGACATTTAGTTCGACGAGCATGGTACAGAATGGGGGGATGCTAGGTTCTTCAAGTTTGAAAGTAGAACACTTTATTGCATTTTAAGACTATTTTATCTCCCCAAGGATTCACATATTATTTAGATAGGAGGGGAAGTGAAAGCTGTAAGTGCACCGAGCATCTCCGAACTATTGATGGCTGGAGTAAAAATTGTGTGGGGATCAAGCACAAGCTTATCTGCCATACGATTCGTGGACAGAATTCTAGAAATTCCAAGATTATTGATTCACAATGGTAGTGAGCTTTTGTTTAGAAATATTGCTGCCTTTGAGCAATGTCATGGCTGCTCTTCTTACGTAAACAATTATCTTTCCATCTTGGATGATTTTGTGAACGTATCGATGGATGTGGAGTTGCTTGTTAAGAAAGGAATTTTTATAAATATGCTAACCGACCACAATGAGGTGTCTACTCTGATTAACAACCTTGGCAAGGGGGTTGTCATCTCAGACTTCTATTTTGGACCGCTACTTGAAAAGGCCGTGGATCAAATGGAAATCCACTTTGAAGAGGCATTTTTTCAATTCTTCTTGGGCAACAAACGAGATGATCACATTCGGTATACTCAATCATTAAATAGTAAGTTTAAATAATAATATCACTTCATTAATGATTTCAGTAATATAATAATGTTAACTTAATATTTCCAATTGAATTAGCATGCAGGAAAGATTATGGAATTGAAGCTAACTTTTCATCCATCCAGTGGAAATGGGTCCCTAGGCAAGCCAATAAAACAACTCATGATCAATCTGAAAGAGGCCTTCATGTAGGGGTCATCATTCGGTCTGTGAGCTCATGGGCTAATGAGGGCCTGCCTAGATCATCGAGAAAAAGCCTGGGCTAACCTATTGTGGGCCATGGACTAGGCTTGGGTTTGGTTGTCTAAAGTCCAACCCAGCCCATAGGCCCGGTGTGTTTGAGCCCATAAAGGCCCGGCCTAGTTGATGAGTCAATTTTATATTATATATTTAACCCAATTCTTAGTATATTTTGGTTAATATTTTGGAAGAATTTAGATACTTTGAATTATATTTCCAATATAGGTCTTTCAACTTCCTCTGGAGCAAAACATAATCAAATGGAGGAATTTTGGAGTAATTCCAGTTGGAGGACGTATGTGAGTCACTTAGCTTGATCATATTAAAATATCAGACTTTTCCACCAAGTGATGATTTCCTGGCGAATAAATGAAGGGGCGATGTACAGTGCTGGAATAGTGACGTTTTGGGCTTGTATTGCGTTTTTGGAGCCCAAGATATCCTCAGATGGGTTTGTGGCCTTCTGGAGAAGTGTTTGGAATATTTTTATCTTTAAAACGAGCTATCTTGGGCCAGATTTGGAGAATATTTGAGACCAAAACGTGGCTGGGCAGATTGTGGACAGATTCTCCTAATCCAATTTGGACTTATTTCCTAGTCTTACTTTATTTTAACTTAGTTTACTTGTGGGGATTGGGTAGCTAGGTTTTAGGAGGTATTTAAGTTCCTTTTCACAGTAATTTAAAGAACCTCCTTTTTGACTTCTTTTTGGCTTTGGGAGCAATTGCTAGGGTTTTGGATTTTCGCTACTTTCAGGTGTTTTCATTCTTATTCATTCGAATGATATTTTCTTGGATTTCAATTATGATTATGTGTAACTAATTCCTTTTGCTAGGGCGAGGCCGTAAGCCTTAGCATGAATATGTAGTTTTATTAATTTGCTTATGAATGGATGCATGTTTGCTTTGAATTATTAATTACTGTGTTTAAAACTATCTATCTATTTTAATGACTGATCACCATTAGGATATGTAGACAAGTAATTTGATGCAATTTCTGTTGGAACATCACCCTGAAATTGAGGAGGGCTTCTTGTGGTTAGTAATTGTAAGTTCACTTAAGGCGAACATCACGCTCTTAAGGGGTGCGTGGTTTTTCAAAGGGTTTTCACAAAGCTTAATGAGTCTTGCATATTTATATTTGATCTGAACATCACAAACGGATTGCATGTTAGATATACGTTTTCGCTTGAACATCACAAGGAAAATATGCATTAGGAAAACCTAACCTTCAAAGCATATATGTGGAAATTCATAAGTAATTGATAGAATTGCATAAGATTGCGACGGTGTTGGCTAAACCCTAGTTTTCTCTAAATTGTTAGTCTTTAAAAAGAAATCGTTTTTCTTCTTTGCTGTTATTATTTCCCAACTTTAAGATTTCTTTTACTGTTAGTTTAATCTTTTCAAATTCATAAACTTCAAATCTTTGATAAAATCTATTTTAGTTATTAATTAAGAGTTAATTTAATTACAGATTAGTCAAACAATCTTTGGGGACAACGACCTTGCATGAGCATTTATACTACAATTACCTTGTATTCTTGCAAGTATTTTCAGTGATTTTAACCCTGTTTGCGCAGGTACTAAAAATTCTATCACTAGTCCAACCATAAAAGCGTGGCAGCCCTTCTAGGGTCTTTTCCTCTCATGCTTATTTGATGAGAAGGGTAGGAAGAGACACGAGAGAAACCATGACTTTGATACACACCTGAAGCGGCATAGTGACTTCACTGGTAGCCTTGAAAGAATCTCAGGTATGATGTCGGATGGAAAGTTAGGGTTACCCATTACCTGCCTCAAAGGGTCGTGCTGTAAAAGTTCCAAAAAGTGGCGGCACAGAAGGTGATGGATGGAGGCAAAACAACGGCGGCGGCGACACCACCTGAACGAGGAAGCAAGTGGGGATTGGGAAGGTTAGGGTTAGGGTTTTTGGGGGGTTTTGTGGGGAGAATGTTAGGCTGGGCTTGGTGGGGAAAGGCTAAACAAATTGTTTCTGTGTATTTTTCCTTTGGGGCCAGGTCAACCTTCAATATACTTGGGCCAAACAAACGACATCGTTTTGCCTGTGTATTGAAAAAATAAATAAAGCAGAGCGAGAAGGGGTCGCTGCACAGCTTCCTTGGGACATTTCATCAACACTTGGTGGGTATATGAAGGCCACCTAACAAGCTTCCAAGGGATTGTCGGAGGGACCTTCCATCCATATATCCGGACTAAACATAAAAGAGAATTGTGTTGATGCTCGGCATACGCCGAGCTAAATTTCCCAATAAAAAGACAACACGTGGATTTTGTACACCTAATAAACTCGGCCTCAGCTCCTAATACTACCTTGCCAAAAAGCCACAATATGAGGAACTGCCCACACTGATGACAAGACCCCATCCCACCAAGATAAGACTGCCTCCATACCTGACAGGAAGGCTACTCTACCAGCGGCACCCAACCCCCCTCCCCCCCCCTAGCAGAGACAAAAAACACAAGCCACCACCATGACCTAAATACATGAGTGAGAAGCCTATCCAACTGCCCCCTGGCAAGGATGTGCCATATACGGCTCGGCTTCGAGCCGAGGTGGTCAGTTTGTAATACATTCCATCATCAAATTCCCTATAAATAGGGATGGAACCCTTGTAAAAGAGGGACGGCTTCCTTCCTCTCTTAAACCCCATTTGCTTGATCTATAAAGGTGCATTCCTAGAAAAGAAGAGACCAAAATCTAACCTACCTCGATATACCTAAAACCTACAAATACATGCCGTGTTATCCATTTAAATAGTTGGTGGGTTCAACAAATTGTATTTTTAGATTTTGTTTGCCCCACATTGACTAGACTTGCATAAAGGCCCTGTTAAATATTGGGCCATCTCCTATACTAATGACTTCGAGCTTGGGGTTACCAATTCAACAATGATTTAAGTGTCAAAGTTTTAATTACATCTCACTTGCAAGTTGCAAGCAACCGTTTTCTTTCCTTCTGGTAACTCCACTAGCTCCCAAATAGACTCCCTTCTGAGAGCTCTCAATTCCTCAGGCTCTTTCCCCATGGAAATAGGAATTTCTAAGTCATCATCAATGCAACAATCAATTGGATCATCAGGAAGGAACAACAGAAGAATCATATTCAACAAAACTCTACCTCAGGATTACTTGTCGTTGGGGCAACAGACTAATCATGTTGCTTGAGAGGTGCCTTATCACTTTTTTGATATACCAACTCTTACGATGACCTACAGGAGGGAGAGTCAAAGAACTACCACTTTCGTTTTGTTTCCATTTGTTCTATTTTTATTCTCCAAATCGGATCAATGTAAAACTTATCTTCACTACTCAGGTTTTCCTCCTAACGAGAAGTCTCAGAAAGATGATTAGAAAAATAATGATGATCCTCACGAGACATAACATCTAGTGAGACAAAAAGAATACTACTGTGCTAATGATGATATGTCATTCTTCACTCCTAGAAGAGATTTAGATAGTTCACAGCTTGATACAAAGGAAGGAGATTAAGGCTAAAAGTCAAACTCCTATGTAGGAGAACTAATCGAACAGCTATTCAGCTAATTACAATTAATTATATACAAATGTCAACAAATACTAGGTCCAAAGATGTTTACTGGACATGCAAGTTGAACTACTATGAGTTTGAAAAAAGAGTATGGAGCAAGTAAATTGAGTTTGCCATATTGCCATAAACTTTGTTAGGCCAAGCATGAGCAATGTCTCCTAGTTAGAAAATCCTACCTGCATATATGTATATTCATCATAAGGCCTGTTAAGAAATCATTTAAATTGAAGTGAATGTATTGGAAATGAATTAAACGACCGCATAAAGAGAAACAGATGTGTAATTTACCTTTCCTCAAAAAGGATGGTACATTAGTTTGAAGGTTCTCCCTGGAGTCCTTCACATCCATTACTAGCAACGGAAAATGAAAAGAGATTCCTCAATCTGTGACAGCTTTCCACTTTAATAATTCTTAATTTTTCCAGAAAGACTCAGCTGTGAGTTGGCTATAACAAACACTCTCTAGACTAACAAGGTTGTCAAGAAATAGGGACTCCAAGATGGGGAAGGCATTTTGAGTGTAACTCCAATGGATTAAGTTAATGATATATGTAATGTCAGCATTGTTTGGGACATGGAGATGCGTAAGTTGTTGAAATAAACCCTCATTGTCTAATTGATAGACAATATTCTTAACACCCTCCAACACATCCAAGTACAAATCTTCAAATCTCTTCAGTAGCATTTTTAAACCTTGGTCCAATTGATTGCATGTGGTGAGCTTGAGTTTTAGAGTGCTGAAGGTTTCATCCACACCATGCCATTTCCACGCATTGCCAATCAATATGTGGTATCTTTTTAGCTTATCAGAGAACAGGTTTTCTGGAAGAATGTTGCCATCTGTAATATGTAAGTCTAATGAGGTTAGCTTAGACAAGTGCTTTAGCTCTGAAAGGCTAGCATTACTTCTTTGGACATTGACTCCTTCGTCCTCCCATTGGTTAAAGCTGTTTCCCATTCTCAAGTCCTCTAGTCTTTTCAAGCTTGAGATAACATTAGGTGAAATCACTTCAATTCCAGAGCAACCGCTCAAATCTAGCAATCGCAAACGACTCAACTGCCCTATTTCTTCAGGCCTAGGCAGCTGTTTTACCTAAGATTCCAAAAGGCTAAGAATCTCTATGTTTCTTAATATTGTCCAAGTAGAGCTATGTCTCCCAACACGCATAGGTCTAAACACAATGTTTGAAGATTTGTCAGGAATTGAAGAGATGGAGGTAGTGATGGAATACACAAATTGTTTAAATCCAACACTTTAAGATTTTTCATATGTTCAAAAAATTTGTGGGGATCTCCAGTGAGTCATCATTACTCCACAAAAAGAACAGTTTTAGTTCTCCACATTCGAGAGATTGAGGAAGTGTAGGGATATTGCAAGAAGGGAAAGAGATCAGAGAGCAATTTTTAATGAAATCGTTATTTGGCCATTCTTTCAACTCATCTCCATGTGCTATTGATAAGATGTGTTGATCTCTAAATGCAATTGAGATTGCAACATCACGTACAAGGTCATGCATTCTAACACATGTATTGTCATAACCATCTAGCAAAATACAAGAATCTTTAAGTTTTTCAACGAGTGAATGCAATGCATTTCGTGCTTATTCCAATGTATTGACGTTTTTAAACAAACCCAAACCCATGGTATAATTCAACAAGTCTCAAGCTCCTCACCATGCAATCCACTCTAGAGCTAAGTGTACTTTCTCTGTCAATCTTTCTTTGTCAAACCTTTTTAGGCATCTCAAAGCATCTTTTCATGCATGTAATGTACATCTGTTTCTCAAAGCGCTTGCAATTGTGACAACTAAAACTAGCAAACCTCCACATTTTTGGGCTATTTGAGTCGCTACTGCACGTATAGTGGGATCTTTAACAACATCCCCTGCCATCTTCTCAAATAAACTCTGACTTTCTTCTTCACCTAGCCTAAACTCTTTTTGCGTACGCATCTCAGAGGATAATATCACTCGACTTCAAGATGTCAACAATGTTTTGCATACAACACGGGGAAGTCCCAAGCCAGCAAATCAATTCTGTCCCAAACATCATCTAAGATTACAAGAATCTCTGTATCTTTTAACCTGTCACATAGAATTTGCGCTCTTCCTGCTACAGTATGATTTTCAAGAACATTAAAGGCTAACTTCTCAGCAATTTTTTTTTGAATTCTTTCCAGGTCTGGATTCTGTTTCACATCTATTACTATAACCACATCATCAAATAACTCCTCTTTTGTGGCTTGCCTAAAAACTTCTGAGTGTCGTCTTCCCCACATCCCCAATCCCATACACCCCAATCATGTTGGTATTAGGATTTCTTAGTTCCTCCATGATTTTCTTCATAGTTGAAGTCCTTGATTCAAAGGCTTGATGCTCTTCAGTGGGCATGCTCCATATCTCTTGTGGGGGTGCATTGTATGAAAATATGGGAAATTTTGTATTTGCATGGAGTTGAAGAACGACCTGCCCCAATTTTCTCGATTTCTTGTGTAGAATTGTAAGTAGTGAGCCTGATTTCTTTTAAGCCTAGAGTGTTAATTGTGTACTCACTTAGTCCTAGAGAATGACAAGTGTAAAGGCTTCAAACGTGTACGGCTAAAATAGCCAAGAGTGGTAATCCTAGAATTGAGACAGATGGATGGCTGAGATTCATTGATGCTTGTGTGAATCCAGCTCAGAGCTAACGGTCATGTAGTATGAGCTCATTCCTACAGATCGTGAATATACAAAAACCTTGCTCACATACTTTGTGAGCAAGCAGAGCAGTTATTCAATAGCATTCTCTATTTTCTTCTTTTCTCTCTAACTGACCAATTCACAAACCCAGCTTGAATAGCAAAACACTAACATCTTGCTCAGCTGATAACGGCGAATCAGATTAGGACACTACCCGTGGAGACACTGTGTCTTTGCTTGGCTTTCATCTTTCAATAATTTTTTGCCTCTCTAGTAATCTGATCTACTCTTGTCAACCATTTCTCAACATCAATATCCACAGATTTACCTTTTCGTTTAACTTTATTAAAAGCATGTTGAACCGTTTCATGGCAGCACCTAAGTTGTCTACCTGACTCTCTAGATTTTGAAGGTTGCTTTCGTGGTGAACTAGATAATCCATTTGGCGCCCAACTGCTGGTTCAATTGTGTACTCAACAATATTCCCAGCAATCCCAGAAACAATGGCAGTAAGACAATCCATGCTTCTTTTAGTTTACTATTTATCTGCTTCTTCTTTTTGTTCTTATTTTTACTTTTGTTTTTGGTGCTGTTATAAATCTGTTAAATATTAAACAAAAAAAGAAGCTACAGTTGTATTTTTCTTAAAGCCTCCGTCTCCTCCTGGCTATTTTTCTAAACTTTATTGCCTCCATTTGCACTGGTGCAAACTATGCTTGATGATATTTCTGTTTTGTACTAAATATAAAATATAAAAAATTGTCGATGTTAATTTCTTTTTATATTAAATATATGGAATGCATGTCAATATTAGCTTGTAATGCTTTTTATTTTCCAACAGGCTACATCATACGTTGCAGATCCAGTACTTCTAGTTAGAATAAGGCAGTTCTTCAAGATCAGTCAATTCCTGTGAAGCACATAGTTCCCCGATTTTCTGTGCAGGTCAATCGAGATTTCAACCATGATTTGGGGATCAATCTATCTGCAGAAGAGTTATTAAGGGATATGGTTCAACAGATTGTTCTGTTAATTCATCAAACTGTTAAATTTAATACACACTTGAAGAATTAGAAAAATCTAAAAAAAAATTAGAGAACTCAAGAAAGTTCACGAACTTTGACAAAGTCAAGCTTTAAGAGATGATTATTGTAAACTCTAGAAAAGTCCTAATAAAAATCTTGTAATAAACTAATAATATTATAAAGTAGTGACTAGAGAAAAAGCCAAGTCCACCGACTTGGACAATGGTGGCAGCTTAAGTGTATAAATAGATGTAGTCTCTTGTACAAAGACAAGAGAGAGAGAAAAGGCCAAATAAGCCTAGCAAACAGTTTCTAGTTGCTGAAGGCCAATAAGCCTAGCCCTCTATAAAGTCTTGTACCCATCTATTGTTGAATAAATAAAATCACTCTTTTGTTCTCTAAAACCCAACACAAACGTCCCACATCCATACAAGCTCTTGCCAAGAGTATAAAACTTGTGGTACTAGAAAAGATCAATCAGAAATGGTTAATCACAGTCTAGATCATGCATCAGCCGATGAAAACAACAGTGTAAAACAGGGTCCTGATGAGTCTTTTTAAAGCTCATCCACCACCTAACAATAGAAATGTGAAGGGGAAATCGAGCTTACTGCTAGCAATATCTACATTTGGATATCAAATTATGCGATATCCTCATTTTGTTGAGCTTTGTTGATTTACTTCGGAATTCAAAGAAGGTTCCTCTGCGGACATAGTTGACCTTGGAAGTGCTGGCCATTCAATTCTTGTATAGTTCGTCCTAACCCAATCGAAGAGGTGGCTGTTGGTTGTAGCTCCAGCAACATTAAAAGCAAAGAAAATTTTGTTCTAGTTAGAGGCCTGATTGCTGTCGGTTTGTCGGCATACAGAGGTTTCTACGCATCACTCACAGAAGTCTCCTTTGAAATACAGAGAGTTCTTGAGCTTCTAGTTTACAGATCAATGCAAAGATCCAGGCTGGGAGAGATAGATATCAATATATTCGCCTTTTATTGCAATTGGCCTATATGGGAGACATGGTTAATAGCTGGGCATGCTCCTGCACAGCTAAATGCTTATATTGCCATTGGTGTGCTTGTGGAATTTTCTTCTTCTCATTTAATTTAATTTTTCTTTTCATGGGTTGTCATCTAACAACGATGGCTCCCATTTCAGTTTAGAGTTGGATGCCCCAATGAAAATGGCAAACGCTAATTAAGCTAACCGATGTGAGACCTCTAGATGATCACCATGCGAACGATCAAGTTCAAAATGAGGAACCCAAGCCAAATGGTACTAGCAAATGCTCCGATGGGCTTGAAGTGCCAGAAATTGGTCCTCAAGGTTTGATAACGAAAAAGTTTGTAGTGTTGACTTAAATGAAGAAGATGGTGATTTGGGTCATCCTAATTCTGTAGGTGGACTTGAAATTTCTGATTTGTCTGGACAGAAAAGCATCCTAATGAACTCTACTCTGGATAAATCTCTTCTTGATTCAGATGAAATTTTGAATGACCAGAATGTGACAAGCCGATGCCCAAACTAAAAAATATGTGACAAGCCCTAAACCACATGAGCTAGAAAATGACAAAAACCATGTAGTTGTCAATGGAGATTGTGGGAACCGAATTTTAGCAAAATCCTAGGTCAAATATTTCCTTCCATTTGGGGATTATTTGATTTGGGGATTCTTGCCTTGAATTAGGGATTTGATTCTCATTAAATCCCTGATTGATTTAAATCTCCTAAAATCAGGAAAAATAATTCTTTTCCCAACAAGGATTATTTTTCTCCAAACCCTAACCCTACGAGGCTCTATAAATACGAGGCTATGCAAGGCATGAGGTAAGCCATTCTAAGCTCTCAAATTACTGCAAAAATTCCCCTCCTTGTCGCCTCCTCCCTCTCTCTCTTACACAAGGCTTCGGCCACCATACACAGCTCGGGCCATCTGGTTCTCTCCCCATGAGAGCTTCATACCCTTTTTAGCTATCGTTTCTCTACGAATCAATCAAACTAACTTAGGCATCGGAGGGTCTTTTGCCAACACCCCCCAGGTGTGGTCCTCTTATTCCGATTGGTTTTGCAGGGAGAAAGAGTTTGAGGAATGAGAAAGAGAAATATATTGATCAAATATTCTAAGGGACGAAAATCACTCCCACAGAGATGCTGGATCCTTGAAACATTCAAATGGATTTGAAGACACTGAATTTGTTGTCATTTCGCAGGATGGTTGAACTTATGATGAATTTGGCCTCATTAAGCTCTCTAGCTCTAGTACAGTATGCAATGAGCTTAATGGTTTATCCTCCGTGGATGCTAGGTATTGGACAGAATGATGGTAAGTGTGATGTCGATGAGCATATTATGGATGTCAACTTCTCGGGCAAAACAAGTCTCACTAGCGAGTCTCGGTTCTATGCTTGTATCGTTGTTGCCCTACATGTCTAGATATCCTCTACAATTTGACACAAAAAATTCTTATTCACAAATGGTGATCCAATAGGAGCCTATTGACTGCAGAGGATGCCCATGATATTGTTGCATCAGTGTCTATGTATGTTCTTGCAACAGTTCATCATGGTTGTCTAAGAGGTTTGATGAGGAGTTAAGAGATAATACCAAGATGAAAGTGACAGATTTCATGAAGACTGTAAGGAAACATTATGCCATAGATGTAACTGAGGCTCAAGTTTATAAAGCCAAGAGTTTTGCAAAAATCAGAATTCAAGTTAGTATTGAAGAGAAATATGGAAAGGTGTGAGATTATTGTGAGGAGAAGAGTTTAACCCTAGAATTATCATTGTGAAGACTGATTTGCAGGGTGAGAATCCTATGTTTAAGAGGATTTATATATGTTTTGGAGCACTTAAAAAAGGATTTGTAGAAGGATGTAGACCAGTGTGGGTTTTGATGGGTGCCATGTTAAGGGTTCTCACCCAGGGTAGATTCTAAGTGCAATTGGGGTGGATGGAAATAATAGGATGTATCCAATTGCTTTTGTTGTTGTTGAAGTTGAAAACACAGAGACTTGGAGTTGTTTCTTTGACATATTCTTTCAAGATGTTGGTATTCAAAATGGCAATGGGTGAGTTTTCATTACTGATAAGCAAAAAGGTTTAGGGAATGCCATTCATGATTTGATACCCAATGTTGAGCACATGCATTTTGTGTGGCACTTGCACAATAATTTCAAGCTTGCAGACCATACTAATCTAACTTTGAAGCAAAGATTGTGGGCAGCAACTATGGCAACAACATTACCTGTATTTGAGGCTGAAATAGTGCAGATGTTGGGTCAATCTAAGGCAGCATATAAGTGGCTTGAGGAGAGACCAGCTGCTCATTGAAGTCGATCACACTTTAGTAAAGTCCCAAAGTGTGATATACTTCTAAACAATTTGTGTGAGTGTTTTAATGCTGCAATTTTAAAAGCAAGGAATAAGCTCATTATTACTATTTTGGAGAGAATTAGAACATACTTGATGCTCAGAATGGCTAGACTTAGAGAGACAATGTGACCCCATGAAATTGGTCCAAGAATATTTACTATTATGGAGAAGAATACAATTGAATATGGTCAATGCATAGCTTTATATGCTGGTGGAGAGAAGTATCAAGTTAATAGTACGTTGGGAGCTATGTTTGTTATGGATTTAGAAAGACATATATGCACCTGCAGAAAATGGGACTTAAGTGGAATCCCATGTGCACATGCCTTGGCTGCGATAACAAAGAGTAAGCACAAACCTTTGGATTTTGTGCATGCAATTTTAAAAAGGCCAACATAGGATAGGGCTTATGAGGTCTATATAGGGGGTGGGGGGGGGGGGGTTTGTTTTTTTTTTTTTTTTTTTTTTTTTTTTTTTTTTTTTTTTTTTTTTTTTTTTTTTTTTTTTTTTTTTTTTTTTTTTTTTTTTTTTTTTTTTTTTTTTTTTTTTTTTTTTTTTTTTTTTTTTTTTTTTTTTTTTTTAAAAAATTTTTTTAAAAAAAAAATTTTTTTTTTTTTTTTTCCCCTTCCCCTTAAAAAAAAAAAAAAAAAAAAAAAAAAAAAAAAAAAAAAAAAAAAAAAAAAAAAAAAAAAAAAAAAAAAAAAAAAAAAAAAAAAAAAAAAAAAAAAAAAAAAAAAAAAAAAAAAAAAAAAAAAAAAAAAAAAAAAAAAAAAAAAAAAAAAAAAAAAAAAAACTCTAATACCTATTCAAGCATTGATGAGTCGATTTTATATTATATATTTAGCCTCATTCTTAGTATATTTTGGTTAATATTTTGGAAGAATTTTGATACTTTGAATTATATTTCCAATATAGGACTTTCGACTTCCTCTGGAGCAAAACATAATCAAATGGACGAATTTTGGAGTAATTCCAGTTGGAGGACGTTCATGAGCCACTTAGCTTGATCGTATCAAAATATCAGACTTTTCCACCAAGCGATGATTTCCTGGCGAATAAATGAAGGAGCGATGTGCAGTGCTGGAATAGTGACGTTTTGGGCTTGTATTGCGTTTTTGGAGCCCAAGATGACCTCGGATGGGTTCATGGCCTTCTGGAGAAGTGTTCGGAATATTTTTATCTTTAAAACGAGCTATCTTGGGCCAGATTTGGAGGAGATTTGAGGCCAAAACGTGGCTGACCAGATTATTGGCAGATTCTCTTAAACCCATTTGGACTTTATTTCCTAGTATTATTTTATTTTAACTTAGTTTCCTTGTGGGGATTGGGTAGCTAGGTTTTAGGAGGTATTTAAACTCCTTTTCACAGCAATTTAGGGATTCCTTTCTTTTTACTTCTTTTTGGCTTTTGGAGCAATTGCTAGGGTTTTGGATTTTCGCGACTTTCAGGTGTTTTCATTCTTATTCTTCTTAATGTTATTTTCTTGGATTTCAATTGTGAACATGCGTAACTAACTCTCTTTTGCTAGGGTGAGGCCACGAGCCTTAGCAAGAATATGTAGTTTCTGTCCAATTTGCTTATGATTATATGCATGCAGGTTTTCGAATTATTCATCACTGGGTTAAACTATCTAAGTGTCTTGATGCTTGATCACCATTAGGATGTTTAGAAAAGTAATTTGATGCAGTTTTGGTCGGAGGTCGGTCCCTGAAATTGACGAAGGCTTCTTGTGATTAATATGTGCAAGTTCACTTAGGATGAATACCACGTCTTAAGGGTTGCATGGTTTTTCAAAAGGTTTCACAGAACTTAATGAGTCATGTATGTTTAGATTTGATCTGAATACCACAGACGGATTGCATGTGTGATATACGCTCTATGTTGGGGGTCCAAGTAGGCATATATTAGGAATACCTAACCTTCGAAATATGCATGTATATGTCATAAGTAATTGGGGGAACTATATAGAATTGTTAAGGTGACGGCGGATCCCTAGTGCTTTCTTAATTTGATTTCTAAAAACACAACTGTTTCTCTTGCTCTTAGCTTTAATTTTGCATATTGCCTTATTTTTATTAGTTAAATTCTTTTTAATTTAATGTCTTCAAATCAAACATCTCAACTTTCTCTTTTGCAATAATTAATTAGAATTTGGTTGCTACGAGTTATTTAATAATCCCTGCGGAGAACGACCTTGCGAGAATCATTTATACTACAACAACCTTGTCATTCTTGCAAGTTTTGTAAGAGTTTTAACCCTGTTTGCGCAGGTACTAAAAAGTCTATCAAGCATATTGGAGAAAAACAGGGCATGTACCTATCAAGCCACTTGTTTATTACGTCCAACCAGGAAGGCCCAAATTGAGCAAAAATAAAGAACCTGATGAAATACCAAGAGGGGTAACAAAACTAAGAAGGTATGGCATTGTATTGACATGCTGCAACTGTGGACAAGTAGGTCACAATTTGCAAGTTGTTCCCAAAATGGATAGGTTATATATATATATATATATATTATTTATTTATTTATTTATTTACACATTTCATTTGTTGAAAATGGCTATGTTAACATATGATTTGTTGTTTTTGCTATGTTAACATGTGATTTGTTGTTATTGACAATGAAAGGGCAACCTAGACGTACTAGAGCAAGATGCGGCAGGAAGGGAAGATGAGCTGTGAGGGGAAGAGGTACATGGGGAAGAGGAGCTGCAACTGTTAATGGAGGTGTTGATACTTCTAGTGCCAATGCAAGTGGAATGGTTGGTGTTAGGGGCAGAGGTGTTGTGAAAGGTATATGTGTTGTGAGTGAACAACAACAAACTCAGGCCACACCAAAGTTTAATATAAGTACTTGGATTAAACCTTGATGTTTTGGATCAATAATTGCATTATTGTGATATCTTTTGAAGGCTTAAGAGAGCTATGGTTGCAACAGGTGAGAAGAGGAGCCCATGTCTCCTAAGTCATAGAAAACCAATCTATTTGCTGGTTCACAACCTACTCAAGTGTAACATCCCACATCGACCAACGAAGAGGGGGTGATGTGTCTTATATGTACATGCCCGCCTCTATCTAGCACGAGACCTTTTGGGAGCTCACTGGCTTCGGAGTCGTGGGAACTCCAAAATTAAGCGAGTTGGGGCTAGAGCAATCCCAAGATGGGTGACCCACTGGGAAGTTGCTCGTGAGTTCCCAAAAACAAAACCGTGAAGGCAGAGAGAGGAGCCCAAAGCATTCAATATCGTGCTACAGCAGAGCCGATCCCAGGATGTCACAATTTGGTATCAGAGCTACTCTGATGTGTGGTGCAAGTGCATCGACGAAGACGTTGGGCCCCTAAGGGAGGTGGATTGTAACATCCCACATCGACCAACGGAGAGGGAGTGATGTGCCTTATATGTATATGCCCGCCTCCATCTAGCACGAGGCTTTTTGGGAGCTCACTGGCTTCGGAGTCGTGGGAACTCCGAAATTAAGCGAGTTAGGGCTAGAGCAATCCCAAGATGGGTGACCCACTGGGAAGTTGCTCGTTCCGAGAACAAAAAAAAAAAAAAAAAAAAAAAAAAAAAAGAAGGCAGAGAGAGGAGCCCAAAGCGGACAATATCGTGCTACGGCGAAGTCGATCTCGGGATGTGATATCAAGGTTCAAGTTCCCAACCTGTGAAATTTTCAAGTTCACAAGCTCCTTCACAACTCACCCAAAGTTCACAAGCTCCAATTTCATAAGCTCCTCAAGGTTCAAGTTCACAACCTCAAACAATGGTAACTTTTCCAAAAATGCCTAGGTTCAAATCTCCATAAAAACGAATAAGGCCATGGAGAGTTTAGTCAGATATTTGAAGTGAATGATTGAAGATTCATGATGTTTATTTTGGTTTTGTGGATCATTTTGGTTTGCAGCTCTTTAAGGGTTATATTTTGAACTGATTTTGTACAAATAATATGTAAAGCTTTAGTGATGAAGACGTATTTTGAACTGAATTTGGACAAACTTTGATGGTAAAGCTATATGTTGTGGATGTGTATGTTTAAGGGATTTTTGACAAGACTGTTTAAGGGATGTGTCTGCGTATTTTGAAGTGCTATTAATGTAATGTATTGTGAATTCAAATGTTGTATTTTGGCATACTTTGAAGTGTAGTCCATATATTTTGTGTGACAGTTACTATTTCAATTGTCAAAATGAGAGCTTGCATTTTCATTCACCAAAATAACTCTTACATTGATTACATTGGTCACAACACTCAAAATGAAGCCAATTATACACCATTTCTTATCCTTACAAAAAGCCAATTACTCATCCCTTACTAACCATTACAAATTGTCAATCACCCATCCCTTTCTAACCATTGCAAATTGCCAATCACCCATCCTTTTCTAACCCTTACAAAATGACAAGCACCCATCCCTTTATAACCCTTACAAAATGCCAGCTACCCATCCCTTTCTACAGCTGCCCAGTGGTGCCTTTATCTTCATTCAAAATCAACCACATAATAACCCCAAACATGCACAATGACACCTAAAACCATGGGTTTTTCAGCTTCGAATTCCCTATCTTTTTTCTGCTTCCAACTTATTAATTCTCATTAGCAGTCCCCCCACTCCCACATTTGACAACAATTATGCAAAGATAGAGTTTTAAAACTTGGAAACGCAAAACTACAAACTTGAAACTCAAACTTCAAAATTCAATTCACTTGCGCACAAACATAAAATCTTCGTCCAGGATGTGAAGAAGTCCAAATTTTTGCAATGTAGACTCGTGACGGCAATGTCCATGAACTGCCGTATTCGAACTCCGAACTCCCTCTGCGTGACCCATCAAAGTTGCTAAGGTAACCCCCCCCCCCCCCCACCCAAAAAAAAAAGATGGAAATCGCCATAAACAAATGGAGAACCAACCTTGGTGGGCAAAATGAGAAATGAGGTTCACATAGGTAATTCAATCCATGAGGAATGACCAAAATAAAACTCAAAAGAGAGTCAAATGGACGGATTAATGGATGAAATGTGGGAGTTTTGACGGTTTGGGGAACATTGATAATAAAATTTAATTCTAGCCCTTAATAAAAAAAAAAAAAAAAAAAAAAAAAAAAAAAAAATGGGGTAAATTGATAGTTATGTACAAGTTCAGGAGGCCATTTGGCACTTTACCCAATTGATAATACGGGTACTAACTAGAGGTGCCAAACGGGATGGAGTGGCTCAACACAGCACGTGACAGGACCCGCCCCGAATTTCCCAGAACCCGAGACGAATCCTGCGGAGACCTCGGCATCACACCCCTGCCGAGTTCACTCCTTAAAACTATGTCCTCTTTTACCAAAGAGGATTAAGGGCACGAGACTTTCTGCCGAAATTTCGGCAGAGTCTCCCCTGTAAATTGAACATTCCCCAAAATTTCCACCTGCATAAAACACATTTTATAACCCAACCAGCAGCACGCACAATATAATCTCATGCAATTTACATAAATGGCCTCCGGCCTTCAAATGATTCTAACAGAACTGCCTACACTGTTTTTAAAACAACTTAATGCATCAAACATGCACATAACCAATTCAAAATCTATCTATGCACACCTTCGCTCACTCAATCCACCGGACAAGCCTCAATTCAACCAAGTTTCGGAACCAACCACGAGGTCCGCATCATACTCGATAAAACCACCTAAGTGGTGTCTAGGCCGTGGCTGCACCTAGGCGCTATCCCAGGCTGCCTACGTACCCTACTAAGGGATCAAGCCACACGTAGCTCTTTCCTATCAATCCTGGCTCCTAATATCAAATAAACCATTACATCCATATAAATTCATACATTCTAAGGTTTATCCATCACAACACACCAAACACAATCACATAGCTCCCCTCATACGACGGGACGCACCCGGCCTCGTATGGGGTCTGTCTACACGCCGGCTAATCCAAAGACGCGTGCGACCTCAACCCTGGGCCTGGCTACATTCTCACCAGCCCTTACACAATCATATCTCCCCTCATACGTCGGGACGCACCCGGCCACGTATGGGGTCTGTCAACACGCCGGCTAATCCAAAGACGCGTGCGACCTCACACTGGGCCTGGCTACATTTTCACCAGCCATCACACAATCATATCTCCCCTCATACGTCGGGACGCACCCGGCCACGTATGGGGTCTGTCAACACGCCGGCTAATCCAAAGACGCGTGCGACCTCACACTGGGCCTGGCTACATTCTCACCAGCCCGCACACAATCATATCTCCCTTCATACGTCGGGACGCACCCGGCCACGTATGGGGTCTGTCAACACGCCGGCTAATCCAAAGACGCTTGCGACCTCACACTGGGCCTGGCTACATTCTCACCAGCCCTCCTTCTCACCAGCCATCACACAATCATATCTCCCCTCATACGTCGGGACGCACCCGGCCACGTATGGGGTCTGTCAACACGCTGGCTAATCCAAAGACGCGTGCGACCTCACACTGGGCCTGGCAACATTCTCACCAGCCCGCACACAATCATATTTCCCCTCATACGTCGGGACGCACCCGGCCACGTATGGAGTCTGTCAACATCCGAGGAGGTACATAGGGTAGTGCATATAGCACTGCAAACTGACATTCAATTATAAAATCCACACATAATTTTTATACATTACTTTCTAATAATATAAACACCTTAACAAACAACTAGCATCCGATAATCCCCCATAACCCCCATAACATCAGGACCTATCACTACGGTCATTTTAATCTTCCTAGGAATGTAATACTACCTAGGAGGTCCCACGGACAAACCAGGGTCAACCTACCCAACCTTGGTCAAATGGACCCGTGGGGCCCACGAACTCCAAATTTCAATCTGACAGTCCCTATAGGTCCTACCATGTCTAGAACACACGTCCTGCAAGTTTGGTCCAGATCGGACGGTCGGATCGCTCACGATCGCACAATCGGACGGTTACTAAAACCCTAACCCTAGGGTTGGCATTTCCGGAGTATCCGGGACTCCGTTTTATGATATGTCGAATCCTACACGATCCTGGAAATACTTAGATCAACATATTATAACTTTAGGACCATCCAACGGTCCAGACCTAACGGTAACCAAATTAAAATCCGAGCACACCTACGCGCTCGTGACATCGAGAGGATCACATTGGGACAAAAATGCCCCTCAGCTACAGTGCCCACGCGCCGGCAGCGCGTGGGTGTCCAAAGCGATATCGCATCGCCAGAAAAACCACAAATCACTGCTCAAGACTCCTACCCTAGGTAAAACACTATATTTGGAGTCACTTTTGTTCTTGGGCATACCCCAAAAACTGACCGGAAGTGGCCGGAATCGCGATCCCGAAACCGGCCGAATTTCAATTCGTAGATCGAGCTACTTACGCTACAAATTGATCAATTCCTACCCAACAGGCAGCTAGAGCTCAGAAAATAGGTGAGAAACCATACCTCACTTGCCGGAATCGGTGGCCGGACGACGGAGAACGAAGCCGGCGAAGTTCCTGTCAAAACCGGAGCTTTTCTCTTCGATTTTTCGGCGAAATCTCGACGGCTGGCGGCGGGACCTGGCCGTGCTCTCGTCCGGCCAAAACGTGGCCGGCTGTTTCAACCGTCGCGAACCAGAGGAGAGAGAGAGAGAGAGGGACGCGCGGGAAAGAGAGAGTGAGTGACGGGGACAGTTCCGTCTTTTTAACCAAAAATTCTATTTCAAAATATTTACGATTTTGCCACTGAGGGTATTTGGATCGTATCTCTCTCGTTACAACTCCGATTCGAGCCCACTACGTGTCTACGAACTCCGGAATTCCCAAATTCCTTCTGGGTAAGAAAATGACTAAAATACTCCTATCCCACGGGTAAATTCTTAATTTCGCTCAAATTAATTAAAACAGGGGATAAATTTGGAGTCGGGGTGTTACAGCACGAGCCCAACCTGTTTAAATGAGGCACGGCACGACATAGGCAAGAATATTAATAAGCCATTCTCGGCACAGCACGAAAACTTGGGCCAGGCCGGGATTAAAAAATGAGGTCCAATGGACCGAGTCGGCCCATGGCTCGACGTGGGCCAGGTTTGGCCTGAGCCCGCTTCAAGCACGGTCCGAGCCCAAGCCCGGCCCACTTAACAAATTTTTTTCTCCAAAGTCAAAATGCAATAATTTGACATCTAATGTCAATATTTATATGGGTTAAAAAAAATAATAAATAATATATTTGGTGTCTTTCATTTTAGGGAAATTACCTGGGTCCTTAATTAATTAAACATACTAACCAAAAATTAATTAAACAACATTGGACGTGATATCTAATTAGTACATATGATATATACGCTTCTCTTATAATCAAAGCAAGACATTTCTTCACACTTTTTTCCCTCTGCCCTTTCATATTGTTTGGATGTTTTATTGATTAATGTTTTCAAATAGTTCATCATTTCTTGCCTCTAATTATATTTTTAATGTTTATAATTTGAATTATCTAGTGAAAAAAAATCAAGTGAAAAAAATTCAAATTAAATGGGTTGGTTCTTGGGCCCGAGTATGGCACGATCCCGGCCCGGCCCGTTTCATTATGGACATGGGCTTTATGCAGGCCTGAATCGATGATTTTACTAAGTGGGCCAACACGGCACGAGCAGATAAATTAAATGGGTTGGCTCGGCCTTGCACAAAATCATTAAAAGCACGAGTTTAAGTGGGACGGAGCGGCCCGGCACAGCCCGTTTGACACCTCTAGTACAAACATCAATACACTAGTAATACGTAATTGAAATTCACCCTATTTACTTATATTACAACACACATCAACAATATGAGATTGAAAAGACCAAAACCATGAGATTTCATGGTTAAAAGGCTAAAGCTAATTTACAACCTTACAAAGCTTTTTCACTAGTATCATGGTGTTCATGATCTGGTTACACAAGTTCGGAACCAACACAATTTTCTTGTCACTCAACAAAGACTCCTACATGGATCCAAACCCACAATGGCTCACAAGGCACCTAATTAATGAGTAGCTCAAAATGGCTATTTGCTACACCCAACCCCAAAAAACCACCCCTCTCCCTTTCACCCTCTCTTCAAACCTGTCTGGCAATGCCTCTTTAATTGTTGCATAGGCCGCAGGTCGTTTGAGAACCACAAAAAAAGGCAACCCAGTTAGCTCAAACCCCAACACAAGCTCTTGGAATTGATCCTTATCAAGGATCAACTGACTCTCAAATGCACAAAACACCACCGACCCTGCTTCCTCAAACCCACCAAGCCAGTTAGCCCACATGTCTTCTAAAGGTGGGCTATTCTTGTTTGAGTCTTCCAACCCATATACTAGTCCAATTAAAAGCATAGGCCTTTTGTGTTGTGCAGTCAGGTAATCGTATAAATGACCTTCAATATCTCTACATGTTTTTATGCAAAATGCGTCACTTTCTGTGATGGCAGTTGTGAACCTCTAGTAAAGTATGAGCCCACCTAATCCAAACGGCTTCCATAACACTAACATGGAGTGAATTTCACAACCAGGAAGCAGCACCACATGTTGTGATTGGTATCCAGAAGGTAGGTCGCGTAGTTGCTCCTTGATGATAGTACCAGTAAGGCTAGGGCTGTAATTTCGTGCCGGCACAATAGAGAATGCATGCACAGCTGCAGCTGTAGTGTTGTAGTAAATAGATTTGATCCCAACCCCAAGTTTCCATGTGAATTCTGGTACCCAATGAACAAAGTAGTAGAAAATCATGTCGATCTTCTGGTCGAGGACACTGGCTTTTAGGATTTCTTGGATTTGCTTACAGTTTTGATCCACAGCAACATAGACCAAATGGATCAAAGTTGTCGAGACCTCAGAGGCAAACTCAATGCCCTCATAGAGGCCTTCAATGTGAGGGACAGTGATGGGACAAAATGTGATTAGGTCTGGGTGAAGATTAAGATGTTGTAGCTGAATTCGAGCTTTTTTGGGCATTAAGAAAGAGATTCTATGGCCTCTAATAGCCAGCTCATTAGAGAGGTGGAGGAAAGGAATCATGTGTCCTATTAAAAAGAATGGGAACATGGCTATGTGAAAATTATTTGAACTCTCAACTCCATTACGCTCCATCATGTAGTTAACTTCTATTCTAGCTAGAGGTGTCAAGCGGGCCTTGCCGAGCCAGCCCGTCCCATTTAAACTCGTGCTTTTAACGTTTTCATGTCGTGCCGAGCCGGCCCATTTAATTTATTAGGCCATGTCGTGCCACCACATTTAGTAAAATCATTGTTCATGGCCCAACCCAAAGACCATGACCACAAAGTCCACTTCAACTTTTCATCTTTAAACAACTTATTACTTTATATGTGAAGAAATGTCTTGCTTTGATTATAAAAGAAGCGTATATGTCATATGTAGTGATTAGATATCAAGTCCAATGTTGTTTAATTAATTAAGGATCCAGGTAATTTCCCTAAAATGAAAGACATCAAATATATGTTTATGATTATAAAAAATAATTAAAAAAAACCATATAAACAATGATATTAGATGTCAAATTTTTGCATTTTGAATTTTGAGAAAGAAAAAAAAATTAAGTGGGTCGGGCTTGGGCTCAGGCCGTGCTTGAAGTGAGCTCGGACCAAGCCATGGGCCGGTCCGGTCCATTGGACCTCATTTTTTATCCCGGCCTGACCCAAGTTTTCTTGTAGTGCCGATCATGGGCAATTAATATTCATGCTCGTGTCGTGCCTTATTTAAACGGGTTGGGCTCATACCGTGCTGGCCCAGCCCATCCCGTTTGACACCTCTAATTCTAGCTCTCTTAGCCTCTTCTCGTAGTCTCTCTTGCTATGATGGGAGGGCAAAGACGCTAGTGATCGCTGGTGGCTGGACAAAACCATCATTGGGATTTCTCAAACGTAATTGTGATGGTGCTTAGAGTGCCAATCGTATGGTTGGAGCAGGGGGTTGGGTGTTGAGGGATGACTCTGGGTGCTTTCGTCTGGCTGGCGGGGTTGGTAGCAGTGTCTAAATGCCCTGGGAGCTGAAGCTGAGGTAGTTAAAGCGAGCTTGGAAGTCGGAATTGATTATAGCGCGCAACAGATAGTGGTTGAATCAGATTCTAAGCTTCTCGTGGATGCATTGCAAAGCCATGCTAGCATTAATGTGATCTTGGATGGCATAGTGCACGATAGAGTTGCCAAACGGGACGAAACTGCCCAACACGGTACAAGCTCAGCCTATTTAAATGAGGCATGGCACGACATGAGCACGAATATTAATGAGCCGTACTCAGCACAGCATGAAAACTTAGGCCAAGCCGGGATTAAAAAATGAGGTCTAATGGACCGAGCCGGCCTATGGCCAGAGCCCGCTTCAAGCATGGCCCACTTAACAAATTTTTTTTCTTCTCAAAAGTAAAAATGCAATAATTTGACAATGTCATTGTTTATGTGGGTTTTTTTTATTTTAATCATAAACATATATATATGATGCCTTTCCTTTCAGGGAAATTACTTGGGTCCTTAATTAATTAAACATATTAACTACAAATTAATTAAACAACATTGGATTTGATATCTAATCAGTACATACAATTTATACGCTTCTCTTATAATCTCAAAATAAGACATTTCTTCACATATAAAATAATAAGTTGTTTAAAGATGAAAAGTTGAAGTAGACTTTGTGGAGTTTGACACTTTTTGCCATCCATCCTTTCATATTGTTTGGACGTTTGATTGATTAATGTTTTCAAATAGTTCATCATTTCTTGCCTCTAATTATATATTTAATGTTTATAATTTGAATTATCTACTGGAAAAAAAAAACAAGTGAAAAAAATTCAAATTAAATGGGTTGGTTCTTGAATTATCCCGGCCCGGCCCGTTTCAATGTGGACATGGGCTTTGTGCAGGCATGAATCAATTATTTTACTAAGTGGGCCAGCACGGCACGACCAAATAAATTAAATGGGCCAACCTGGCCTTGCACGAAATCATTAAAAGCACGAGTTTAAATGGGACGGGTTAGCCCGGCACGACCCCTTTAACACCTCTAGTACTAACATCAATATACTAGTAATACATAATTGAAATTCACCCTATTTACTTATATTACAACACACAGCAACAATATGATATTGAAAATACCAAAACCATGAGATTTCTTGGTTAAAAGGCTAAAGCTAATTTACAACCATACAAAGTTCTTTTAAATTCTGGATAAACCTATCAATATAACCCCTCATAAACCCTGGCTCTGATAGTATCCCTCTCCATTTCGCAAGGTTCTTCTTCAGAGAAACACCCAACTCATTTTCCTTATCCATCACAGTTGTAATGGTTTTGCTCAAGCTATCCTTTGAAAACCATCCATTTTCTTCTCTCTCTACCTCTATAGCTCTTTCACCAGTATCATGGTGTTCATGATTTGGTTACACAAGTTCGAAACCAACACAATCTTCTTGTCACTCAACAAAGACTCCTCCATGGATCCAAAGATTTAGAAAATCATTATCTATTATCATTGTAAGAACTACAAAAAAATGAAGTATGGGATAAAATATGATTTTATTAATATGGTGGATGTATAACTATATATTCATATTTATGGAAAGAAAAAAAAAGAACTATGAAGTTATGAACAAATAAAAAAATGGAGACATAAACATATAGACAAATGTATATAGAGAACTACGAAAGAAAGGGAAACATAGAAACACACCTATACATAGAAAAATAAATAAATAATTGACAAAAAAATCCATATAAAAAAAAAAATTGTCCCATTTTGACCCGGCCGGATCCGATAGGCTTTTTCAAGCCAACCCATTGACTAGGCCTAGCTAGGAGGTGGTCTCTTCCTTTTGTAGTGAAAGGTGAGGCAAGTTGCCTTGCCTCCACGCTAGGTCGATGGGCTTTCTCAAGCCTAGAACATGGGCCGGGCTTGAGCTTCAAATTTTCTAAAAAAGTCTGGCCCGATTAGGCCCATTATTTTTTCTCTCCTCTTTAAAGCCCAACTCGGCCCGGCTCATTGACGAGGCCTAGTTAAAAGTAAGCAAAATGTCATAGCAAAATGCTAGATATTAAACTCCCCACTTTCCTCTGTTTTAATTAAAAATTAATTTCAGTATAAGTGCACTTAATTTGGATGAATTAAATTCTAATTTTTCAAACATTTCTCTTCTCAACTGAAGTTCGGCTCATTATTGAGTGGTTTGGCTTGGACTTGACTGTCTAAAGCTCGGCCCGGCCCGTTTGAGCCCAAGAAAGTCCAGCTTGGCCTATGGCGTCACATACATATATATATATATATATATAATCAAGTTTAATGAAAGATGGAGAAAATCATTATCTATTATCATTGTAAAAATTAAAAAAAAATAAAGTAGGGGATAAAATATGATTTTATTAATATGGCAGTTGTATAACTATATCTTCATATTTATGGGGAAAAAAACTATGAAGTTATGAACAAAGAAAAAAATGGAGACATAAACATATAGACAAATGTAAATATAGAACTATGAAAAAAAAACATAGGAACACAGCAAAACATAGAAAAAAAATATATAAAGAGCCCATTATTTTTTCTCTTTTCTTTAAAACCCAACCCGGCCCGGCCCGGCCCATTGATGAGGCCAAGTTAAAAGTAAGCAAAATGTCATAGACAAAATGCTAGATATTAAACTCCCCACTTTTCTATGTGTTAATTAAAAATTAATTTCAGTATATATGCATTTAATTTGGATGAATTAAATTCTAATTCTTCTTATTTTTCGAACATTTTTCTTCTCAACTGAAGCTCACACGAGTTGAAATGAGGAGGAGAAGGGCAAGAAACAATGAAGCTCCAGGAGTTGAAATTTCATTGAGTCAGTAGCGAGGACTTCGTACAAATCATGATGGTTGATGCCACCTTCGTGATAGAGATTTTGTTGAAGTTATGTGGTCACCATTTCAACACATTGGACTGGAAGACCACAATAGCATCTCCAGCAAGTCCTAGATAATAAATTATATTACGTCAAACATGCTCAAGTTGGAAAATTAAGTACCATTTTGCATTCTTGAGGATCTTCTTGAACTACATAGAATTGCAGCCGCTGCCAGCAGTAACAGTACTTATGTCATTCCTTCGATGAAGGAACTCGCCTTTGAGTTCATCAATATGACATTGGGTTGGACGAGCATCGTACAGAATGCGGGGATGCTAGGTTCTTCAAGTTTGAAAGTAGAACACTTTATTGTGTATCTAAGACTATTTTATCTCCCCAAGGACTCACATATTATTAATATTGGAGGTTTTGTTTAGAAATATTGTTGCCTTTGAGCAATGTCATGGCTGCTCTTCTTACGTAAACAGTTATCTTTCCATCTTGGATGATTTTGTGAATGCACCGATGGATGTGGAGTTGCTTGTTAAGAAAAGAATTTTTATAAATATATTAAGCGACCACAATGAGGTGTCTACTCTGATTAACGACCTTGGAAAAGAGGTTGTCATCTCAGACTTCTATTTTGGAAGTGTTCGTGAGGAGTTGGACCGCTACTTGAAAAGCCCGTGGATAAAATGGAAATCCACTTTGAAGACACATTTTTTCAATTCCCCTTGGGCAACAAAGTAGATGAATACATTCATTATCTTTTTGGTGTTAAATATCATCTAAATGGTCTACTCAATCATTAAATAGTAAGTTTAAATAATAATATCCATAAATATTCTTTAATGATTTTAGTAATATAATATTATTAACTTAATATTTCCAATTGAATTTGCATGCAGGAAAGATTATGGAATTAGAGCTAACTTTTCATCCATTCAATGGAAATGGGTCCCTAGGCAAGCCAATAAAGCAGCTCATGATCAATCTGAAAGGAGGCCTTCATGCAGTGGTCATCATTCGGCCCTTGAGCTCATGGGCTAATAAGGGCCTGCCCCGATCATCGAGAAAAACCCTAGGCCGACCTATTGTGGGCCATGGACTAGGCTTGGGTTTGGCTGTCTAAAGTCTAGGCCAGCCCTTAGGCCCTGCCCCTTTGAGCTCATAAAGGCCCCGCCTGGCCCAACCATAAAAATGCGGCAACCCTTCTAGGGTCTTTTCTTCTCATGCTTCTTTGATGAGAAGGGTAGGAAGAGACACAAGAAGGCCCAGCCCTGTGTGAGTAAAGCGCATAGAATTCAGTGTGGTGACGTGGAGAAAGGGAATTATGTAGTCATTTAGTCCTCAACCAGTAGTGGGGTGAACTGTTTTTTTCCTTTTAAGAAGGATCGTTTTGATGGCCGTCAAGGTCAGTGTTTTTTTCTCCTTTTAGATACAATTGACACACACATATATATATATGGGGGCGGATCCATGGCTCTATGTTTTTTACACAAATTTTGACACAAATTGTCAACCATTACATTAGAAAGGATTAAATGGTTGAGATTATGTGTCTTTAATTACTTAAATTAAATTAAATCTCTAATTCGAAGTAAATTTCATTTTTATTTATTAGTTATGATAATCCCGAAAATAACTCATTATATTTCCCCCTTTTGTTTTCTTATCATTTTCTCTCTTCTCAATTAATATCCTGTGAAACCTCACCATTACCTCTCTCTCTCTCTCTCTCTCTCTCTCTCTCTCTCTTTCTCTCTCTCTCTCTCTCTGTTTTTTTTCCCTAACATCTTAATGGCTTACAAGCTTTAGCTTTTATTCATTATGATTCATAATAACATTAAAAAATATATGGCAAAAGATAGTTTGCTTGCAGTTCATTGTGTGTGTGTGGGTCGAGAGTTATAATCCATGTATAACTGTAACAACCCAAAAAATAAGCAGTAAAAAAAAGAAAAAAAACAAAGTTAGGGATGGAGAAGAAAAAGAATCAGAAACCTGTAAAGCTTTAGAAGAAAGGGGAGGAGGATGGGAAAGTCATTAACTGAAGAATTCTATAGGATAGAGAACGACGAAATAGGAAAATTTGATAAAACATTGATTGAGGATAGACAAATAAGAAAGAGAAAGTCAATTAATAATTATTTTCAATATATATTTTTCTTAAAAAATATACAATTAGTTTAGTTAATCTTAGCCATTCAATTCATTTCAATCTAATGATTGAAAACTTGTGTCAAAACTTGTGTCAAAAATATAGTGCCACGGAAGATTATTTTGATCAAACGAACAAAATTGAAAAATAGGCTTTTGAATTCTCCCTTTAGAAATAAAGGAAAGTTTTAGTTCGTAACATTTAGTTAAATCAATTGTTTGTTAAAGGATTATTTTGTTTTTTCCCTACTGTATTTACATGCTTTTTTCCCCTATTGGATATGTGTCTCAACGTTTATATGCAGTACACGATATATATGTTGTTCAAATTTTCTATACAATTAATAATCAACAAAGTTTTTTTGTAGATGTGTCCCATAATTTCCTTAAGTTTATGCTTTCTCCGTATATTATGTGTTGGGACGTTAAAAGTAAGCAAATTATCATAGCAAAATGCTGGATATTAAACTCCCTACTCTAGGTTTTAATTAAAAATTAATTTGGGTATATATGCATTTAATTTGGATTAATTAAATTCTAATTTTTCAAACATTTTTCTTATCAACTAAAGCTCGGCCCGGCCCATTTGAGCCCAAGAAAGTCCAGCTTGGCCCTCGGGCTTATATACATATATATATATATATAATCAAGTTTAATGAAAGATGAAGAAAATCATTATCTATTATCATTGCAAGAATTTTAAAAAAATGAAGTAGGGGATAAAATATAATTTTATTAATATGGCGGTTGAAATGAGGAGGAGAAGGGTAGGACAAATGAAGCTCCAATAAATATAGAAAATCCCTATATTTTATTGGCAGCTTCCATTAGACAGATGTTGGATACATCTGTCTCGAGAGAAGGACATTGCATCTATGGAGTTCCTGTCTATCTACGATGCAAAAGCAAGCAAAGATGTCTACATGCCTTCGGTAATATCCATAGGCCCACTCCATCATGGCAACGGAGACTTAAAACCGATGGAAGAACTCAAAAGGAGCTACTTGAAAAATTCCTGCATAGGGTCGACGTACCCTTGGAGGTCTACATTTAGAAGATAAAAGATCAAGAAGAAAAATTGCGCGCTTGCTATGCTGACGTCATTGAGTTCAGTGGCGAGGACTTCATACAAATCATGATGGTGGATGCCGCCTTCGTGATAGAGATTTTGTTGAAGTTATGTGGTCACTGTTTCAACCCATTAGGAGTGGATGACCACGATAACATCTCCAGCAAGTCCTGGATAATAAATTATATTATGCCAAACATGCTCAAGTTGGAAAATCAAGTGCTGTTTTGCATCCTTGAGGATCTTCTTGAACTACAGAGAATCGCAGCCGTTGCCATAAGTAACATTTCTTATGTCATTCCTTCGATGATGAACCTCGCCTTTGAGTTCATCAATATGGCATTTAGTTTGACAAGCATGGTACAGAATGTGGGGATGCTAGGTTCTTCAAATTTGAAAGTAGAACACTTTATTGCGTTTTTAAGACTATTTTATCTCCCCAAGGATTCACATATTATTTAGATAGGAGGGGAAGTGAAAGCTGTAAGTGCACCGAGCATCTCCGAACTACAGATGGCTGGAGTAAAAATTGTGTGGGAATCAAGCACAAGCTTATCTGCCATACGATTCGTGGACAGAATTCTAGAAATTCCAAGATTATTGATTCACAATGGTAGTGAGCTTTTGTTTAGAAATATTGCTGCCTTTGAGCAATGTCATGGCTGCTCTTCTTACGTAAACAATTATCTTTCCATCTTGAATGATTTTGTGAACGTACCGATGGATGTGGAGTTGCTTATTAAGAAAGGAATTTTTATAAATATGCTAACCGACCACAATGAGGTGTCTACTCTGATTAACGACCTTGGCAAAGGGGTTGTCATCTCAGACTTCTATTTTGGAAGTGTTTGTGAGGAGTTGGACTGCTACTTGAAAAGGCCGTGGATCAAATGGAAATCCACTTTGAAGAGACATTTTTTCAATTCTCCTTGGGCAACAAACGAGATTACCACATTCGGTATACTCAATCATTAAATAGTAAGTTTAAATAATAATATCACTTCATTAATGATTTCAGTAATATAATAATGTTAACTTAATATTCCCAATTGAATTAGCATGCCGGAAAGATTATGGAATTGGAGCTAACTTTTCATCCATCCAATGGAAATGGGTCCCTAGGCAAGCCAATAAAACAACTCATGATCAATCTGAAAGAGGCCTTCATGTAGGGGTCATCATTCGGTCCGTGAGCTCATGGGCTAATGAGGGCCTGCCTAGCTCATCAAGAAAAAGCCTGGGCCGACCTATTGTGGGCTATGGACTAGGCTTGGGTTTGGTTGTCTAAAGTCCAACCCAGCCCATAGGCCCAGCCTGTTTGAGCCCATAAAGGCCCGGCCTAGTCCGACCATAAAAGCGTGGCAGCCCTTCTAGGGTCTTTTCTTCTCATGCTTATTTGATGAGAAGGGTAGGAAGAGACACAAGAGAAAGGTATGATAATGTTTTAACTGATTCGAAGTTTGCGAGTGAAGTTGATAGGGAAGACTAATCTTTGTTTTTTTTAGATTCAGTATCTTGTTCTTTGAATTATTTTTCGATGTATATATATATATATATATATATATTTGTGTATTAATATGTATTTGTGTATTAATATGTATGTTAGATTAATTTACGATTTCTTGAAGTTAATGCTCTTGGAAGGAAGAATGAGGTTGATCTGTGAGTTACTGGTTAAAAGTGACCAACTTTGATTCTTGAGATTCAACCATTTGATTTGTGCACATCACGCCATCCCCCTTATATCCTTCTGTTTGTTTGTATGAGTTGTGGCCAGTGGCCGTATCTACTAAGGAATTGCTTCCATTAAACGAGTGTGCCTCTGTTGGCATCCAAGGAATTGCTTCTATTATGAAACTAACTGAACATCTCATTCGTAAATGGGTAAAATGCCTGAGGTGGGCACTGGAACAAATTCAGACCAAAAGAGAAAAAGATATTCATGAAATTTATTTTTATTTTTTTGGTCAACATTTTAAAAAAAAAAAAAAAAAAAAAAAAAAAAAAAAAAAAAAAAAAAAAAAAAAAAAAAAAAAAAAAAAAAAAAAAAAAAAAAAAAAAAAAAAAAAAAAAAAAAAAAAAAAAAAAAAAAAAAAAAAAAAAAAAAAAAAAAAAAAAAAAAAAAAAAAAAAAAAAAAAAAAAAAAAAAAAAAAAAAAAAAAAAAAAAAAAAAAAAAAAAAAAAAAAAAAAAAAAAAAAAAAAAAAAAAAAAAAAAAAAAAAAAAAAAAAAAAAAAAAAAAAAAAAAAAAAAAAAAAAAAAAAAAAAAAAAAAAAAAAAAAAAAAAAAAAAAAAAAAAAAAAAAAAAAAAAAAAAAAAAAAAAAAAAAAAAAAAAAAAAAAAAAAAAAAAAAAAAAAAAAAAAAATCTCTAATGCCTAGTCAAGCATATTGGAGAAAAACAGGGCATGTACCTATCAAGCCACTTGTTTATTACGTCCAACCAGGAAGGCCCAAACTAAGCAAAAATAAAGAACCTGATGAAATACCAAGAGGGGTAACAAAACTAAGGAGGTATGGCATTGTATTGACATGCTGCAACTGTGGACAAGTAGGTCACAATTTGGAAGTTGTTCCCAAAATGGATAGGTTATATATATATATATATATATATATATATATTTATTTATTTATTTATTTAGACATTTCATTTGTTGAAAATGGCTATGTTAACATATGATTTGTTGTTTTTTCTATGTTAACATGTGATTTGTTGTTATTGACAATGAAAGGGCAACCTAGACGTACTAGAGCAAGATGCGGCAGGAGGGGAAGATGAGCTGTGAGGGGAAGAGGTACATGGGGAAGAGGAGCTGCAACTGTTAATGGAGGTGTTGATACTTCTAGTGCCAATGCAAGTGGAATGGTTGGTGTCAGGGGCAGAGGTGTTGTGAAAGGTATATGTGTTGTGAGTGAACAACAACAAACTCAGGCCACACCAAAGTTTAATATAAGTACTTGGATTAAACCTTGATGTTTTGGATCAATAATTGCATTATTGTGATATCTTTTGAAGGCTTAAGAGAGCTATGGTTGCAACAGGTGAGAAGAGGAGCCCATGTCTCCTAAGTCATAGAAAACCAATCTATTTGCTGGTTCACAACCTACTCAAGTGTAACATCCCACATCGACCAACGAAGAGGGGGTGATGTGCCTTATATGTACATGCCCGCCTCTATCTAGCACGAGACCTTTTGGGAGCTCACTGGCTTCAGAGTCTTGGGAACTCCAAAATTAAGCGAGTTGGGGCTAGAGCAATCCCAAGATGGGTGACCCACTGGGAAGTTGCTCGTGAGTTCCCATAAACAAAACCGTGAAGGCAGAGAGAGGAGCCCAAAGCATTCAATATCGTGCTACAACAGAGCCGATCCCGGGATGTCACAATTTGGTATCAGAGCTACTCTGATGTGTGGTGCAAGTGCATCGACGAAGACGTCGGGCCCCTAAGGGAGGTGGATTGTAACATCCCACATCGACCAACGGAGAGGGAGTGATGTGCCTTATATGTATATGCCCGCCTCCATCTAGCACGAGGCTTTTTGGGAGCTCACTGGCTTCGGAGTCGTGAGAACTCCGAAATTAAGCGAGTTAGGGCTAGAGCAATCCCAAGATGGGTGACCCACTGGGAAGTTGCTTCGTTGAGAAAAAAAAAAAAAAAAAAAAAAAAAAAAAAAAAAAAAAACGTGCAGGCAGAGAGAGAGCCCAAAGCGGACAATATCGTGCTACGGCGAAGTCGATCCCGGGATGTGATATCAAGGTTCAAGTTCCCAACCTGTGAAATCTTCAAGTTCACAAGCTCCTTCACAACTCACCCAAAGTTCACAAGCTCCAATTTCATAAGCTCCTCAAGGTTCAAGTTCACAACCTCAAACTAAGGTAACTTTTCCAAAAATGCCTAGGTTCAAATCTCCATAAAAATGAATAAGGCCATGGAGAGTTTAGTCAGATATTTGAAGTGAATGATTGAAGATTCATGATGTTTATTTTGGTTTTGTGGATCATTTTGGTTTGCAGCTCTTTAAGGGTTATATTTTGAACTGATTTTGTACAAATAATATGCAAACCTTTAGTGATGAAGATGTATTTTGAACTGAATTTGGACAAGCTTTGATGGCAAAGCTATATGTTGTGGATGTGTATGTTTAAGGGATTTTTGACAAGACTGTTTATGGGATGTGTCTGCGTATTTTGAAGTGCTATTAATGTAATGTATTGTGAATTCAAATATTGTATTTTGGCATACTTTGAAGTGTAGTCCATATATTTTGTGTGACAGTTACTATTTCAATTGTCAAAATGAGAGCTTGCATTTTCATTCACCAAAATAACTCTTACATTGATTACATTGGTCACAACACTCAAAATGAAGCCAATTATACACCATTTCTTATCCTTACAAAAAGCCAATTACTCATCCCTTACTAACCATTACAAATTGTCAATCACCCATCCCTTTCTAACCATTGCAAATTGCCAATCACCCATCCTTTTCTAACCCTTACAAAATGACAAGCACCCATCCCTTTATAACCCTTACAAAATGTCAGCTACCCATCCCTTTCTACAGCTGCCCAGTGGTGCCTTTATCTTCATTCAAAATCAACCACATAATAACCCCAAACATGCACAATGACACCTAAAACCATGGGTTTTTCAGCTTCGAATTCCCCTATCTTTTTTCTGCTTCCAACTTATTAATTCTCATTAGCAGTCCCCCCCACTCTGACAACAATTATGCAAAGATAGAGTTTTAAAACTTGGAAACGCAAAACTACAAACTTGAAACTCAAACTTCAAAATTCAATTCACTTGCACACAAACATAAAATCTTCGTCCAGGATGTGAAGAAGTCCAAATTTTTGCAATGTAGACTCGTGACGGCAATGTCCATGAACTGCCGTATTCGAACTCCGAACTCCCTCCGCGTGACCCATCAAAGTTGCTAGGTAAGAATCTCTCCCCTCCCCCCCCCCCCCCACCCAAAAAAAGATGGAAATCGCCAGAAACAAATGGAGAACCAACCTTGGTGGGCAAAATGAGAAATGAGGTTCACATAGGTAATTCAATCCATGAGGAATGACCAAAATAAAACTCAAAAGAGAGTCAAATGGACGGATTAATGGATGAAATGTGGGACTTTTGACGGTTTGGGGAACATAATAAATAAATTAATTTATAAATTAATTCGATTCCACTTAATAAAAAAAAAAAAAAAAAAAAAAAAAAAAAAAAAAAAAGTGGGGGGGTATGGAATTGATAGTTATGTACAAGTTCAGGAGGCCATTTGGCACTTTACCCAACTGATAATACGAGTACTAACTAGAGGTGCCAAACGGGATGGAGTGGCTCAACACAGCACGAGCCCAACCTGTTTAAATGAGGCACGGCACGACATAGGCAAGAATATTAATAAGTCATTCTCGGCACAGCACGAAAACTTGGGTCAGGCTGGGATTAAAAAATGAGGTCCAATGGACCGAGTCGGCCCATGGCTCGACGTGGGCCAGGCTTGGCCTGAGCCCGCTTCAAGCACGGTCCGAGCCCAAGCCCGGCCCACTTAACAAATTTTTTTCTCCAAAGTCAAAATGCAATAATTTGACATCTAATGTCAATATTTATATGGGTTTAAAAAAATAATAAATAATATATTTGATGTCTTTCATTTTAGGGAAATTACTTGGGTCCTTAATTAATTAAACATACTAACCAAAAATTAATTAAACAACATTGGACTTGATATCTAATTAGTACATATGATATATACGCTTTTCTTATAATCAAAGCAAGACATTTCTTCACACTTTTTTCCCTCTGCCCTTTCATATTGTTTGGATGTTTGATTGATTAATGTTTTCAAATAGTTCATCATTTCTTGCCTCTAATTATATTTTTAATGTTTATAATTTGAATTATCTAGTGAAAAAAAATCAAGTGAAAAAAATTCAAATTAAATGGGTTGGTTCTTGGGCCCGAGTATGGCACGATCCCGGCCCGGCCCGTTTCATTATGGACATGGGCTTTATGCAGGCCTGAATCAATGATTTTACTAAGTGGGCCAACACGGCACAAGTAGATAAATTAAATGGGTTGGCCCGGCCTTGCACAAAATCATTAAAAGCACGAGTTTAAGTGGGACGGAGCGGCCCGGCACGGCCCCTTTGACACCTCTAGTACAAACATCAATACACTAGTAATACGTAATTGAAATTCACCCTATTTACTTATATTACAACACACATCAACAATATGAGATTGAAAAGACCAAAACCATGAGATTTCATGGTTAAAAGGCTAAAGCTAATTTACAACCTTACAAAGCTTTTTCACTAGTATCATGGGGAAAAAAAAAAAAAAAAAAAAAAAAAAAAAAAAAAAAAAAAAAAAAAAAAAAAAAAAAAAAAAAAAAAAAAAAAAAAAAAAAAAAAAAAAAAAAAAAAAAAAAAAAAAAAAAAAAAAAAAAAAAAAAAAAAAAAAAAAAAAAAAAAAAAAAAAAAAAAAAAAAAAAAAAAAAAAAAAAAAAAAAAAAAAAAAAAAAAAAAAAAAAAAAAAAAAAAAAAAAAAAAAAAAAAAAAAAAAAAAAAAAAAAAAAAAAAAAAAAAAAAAAAAAAAAAAAAAAAAAAAAAAAAAAAAAAAAAAAAAAAAAAAAAAAAAAAAAAAAAAAAAAAAAAAAAAAAAAAAAAAAAAAAAAAAAAAAAAAAAAAAAAAAAAAAAAAAAAAAAAAAAAAAAACCAGGTACTACAGTGCAGTTCCAGCTCAGTAATCATCAAATCTAGCCACTTCTGCCCCTTTCAGACTGAAGAGGCTCCAATTCTGCCCATTCAAAAAGCCTTCCAGGGCTTGAAATAGATTAAAGCTCTGCCAAACTCGAAAGTTGGTATCGATTTACAACTGAAACTTGACAGTTGAAGGTGTTGATGTTCCAATCTAGCACAAACATATCCAGTCCAGTCTGGATCAAAAGTAGCTATCCAGGCAGAAACTAAAGTCCAATGTTTTTTTTATCTCTTTCAGAGTTGGTATTTTCCCTTTTAAGCTTTGTAAAAGGTAGTTTAGCCAAAAACAGTTCACCTTCTTATCATTCATTCTGGCTAGAACTACCAATTTTTTACTGTGAAAAATTGTCAAGTCCTTACTAGTCTGAGGCAAGAAAAGAACTTACTTGGGAGATATTCCTCACCCAAATTCACAATCGTTTGTTTAGAAGTTAATAACTTGGGGCGCAAGTTATCTAATTTTAAGAAGTCTGCTAGGATTTTTATTGCGAGCAGTGGCACGCTCATACACAAAAGAAAATTGACTTGTTGACCACAAATGGTTTTCAAGCCAATGGGGAACTTTACCCTACCATCACAGGAACAAATCTAAAATGGGTGAACACTTGCCTTCATAGAACCTTGAATTCTTGACATACCTTGATACACAAACCACATACCAAACCTTGTTCTATAAATCACCACGCAGTTGCTAACTTTGCTCTTGGATTTATGAACTAATTCTTTACCGAAATCCTCTCTTTTCATCAAAGCACCCATCTAACTTTCCCTCATCTTGCTCCCAAAAACAACCTGAAACTTCATTGAATCTACCTTTTCTTTCCCTTTAAACCATTGGGACGGTTTCTTGGGCCTGGACTGTGCTAATGATGATGCCTCCACCTCAAGATAAGAAGCATCTTTTCGATTGCCACCAACTCAACAACATTCTCCTCATTATTCCTTGTCTTGCCTTCATATTTGTGGACCTTGTCATCCAACACTATAACTTCTGCACCACAACTTCCCCGATACACTCTTTATCTGTAACCATCACAAGTTCATCATTAGCGTCATCAATAGACATGTTGGCTGCGCTTGCACTTTTGACATTCTTCAACTTGTTCCGCTTCTCCTTCCATACTAGACAATTCCACTTTCAATGGTCTATAGACCCACACTCGTAGTAGTCATCCATGTCTTTGGATCTAGAATTCCTACCATTGCCTTCCTTGCCCTCACGCTTGCTTGTACGACCCCTCTCTAGACTCACATCTTGAGGGCCCTCTTTCGAACATTGAGCCATTCTATGGTGCAACATCACGTCTTGATCGACTTCCTCAAAATTCAATGTACTCTTGTAGATCATCAACGTCATGAGAAAGTGCTTATAAGACGGAGGTAAGGATATCATCAACATCATTGCCTTATCCTCCATCTTATAAGTCTTATCTATCCTCTACAGGTCTGCAACACACCTATTAAAGGTGCTACGATGCTCCATGACATTTCCACCTTCTTCCATCCAACGATTTAGGAGCTCTTTCTTCAAGAAGAGTTTGTTTGACAGTGATCTCGCCGCAACATCTGTTCGAACTTCTTCTATGTATGCTTTGTGGTGTCTTCAACCGCATTACTCTACACTTCATCTGTGAGGTAATTCTTGATGGAACGCTTAGCAACTCGTCGAGCACGTCCTACTCCTCCGTTGTCATGGTTGTTGACCTGTTCTCTTTGCCTACCAAGATGACGGTTAGACCTGCTCGTCTAGCGTATGTTTCATTATTCTTTGCCATAGGGTGAAGTTCTCCTTGTTGGTGAATGACTTCAACTCGATCTTCATACTAGCTAGTTGTGGTAGCCTTCTTGTCGCCTACCATTTCCAACATGCAAACACTCTTAAAAATATAAGAGTCTGGTGCTCACCTGCAACTCTGATACCACTTGTTGTATGAAAACACTTCAATTCCTTGTTTTTCAATGGATATACGACATGCGCACACAAAACCCCAAGAAGAATAAACACACAAACCGCGAAGAGAGATAGAGGAAAAAACATAAGAGTTATGAAAAATTATGTAGATATTGTTGTGATTTGGCTCACCCTAATACGAGAGGAAGAAGAGGAAACAAGCAGCGGCTGCAGCAAGAGGAGCAATAGAGGAAAAAAAGTCACACAACAATAGGCGACTGGTCGACTTGAGCAATTGATCAGTCAAAATTTTCCAGGGAGCACCTAGTTTTGGACGAAGTGCGTTTTGGCTTGGGTGACTAGTTAGCTTTTGCAAGGTACTAGTCTTTTCGGGACAGAAGCTCCAAGTTTTAAAGTGTGCAAGGTGTTTTTGACATGTAAGCTAGTTTTTTTGGGTTTCTTAGTAATTTAATTGGGTTTAAATTTCCTATTTCTAGTAAACTTGTAACTCAAGTCCTATACACTATAAATAGGACTTTTGTGTATAGGACTTTTGGGGCTAGGTTAATTCTTAAGAGGGAGAGCTCTAGTTAGAGAACTCATGATAGAGAGATCTTAGGAGAGAACTTGAGAAGTTTACAAGGTATAAGTTTTTTCTGTTTTTGGTATCTAGTCTCTGCATGAAGAAGAGCTTTTGAGACGAAGAATACCAGCTTCTAGGCACCTAGCCGGATAACAACTGTATGGGAGATAAGGTTTTTTGTTGAATATGTTTGATAAAAGAGAAATACAATTGAATCGAGATACACTAGGTTCTTGTTTGGGGCTCACCGTTGTTGCATCCCTTTCTTCTACTTTATGTGTAGTCATATAGACTATGTACTCCAAGCAATAACCTTGCTTGACCAATTCCTGGGAGATCCACGGAAGGCACAATAATGTTTGGATGTCTTCTTCGTTGGGTTTTGCTTACAAGGAGGCAGCCTCTGAATTTGAACAAGAAAATGAGATGGAAAATAATTCAAAATAAATAGTAGCATCAAAGTTTAAATAGTAATTGATATTATTGACAAATGAACCTTAGAGAGGTGAACCAACTTCGTGTTATCTTAACTATTATCCTTAATCATTCTCTTAAAAAAAAAAAAAAAAAAAAAAAAAAAAAAAAAAAAAAAAAAAAAAAAAAAAAAAAAAAAAAAAAAAAAAAAAAAAAAAAAAAAAAAAAAAAAAAAAAAAAAAAAAAAAAAAAAAAAAAAAAAAAAAAAAAAAAAAAAAAAAAAAAAAAAAAAAAAAAAAAAAAAAAAAAAAAAAAAAAAAAAAAAAAAAAAAAAAAAAAAAAAAAAAAAAAAAAAAAAAAAAAAAAAAAAAAAAAAAAAAAAAAAAAAAAAAAAAAAAAAAAAAAAAAAAAAAAAAAAAAAAAAAAAAAAAAAAAAAAAAAAAAAAAAAAAAAAAAAAAAAAAAAAAAAAAAAAAAAAAAAAAAAAAAAAAAAAAAAAAAAAAAAAAAAAAAAAAAAAAAAAAAAAAAAAAATCTAAACCTTTTCCAGTACCATACAATATCCTTGACCTTGTTGCAAATATGCAGCCTCCATTGACATTAGGGAGAAAGTCATTTTTGGGCTCCCGCTTGCTCAAACAAGTTTTGATGCCTTTTGGCCTAGAATTTGCCACAAAATGGCACAATCTAAACCGGCATGTATGCAGAGCTCACTGGCATTTGACTAAATTGAGGGGTGTTTGGTACCACTGTCCTCCTCCAGGATCCCCATGTGGTTAGAGTGAAGCTGCAGAGTGATTTTTCTGGTTCAGAAGTCCTATACCGCGTGCCCTCTGTTCTGGTAATTGACTATAAAATTGTTCTCTGTGTTTTTTTTTGTTTTTTTTTTATGGTTAAGATCAGGATATCAACCCAACAAAAAAAACAAAAACAAAAACAAAAACAAAACAAAAAGAGAAGTCCTAATATACCAAAAATAGCAGAAAAGTAGAACAAAACGAACAGTAAATTATCCAAACCCGGCACTGATTAGGCATGCAAATTTACGAAATGGAATTTTGGGAAACTCTCGTCTCATTATGCGGTTTTGGTGTTTGTGTTTCTGCTAATTTACTCATGATGATAGAAAATGCATTAATATGCATGGTTCTTACTGACATTAAGCCTTGTAGTTCTTACAACATGAGATAAACAAGCAACGACGATTACTCTGAGATTAAGACAAACAGTTAAGCATCTTATACTTGGGATTTTTCAGTAGACGGAGGATGATAAGGAATGGGAATCAAGTGCAGATCGTCTTTTCTTTTGACTGTAGCGCCAAAGGCCTCAGTCATGTCCAGGTCCTCATGCTTCATCCCATTGGGGAGTTTCCAATCAAAATGGTATAACAACAATGCAAGTGGGAGCTCAACATTGGCCAGACCAAATGACACGCCAGGGCACATTCTCCTTCCAGCACCAAATGGGATATATTCGAAGTTTGTTCCCTTGTAGTCAATCGATCTATCGAGGAACCTATCGGGATTAAAGCTCTCAGGCTCATTCCAGTAATTGGGATCTCTACCAATTGCCCATGCATTCACAATTACCTTGGATTTCACAGGAATTTCATATCCATCAATCTCACATTTCTCTCTGCATTCTCTTGGAAGTAACAAGGGACCCGGAGGGTGTAACCTCAGTGTCTCCATGATAACTAAGTTTAAATATTTCATCTCTCTAATGCATGTTTCATCTACCTGTCCTTTTCTATTAAACACTTCCCTCACCTCATTCTGTGCCATGTCCATTACTCTTGGATTTTTTATCATTTCTGCTATTGCCCAATCTACAGCTGTAGATGATGTCTCACTCCCAGCAGCAAAAATATCCTGAAAGTAATTAATTTATTAAATGATCAAAAACTAGTTTCCTCTATGAATTGCAAACAATTCTAAGTAAATAGAAAAATATTATAAATAATCTTAAAAGAAGAAACCATTATTCATGTACCCAAGTAAGCTCATTCACAAGTTATAAATGTTGACTTGTAAGAGTGTCTTAAATATTAGGTAATGATTATGGAGAAAAATAGACACATGTGAAACACTGTCATCAGTAAATCACTCATCATGAAAATGCTGCACATTGGAGTTTCAATCAACAGTTTAAGATAATGTATGATTAGAATGCAGGAAGAATTTTAACCAGCTTTTTCAAGTAGATAAGTTGTTATATGGTTTCGAATAAAAGAGCACAATGTTGTCCCTTGTACTTGAAGAACTAGTTGTAGAAGCTTTGGACGGCTGCAGGGAATGAAATAAGGGATTAGCTGAATTTGCTTAACTAGATTATAGCTCAATTTTTTGGAGTCTGTAGAGGTAAGTCGATGAGAAAGACCATCCATATTTTTTCTGGCGTCCTTGCCAACATTGTTTGAATCTTTGGTGACTACACTACTTGTAGTGTGTCTACAACGCGGTTTGTGCTATGGTTACTCTTCTAAGGATGAATGTTGAAGGAAATAAATGGTACTTTTGTGGTCATCAAGAACCAGAAAATATTACCAGTATGCTGAGACTGATGGAGACAGCTTGCGAAACTACTTCCAATGCCCAATCACTTAATGATTCTAGCATGGCAAGTAATAAGCCCAAGACAGATGTTAGGAAACCTATCAGGTTTCAAGATGAGTATATTCAATAACTTGGGAACTCTACGTTTTTTGGGCTGGGACCTAGGACTTGCTGTCAGTCATTAAATATGGTTTTAATCTTCTGTTGGAGATTATCTCCTATAAGCATGTTGTATGGACAACTCTTGTAATCCAAGTTTGAATAAAAAACCATTGAGTTAATTACCTGTCAAAGCTTCTCTTTTAGCTTGTATCTTGTTATTCCAATCCCAATTCTTTGCAAATTCTAGTTGAACGGCACCATCGTAGCCAAGGTTACTTGACACGGTCAACATGATTGGAAGATATGGTGAGGTGACACAACTATTCAGTCTCACCATGCTGGTGAAGTTAAAAGTGAAGTGTCATATCTATATTCCCATAAGTTTGTGAGGTTGGGTTATGTCCAAACCAGACAATATTTGACTATGTGTGGATGCAGATCATTACATGTTACACCAGAGACTAAACCACCCCAAGGTGTCTGGTTCCAAAGGGTTCGATACCAAGGCAGATAATAGTTGAATGATGTCATAAATTAAGAAAAAAATTGACATAAGTTTTTGGAGTAAAAAAAATTGAAATTTGAAAAAGTGATTTGACTTATTAAAGCTTGATATCAAGGGAAAGTATGTGTACTTACAAAGATAACTGCCTTGATGTTCTCAGTAGTTAGGGAAAACTCAAGCTCATTTCCATGATCATGAAATTTAAGGAGAACATCTACCAGGTCTTCCTCTGCTTCACCCTCGCCACTTTTTGTAGTGACCATATCCCTTTGATGTTCTTTGATGATGTTTCCCAATATCCTGTCAGCTTCTTTATGCAGCCTCTCAAGTTTAAGCCTCATTCCACTTAAGAGATGAAGCAAACTGACAGAAGGAAAAATATCTGCAAGAGCGAAGCCAGATGCTGCCTTTACAAATTCCTTCACAATGTATATGAATTTTTCTTGATCCCTGGTCTTTTTACCAAAGGCTGTTCGCGAAGTGATGGTATATGTCGATGAGTAAATTTCCTGAGTAATATTGATAGGTGATCCTGCTCTTGAGGCAATCCATTGAATGAGATTCACTACCTCTTCTTCTCTAATAGGTCGGAAAGATTGAACACGTTTTGTGCTTAAAAGCTCTAGCGTGCAAATTTTTCGTAGTTGTCTCCAGTATTCACCATATGGTGCATAGCCAATGTCTGTAGAGCCGTAAGACAAGATCTTTGCAGCAAGAATAGTGGGCCTTGATGCAAAGATAAGATCATGGGTTTTCATCACCTCTTTGGCAAACTCTGCTGATGAAACTACTACGGTGGAAACTTCTCCAAGCTTTAGGTGCATAAGCGGTCCGTATTTCTTGGCCAAGTCTCTTAGTCTATGATGTGGAAGAGAGCCAGCGAGCTGGTGCAGGTTTCCTATAACGGGTAACTTCCATGGCCCTGGCGGTAGATTTGAGGCTGAGTACTTGGTTTTGCCTCTGATCTTCAATATTTTCAGTGCCATGATCATAAAGAGCAAGAAGGCTAACAGGACTTGGAAGGAAGGGCACTGAATCTCCATGTGGAAAACAAAGGTTACTTTGGATTATAGTTGAACCTTCATGTATTTAAGAGCTGTTTGTCTGAATATGGTTGTTGTTTGATAGTTGTCTTAAGGTCTAGTATTATTGCTTGAAATAAATATTTACAAATTTATAAATAAACCCAATCCTAGACATGTATTTATAAAAAAACCCAAGCACTATTTAAACATAGAAACACACCCAAAATCAACCTCAAAGTCAACTTTTTGGGTGTGTTTATAAATGGGTTTTGAGTATGTGTAATGATGGGTTTTGGGTGTGTTTATAAAGTGTTTTGGGTGTTGGGTTTTTTTATAATTTCAACCTCCATTTTGGGTGTTTTAGTGAAACTCCCATAAATATTTTATCAGAGGTAGCTTTGAAGCAATCAATTTACGTGAAATAAATAGTATACAAAACAAAATGTCAATGCTTTGGTCAGATTGCACGCGTTCTAAATCCGATTGGTTTTGAAAAAAAAACAAAAAACAAAAACAAAACTGATTGGTATCCCATCCAGTCCAGCCCACCAAATAGGACCTAAGGATTTTATGTTACACTTCGAAACCACCTTCAAAGCATAAAATAAAAAACATTAAGCATCCGCTAAATAAACATTATCATGATACAACAACTATTATTGGAAATTACAAATTGTTGTAAGGACAGTGAGGTGCAAGTTACAAGTAAAATTAAGCAGTAACAAAAAAGATGCTTTCCAAATCCTTGAAAAGAAAACAAAAAAGATGCTTTCCAAATCCTTGAAAAGAAAACAAAAAAGATAGAGGAGGTACTAAAGTCAATGCATGGGCAATTGGTAGAGAAGAGAACCACAGTATGATAGACTACAACAACAAGAGCACCTAATAAACATTGAGTTCACAAACAGCCTAACAAAACCACACAGGAGCTCTTCTAGAAAGGAACTAACTTATTAATGTATATCTCATTTAGTGCTGGAAGGAGAATATGCCCTGGCATGCTTTGTACTTTCTCTCTGTTGGAATTAATCAAATACTTGCCAGAGGATTTGGATGATGTACTAAGGACAGTGAGATGCACATTACAAGTTAAAAATATAGGTGAGATGTCCATTACATATTGAGTAATAAATAGTAAACAAAAACTTGACCAAATCTTTTAATTAAAAAAAAAAGTTTGGAAAACAGCTACAAACCACTCTTATACAAACAGGTCTCACCAATTAATTACAGGAAAGAGATGCCAATCAAATAAAGACAATCTTCGCATTACGAAAATGACATTGCTACATCCTCTGTGTTATATGTAAAATTGCAGGTAACTTGACCGATAAGCCACTGCAATCAAAATTCACTTTGTTTTCCTCATGGGGCTTCAGTGGCTCCCTTCCTTACAGGTCTTGTTTACCTTCTTGCTCTTTCTGATTTTGGTGCTGAAAATAGGAAGAGATGCAAAACCAATTACTCTGCTTCAAATCTATCCCCCAAGGCCATGGAAGCTACCATTCATAGGAAACATACAACAGCTTATTGGCTCTCTACCTCATCATGGACTGAGAGACATGGCCAAGAGATGTGGACCTCTTATGCACCTACGGCTTGGAGAAGTTTCCACCGTTGTAGTTTCATTACCAGAGTTTGCTAAAGAGGTGCTGAAAACCCATGATGTTATCTTTGCTTGAAGACCCCATATCCTTTCTGTACAATTGTACAAGCATTGCTTTTGCACCATATGGTGATTACTGGAGACAACTACGAAAAATTTGCACACTGGAGCTTTTAAACACAAAACATGTTCAGTATTACCGACCAATTCGTGAAGACGAAGTAGTGAATCCAATTCGTGAATACATTTGACTGAATATGTATTTAAGAGCTGTTTGTCTGAATATGGTTGTTGTTTGATAGTTGTCTTAAGGTCTAGTATTATTGCTTGAAATAAATATTTTATCAGAGGTAGCTTTGAAGCAATCAATTTACGTGAAATAAATAGTATACAAAACAAAATGTCAATGCTTTGGTCAGATTGCACGCCTTCTAAATCCGATTGGTTTTGAAAAAAAAACAAAAAACAAAAACAAAACTGATTGGTATCCCATCCAGTCCAGCCCACCAAATAGGACCTAATGATTTTATGTTACACTTCGAAACCACCTTCAAAGCATAAAATAAAAAACATTAAGCATCCGCTAAAAATCCTCAAAGTCTAGTTGATCCGACATTGATAACACAGACTGTTATTTCAAGGGAAAGAAAAGGATTAAATAAGATACATTGATTCTTTTGTAAGAAAAGCAGAATTCTATAAACCAAAACCATACCATTAATTTAGCAGTGAGAGGATCATATCCTGAATCACATGAGGCAAAACTTACACCGGTGAGGAATTCTTGGAGCTGAAGATTTGGACTGAGATAAGCTGGCAAGAGCTCCTAGACCCCAAATCTTTCAGCTGGAAAAAAATAAAAAATAAAAAGACAATTAGTCTCTATTTAAAAAAAAAAAAGTGTATAGAGGGTTTTATGTATGTGACACATAAAACAGGATATGATCACTGTTTCATTTAAAATCACTTAAAATAAATCACTTAAAATCACTGTTTCATTTATACTATAACAGGATTTTATGTTACACACACACACATATATATATATATAATGGATGCTATGGAGACACTCAAAGTCTCCGTTGCATATGTATTAATTCTCAAACCTACCAGTCACCAAAGACTTATATTTGGATATCCAAGATTTTCACATCTAAAAGAGTATATAGCCTGGTGGATGTTAGTCGTTGTCCAGGAAAGGAGGCACTTGATGAGAGCAGGGTTTGGCACCACACACAAAACCAAAAATTGTGAGACTCTTGATTGATGTATGCTTTTTATGTGCTTAAACTTGTCACGTTATATATAAAGACCAGATTAGAGAACTCTTATCTTGCGTTGTTTGAAATTTCAGGGTGGGTCAACATTTAATGTAAACACCATTTTGCATTTGGCATTTGATTTAATTTTTCTACTACATGTTTCACTTACCATTAAAAAATAAAAATAAAACTGAATACCCATTTGTGTCAAAATAGCATAAATAAAAGTGAATATTTGGGCATAATACAGTAGCAGCATCATGAGTATTATTTGGGCATAATACAGTAGCAGCATCATGAGTATTAAAGAAAACATTGTGGCTCTGTCAAGGAGAAATAAAGAATATAGTCATGCAGAAGTAAGAAGCCAGCCAACCATGCATTTGGGGACCAATAATAACTTTCTCCGAAATCGAATTAGAATTTGAACAGCCAAAAGGTTGAGTACAGTTTAGTCAAGAAAACGCACTAATTACATGTGCATGATTGGACCTGGAACGAATGAATTGTTGGAGTATGCATATTGTGTGGGGTTCCTCTTCCAACAAAATGCCCCGAAGATGACACTTTTACTGCCACAGATGCAAAACCCAGTAATGAAGATGGAAGTGATAAATTGTGGTTCTATGTTAGCATGGTACTTGGCTTTGTTGTGGGCTTTTGGAGCGTTAACGTTTGTGGTGCATTATTTGTGAAGAAATCATGGAGGTATGCATATTTTCGATTTTTTGACAACACCAAAGATAAGATAACACTAGCATTTGTGGTGAAAGTGACTCGTTTACAAAGAAAGTTTTGTCATGTTTAATAATGTACTGTAATTTGACCCAATAAAACAGTGTAATGCATTCTATATATATGTGTGTTTTTTTCTTGGGAAATTTTTAAATACCAATTTGGTTTCTTGTTTTGACAAAATAATAGTCCATTAATCATTGTTGGACGGGGTGTTTTTAACATGACATTAATGAGACTCAAAGCTTAAGTCTAGCTTTTTTATTGGGATTCATTTGAACTGGTTTGAATTTGATTCGAATAATAAATAAATAAACTCTTGCAGTGTTGAGCTACATAAATAAATCAATTTAAAGTCACAAAAACTCTTGCACATAATCGGATACCCAAAATTGAATACAGCCACTTGCAACAGACAATGTTTCCTGCGTATCCCCAGAAAGCAATTCTTTTTAACGACTGTCTTTCTATGGGTCCAGTAGTAGCACGTCATGCTAATTCTCTGGTTACCAATAACCCTTATTAGTTTGAAATTTGAATTTATCCTGGCTTCCTTTAGGTTCTACAATCCAATTCATTACAACAACAAAAATAAGTCCTTTCCAGCAAAGACTAGACCAACTTTATCACTATCATTAAAAAATTAAAATCAAGAAATTTGTTTAGTAACTAATTTTAGTTTTTAATAAATATGTTTCCTACAAAGCCTCGTAATCGCACTACAATGCTGAAACTTGAGGCTAAGTGCATTAATGAAATGAATTATATAACCAATTTAGCAAGTAACACCTAACACCTCAACTTTGATAGATGAGATACTCTAAAGTCGAATTTCCCTTTCAGTGACAATAAGAAAGAACAAATATTTTTATTCAAAAAAAGAAGAAAAAAGACGTCAATTAAGAAGCATTGATATTTGCACGTGGGGTGGCATCAAGTGGGCCAAACTCTCCTTCTCCTTACTAGTGCATACGAGTTTGATTTACGTAAAAGACAATCTTGAGGCAACCAAATCTAATTTCCAACGCCCCTCGCCTCCCTAGCTAGCAAATGACGATTTTTTTTTCATAATTAAATTAATTTGTAAATTTGACTTTTCCTCTTCAAGTTAATATTTTCTTACCTACAACCCATCATTTTATTTTTCTATAAATAAAACCCAATGACTAGGATCCAACTCATCAAGTTTCCTAATCAAGCTTAATGTGTTAAATATGTTCAAAAGTATATTGAGAACAATTAGTGGAGAAAACAACAAGAATAATGCTACTCTTACCACATTTGTATACTACATTCTCATACCATCTTATGTGGCAGATGAGGTGGACAACCACATCAATTAAAATTAATTTAACATTTTCTTTTCTTTTATGATTTATTAATACTTTTTAATTAATATGAATGTTTACTTCATTTGCCACATAATGTGGTATACAAATGTGGTAAGAGTAACATTACTCAAACAACAATTGAAAAGACGTATGGGTATTTTAGCCATCTAAAAATTATAATAAATTAGATATTGAGCTTGATAAGGTTACTTGATGAATCCTGGTCGTGTTTTTATTTATAAAAAATTGGTTTTATTAATAGGAACAAAAAGTGATGGGTTGCAGTTATGGAAAATTCAATTTGGAGGGGGTAAGCCAAATTTACTATAATAAATAAAGCTCTGTCACTCTCATCTAATTCAGCCTCAATAGGTGGGAGGATTGAAGAGTTTTGGGGGAGTTTGTCAAATTTTCCAAATAATACACTAGTATTAGAGTCACTAGATTTGTCTAGTTGCGGGTTGGAAGGCCAATTGCCGGCCTCCTTAGCTAATTGACCTCAATCTATTTGGGAATTCTTGGGAAGGCAATATAACGGAAGCCCATTTCATTAATCTCACCAACTTGAAAGGGCTTTCAATAGGCAACGATTTAGATGACATAGAGAAGCCCATGTCCCTTGTTTTCAACGTGTCTTATGATTGGGTTCCTCCTTTCAAGCTCCACACAATTTTTATTATCAACTGCAAGAGAGCTTCTACAATGAGGAGTTAAAGTGAGGAGGTTATTTGAGGAGACCAATCCGACCGTCAAAACATTTAAAATATTTAAGTCCCATGATTTCTTTACATTTGTTGATGGTGAGATTTGACCTCCTCAAATAAGCTCCTCACTTTAAGCCCTCATTATAGCATTTCCGCAACTGCAACGTAGGTCCTAGTTTTGGTGTATGGCTTCAATCTCAGACTGAACTGGTAGATGTCACTCTTTATAGAACTGGAATATCAAATTCTATACCAGAGGAATGGTTGTTGATGCTATCTTCCCAACTTGAAAACCTGGATTTATCTTACAACCAATTCCGAGGAAGGCTTTCATCCAACAAATTGATGAGATTTCCTAAGTTAGATTCATTAATTTTGGATCGTAATCAATTTGAGGGCCCACTCCCACTTTGTTCCACTAATGCATCGTCCTTTGATCTCGAAAGCAATTTATTTTCCGGGCCAATTCCCTCGAGCGTTGACTAGCTCATGCCCAAATTGAAGGAATTGTATCTTTCAGGGAATCATTTAAATGGTACAATTCCACCTTCTATTTGCAACATGCAATACTTGCAACTCCTTTGCCCTGAGGAGCAATTATTTTTCTGGAAAATTCCCTCACATATGGAGTTCGGGGAGCCAGATAACCATTGTAGATGCTGCCTACAACAATCTCTCTGGTAATATTCCCACTTCAATGAGAGTATTAAGTTATCTTGAAATATTGAAGCTCAACAACAACAATTTTGGTGGTAAGATTCCCGATTCTTTGCACAATTGCTTGGATTTGAAAAGTATCGATCTTGGAGACAACAAATTATTTGGGAGCATACCAATCATTTTTGGAAGGGGTACCCACCACATTCACTCACCTCATAATCAGAATATATTTTTAACATGACCTTAATGAGACTCAAAGCTTAATTGTTGACCCAAAAAAAAGAAGGTTAATTTAGTCTAGCATTTTTATTGGGAGTCATTTGAACCCTGGTTTGAATTTGATAGGATTTTTTTTAAAAAAAATTTATAAAAACCTCTTGCAGTGTTGAGCTACATAAATAAATCAATTTAAAGTCACATAAACTCTTTCACATAATTGGATACCTAAAATCGAATAGAGCCGCTTGCAACAGACAACGTTTCCTATGTATCTCCAAGAAAGCAGTTCTTTTTATGACTGTCTTTCTATTGACGCGAGTCTCCTAATTAATCAAGGAGATTTACTTCTTGATTAATTAAGGGATTTACTTTCCTATTTTTTTTTATATAAGTGATAAATCATTGTACAATTAGGAGATACTTTACTAATTCTTTACTATATCTAATTCTTTGTAAGACCCCATGTAAATTCCTATATATACCTCATTATGGAGAAGAATAAAACAACCTAATACATTCAAACCATATTCATATTTTAGGATGGTATTAGAGCCAGGTTCTCTTGTGACCTGTGCTTGAGTTCTTCTTGAAATTTAAGTGCTCTCTTCCCCTCTTCTTCAAGGGAGGGAGGAGGAGTGAAAATGTTTATTGACATATCCCTATTACCTTGACGTAGTCCCATGAAGATACTGCATATCTCTTTACTCTGACGACCCCTTCTCTTCAGAAGGAGAGGGGGAGTGAAGAGAAGTTGTTTTGTCTCTAAACCCTTATCTCAAATTTCTTCAAATTTCTCATATTCAAATCCAAAACCCTAAATCAAATTCCTCATATTTTTTTTCCCCAAATCCAAATCCCTCAAATCCTCTTATCCAAATCCCTAAACACATACCATCAAATCTTATACACATACCTCTTAAATCCAATTCCTATATCAAATTCATACATCAAATTTCTCACATCACCTTCTCCACCTTCTCATATCACATTTTACTTCCGCTGCGTTGTCAGGAACCCATACGATTCTCTATCTTATTGCAAACTCATAGAAGCATGCGGTCAATCCTGCTGACCTGGCTACCCAGACTCCTTCTTCTATCACCACCACCAAAGGTTCTACTCTTCATACGTCCTCTAAGATCAGATATTGCATATGCTGTGAGTGTGGAAGAGTATTTCATGACTCACTTACCAATTTGGGCACTAGTGACATATATGAACCAATTTGAGGAGGAGTGTTGACATGAGTCTCCTTATTAATCAAGGAGATTTACTTCCTTGATTAATTAAGGGATTTACTTTCCTATTTTTTATATAAGTGATAAATCATTGTACAATTAGGAGATACTTTCTTAATTCTTTACTATATCTGATTCCTTGTAAGACCCCATGTAAACTCCTATATATACCTCATTATGGAGAAGAATAAAACAACCTAATACATTCAAACCATATTCATATTTTAGCACTTTCTATTGGTCCAATAGGAACACGTCCTGCTGATTCTCTGGTTACCAATAACCTTTATTAGTTTGAAATTTGAATTTATCATGGCTTCCTTTAGGTTCTACAATCCAGTTCATTACAACAACAAAAATAAGTCCTTTCCAGCAAAGACTATACCAACTTTATCACTAATTTCAGTTGTTTCCTACAAAGTGTCGTAATCGCACTACAACGCTGAGACCCGAGGCTAAGTGCATTAATGAAATGAATTATATAACCAATTTAGCAAGTGACACCTATCACCTCAACTTTGAAAGATGAGATACTCTAAATTCGAATTTCCCTTTCAGTGACAATAAGAAAGAATAAATATTTTTATTTTAAAAATGAAGAAAAAATACGTCAATTAAGAAGCATTGATATTTGCACGTGGGGTGGCACCAAGTGGGCCACACTCTACCCTTCCTTCCTAGTGCATCCGGGTTTGATTTACGTAAAATACAATCTTAAGGAAGCTCAATCTAATTCTTCAACGCCCCTAGCCTCCCTAGCTAGTGAATGACGAAAAAAAAATTTTGATATTTTATTAATTAGTTAATTTGACTTTTCCTCTTCAAATTAATATTTTCTTACCTACAACCCATCCTTTAATTTTTCTATAAATAACACCTGATGACTAAGATCCAACTCATCAAGTTTCCTAATCAAGCTTAATGTGTTAAATGTTATATTTTTTAAATTCCTATAATACCCTTGATTACATTTTTAATATGATTTGTTTAAGAAATTAGCTGCAATTCAATGCCGATTAATTGTGTTTTAATTTTGTTTCTTTGCAAAATTGCTATGTTTTTAAAAAGTATAGATCTTGGAGGCAACAAATTATTTGGGAGCATACCTCCATGGATAGGAAGATCAAATGTATCCATGTTGTACATGCTACGATTGCGATCCAACTATTTTAGTGGACATATTCTTCGACAATTCTGCAATCTTGGCTACATTCACATCCTCGACCTAGCCACAACAACTTTTCTGGTACTATTCCCAGTTGTTTCAATAATTTGACTTCTCTTGTTCGTAATGATTCTAATGAATCACATCGAATCGCAAACCATGCTAATAGTAAAAGGAGAAGAACTTGTGTATAACACCACTGTAATGTTAATAAAGAGCATTGATCTTTCATCAAATAATTTAGAAGGTGAAATCCCTCAACAGATAGGTAGCCTCACTTTATTGGGTACCTTGAACTTGTTGAGAAATCAGTTGACTGGTAACATGCCCTCGATTGATGGAAATATGTATGGGCTCGAAACTCTTGATCTCTCAAACAACCGTCTTTCTGGACAGATTCCTCGAACCATGGCATCTTTAACATTCTTGGTGCACTTGAATTTGGCTTATAACAACTTGGTGGGGAGAATTCCTTTGGGCAGCCAACTTCAAACATTCACTGATCCGTCCATTTATATGGGCAATCCATCATTGTGTGGGGTTCCTCTTCCAACAAAATTCCCCGGAGATGACACTTTTACTGCTACAAATGCAAAACCTAATAATGAAGATGGAAGTGATAAGTTGTGGTTCCTTGTCAGCATGGTACTTGGCTTTGTCTTGGGCTTTTGGGGCGTTTGTGGTACATTACTCGTGAAGAAATCATGGAGGTATGCTTATTTTCGATTTTCTAACGACACCAAAGATAAGGTAATACTAGCAACTGTGTTGAAAGTGGCTCGTTTGCAAAGAAAGTTTTCTCATGTTTAGTAATGTACTATAATTTGACCTAGTAAAACAGTGTAATACATTTTATATATATGTGTGTTTTTTCTTAGGAAAATTTAGATTAAATACCAATTTGGTTTCTTGTTTTGACAAAAAATAGTCCATCAATCATTTTTGGACGGGGTACATGCCAACCGAAAGCCACAAAAACTGTTGTAGTGTTGGGCTTCATAAATCAATCAATTTAAAGTCACAAAAACTCTTGCACATGATCGGATAACCCAAAATCAAATACAAACTACTTGCGGCATACAACGTTTCCTGCGTATCCCCAACAAAGCAATTCTTGTGTCAAAGTTACCAATCACACGTACGTCATAGATAGTATTATTGAAGAAAATCCATTTGGTTGCATTTTGAGATGCCTTACAAGTTTTCATCCTTTCCTTGCCAACGTTTTAGTTTGTTTGAAGCTCCTCATATTGCTGATATTCCTTCTTTGAACACGTATCTTAGAAAATTAATGATCATTTCGTCTAATCAGATATGTTCAAACTTCAATCACAAAGGCCCTTGCGTTCGTCACCAAAACTGCGCTCACGTTTGCAAGACTGAAGGTTCCAGCAACGGCCATTGCCGAGGGCATCTTTTACTTCGAAAATGTATTTGCACAAAGCAATGTTAATTGGTGTTGTTCATTGTCATACTAGCTATTTGAATTAGCAAATGCATGAATAAAGTGATTCTGTCTCGGTTATATAAACTAGCTATTTGAATTTTTATGGCATCTTGAAGTTGAAAAGGACAAATTGTAAGATGTTCTTCAATTTTGTTTCAATATTCGCTATTGGGAAATTGAGATTTGCTAAGAACCCATCATGGAAGGAAATACTAGTACTAATACATGAGAGTTTTTTTTTAATTTTAAAATTTATACAAACGATGTTGGGGAAGGGAGATTCAAACACATAATGGGATCGAAACATGAGTTATGAAATTTTTTTTGCTTATAAATTGGCGAAGTAGGTTTGCACAAACACAATACTCACTAGCAAAAAATGGGAAGTAGGACATAAAAAAGCGTAGATGATTAATAGTAGGAAACTTGATAATTCTCATTAATTCATAATATCAGGCACTATTGAGAGAGACGATAATATATTAAACTCACACACACTACGCGAATGCTAGGACTCGAATCCATAATCTTTCCTGAGGGAGAGCAATTGCGACAGTTAATGTCAATACATATAAAAGTGTACGGTGGCATGAATTGTAAATATATATGAATGTGCACTGGTTGAGTTGAAGCGCCACTGCTATTTTGCTAGGCTGCTATTATACTGCTAATACGATATACATTCGATTTTCACGGAATCTGTGTTTCAATCATTTGTTTCAAATGCGACTTGACTGACTCATTGTAAATTCAAAGACCCAATATAAAAGTTAATAAAATATATGCTAAATAAACATTACAATTAATTCCTTCTTCTTTCTTTTCACCGAGACCATGTCCATTAATATATGCTTCAGTCTCCATGAATATCTTCCAACGTCTATTATTTGAATTTGTTTAACAACCGACTCACTGCGAAACTTGCATTGCAATTGAAATTTCCCAGTACTCTGATTTTGGATTAAAGTCATAATTAATTTCATGGCCCATTCCCACTTTGGTCCAGTAACAATGAGATCCGCCTTGAGGTCCAAACCACTTCTTTTTTCTGTTGGGCCAATTCCGTTGAATTTGGACCACCAAGTTCCTCAATTTGTGGCATTATATATTGCTGAGAATCATTTGAATGGTATTATTCTACTCAGTTCAAACGTGCAAAACTTGATACTCAACCGAGTTATCAGGAGAATTTCGAAATCTGACTATAGATGTTACATACAACAATCTCTCAGGTAAACAATAATAATTAAGTTTTGCTTCTTTTATTTTTATCGCAAATGGTACTTGAGGTTTTGCGAAATTATCATATTTCGTACTTAATGCGTTTTTGTGTGACATTAATAGTCCTTAAGGTTACTCTACACATATATAGAAGTTGAGTATATTAAGTGGTGAAAGACTAAACACCACATACCAAGATATATATAGATTATTGACCTTAAAGATATATATGTACTAGCTAGAAACCATGAATAACAACCACCCATTCAAAACAAAACAAGAAAAACAAAAAGAAAAAAGAAACCACAAATAACTTATCTGATTGCTAATGGATGCTATGGAGACCCTCAAAGTCTTCGCTGCATATGTATTAATTCTCAAAGTTACTAGTTACCAAAGACTTATATTTGGATATCCAAGATTTCCACATCTAAAAGAGTGTATAGCCCAGTGGATATAAGTCGTTATCCAAGGAAGGAGCTACTGGATGAGAGTAGGCTTTGGCACCATGCACAAAACCAAAAATTGTGTGACTCTTGATTGATAAGTAGGAGCTTTTATGTGCTTACATTTGTCACGTATATATGGACACTAAACTAGAGAGCCCCCTATCTCACGTTGTTTGAAATTTCAGAGTGGGACAACATTTGATGAAATAATACCATTTGGCATTTGATTTTATTTTTCTACTACATGTTTCACCTACCATTAAAAAATCAAAATAAAACTGAAAACCCATTTGTGTCGAAATAGCATAAATAAAAGGGAATATTTGGGCATAATATAATAGCAGCATCATGAGTATTAAAGAAAACATTGTGGCTCTGTCAAGGAGAAATAAAGAATATAATCATGCAGAAGTAAGAAGCCAGCCAACCATGCATTTGGGGACCAAAAATAACTTTGTCCGAAATCGAATTACAATTTGAACAGTCAAAAGGTTGAGTACAGTTTAGTCGAGTACAGTTTACATGTGCATGATTGGACTTGCAAACTTGCAAAATGGGTTGAGGAGACCTGGAATCTTGTGTATCCTCAATCCCTTTCTACTGCTGGGTCACCCCATGTGTGTCCACCGGAGCTAATTAAAGTTATCTTTAATTAGCTATAATATTAACAGCATCGATGACAACGATAGTGATGAGGAGTCAAGAAAATGCATTTAACTCCATCTACTGATTGCACTTGCAAACTTGCAAAATGGGTTGAGGACTTGGACCGTTGATTTTGGTGTTGAAATGTAATCGTTCAGCTGCTTTCTTAGAGCCGAAGTCAGCAAGCTTTATTTTTCATGTTTTATGATGTAATGAGAGCCTTTGGATTATAGTCCAGGTGGATTCTCTAGCTTAGATTTGGCATGACAAGTGTAAGCACCTCATAAGGTGACAGCTGTAATTCGGTTAGAGAAGAATCACACTTCTCTCTCTGCCAGACACACTATGTATGCTTAACTGTTTGTGAAAATGCAATAGAACAGTACCTTCTCATTTCTTCTTCTCCTTCCCTAGCTAAAATCTCCAGATTACAAAACTTTCCTCATCTAAAATATAAAACAACCATAGAATTCTAACATTTGGGTTTGATTTTTACACGCGCTAGGAGACCTGGACCTGGAATCTTGTGTATCCTCAATCCATTTCTATCAAAGAAACGGTGACAAGGAAATATGTAATGGAAACACGAATGAATTGTTGGAGTATTTTGTGCGACAATATTCTAGTTTTTCTAAACTTAACAATATTCTAGTTTTTATACACTTTATTTATCTTTTTATTTGTGTTATTTTATGACTTAAATTTGGTATTTATTTGCATGAAGTTATTTATTAATTTGTAGCAAATAACAATGATTTTAGAACAAATATTCCTTTAACAGAAGACTACTGGTTCTTCTAAATATCTTCCAAAGTCTATTTCCTTTTGAATTTGTTTTACAACCGACTCACTGCAAAACTTCCATTTTAAATGAAATTTCCAAATACACTGATTTTGGATTAAACTCCCCTAGGACGCTCTAGAGAAAACCCCCCAGAAAGTGCTAGAGAGAATTTTTTATATACCGCTTTTTAAAACGACAAAAGAACAAACTTAAACTCATAACCCAAATACACAAAATTATTTGCGTAAAAAAAATAGTGATGTTTTGATGCATTTACCAAATGTACACGTATAGCAAATTGTCTTGAGCAGTACTCATAGCAGTATTTTTACCCCAAATGGTTGCTGAAATTCGTAAAACAATCACCTTTTGTCCTTAACTTTTTTTGTAACATTAATGATCCTTAAGGTTATTCATTATTGAATACATGTATAGAAGTTGAGTATATTAAGTGGTGCAAGACTAAACACATGTATACAGACCAAGACTTATCTCCATTGACCTTTAAGATATATATGTGCTAGCTAGAAACCATGAATAACAACAACCCATTCAAAACGAAATAAGAAAGACAAAAAGAAAAAAGAAACCACAAATAACTTATCTGATCATTAATGGATACTATGGAGACCTTCAAAGTCTTCGCTGCATATGCATTAATTCTCAAACTTCCCCGTCACCAAAGACTTATTGGATTCAAGATTTTCACATCTAAAAGAGTATATAGCCCGGTGCATGTAAGTCGTTGTCCAAGGAAGATATGCCACTGGATGAGAGCAGGCTTTGGCCACAACGGTCGTAATTGATGCAAGCGAAAACCCAAAAATTGTGAGATTCTTGATAGATATATAGGCCAAGGTCTAGGGGCGTATGAGCTTTTATCTGCTTAAACTTGTCAATCACGTTATATATGGAAACTAGACTAAAAAAACTCTTATCTCACATTGTTTGAAATTTTAAGGTGGGACAGCATTTGATGTAAACACTATTTGGCATTTGGCATTTGATTTATTTTTTCTACTACATGTTTTACTTACCATTAAAAAATGAAAATAAAACTGAAAACTCATTTGTGTCGAAATAGCATAAATAAAAGTGAATATTTGGCATAATAGCATCATCAGTATTAAAGGAAACATTGTGGCTCTGTCACGTTTCATGCATAATACGATATCAACCATAAAAAAAAAAGTGGTAAAGCGATTTCTGATTCTTCTATTGTAACTTATGGCAATTGTGCCAGGTTTCATGCAAAAGTAAGAAGCCAACTATGCATTGGGGACCAACAATCATCACTTTCCCCGAAATGGAATTACAATTTCTGCAGCCTAAAAAGTAGACTACTAC